GATTCGGACCACTGCCTTGTACGTTCACCCCTTGTTCTCTATTCGGCGTGGTTTCCCCTTGCTTGCACACGGACAACAGCTCCCCTTGTTTCTCTCTTCGCTATTGTCCTACGGCCTTGTACTCGGTGCCCATGGCAACGCCATTGTCCCCTTAGCGCCCATTGTTCGTTCCTCGTATATAGCTGGATCCCTTGCTACCTGGAGACTCTAGTTTCGACCTCTTGTCTCCAGGTAAGCCATCGTGTATTTCGCTCTGTAGATACTTCGCTCAATACACATCTTGTCTCCAGTCCTGCCTGTTGAGCTCCGCTCCAGTCTCACTGCGATCAGAGCTCGTCGGCGCTCCTGCCTGCCTCGCTCGTCTCCACTTACTCGCTCGACAGTCAGTCGTAACAATTTCAAGCCAAGCTCAAGATTGTGCCCTTTTGACATGACTTATTTAGCAGCTGGCAGCAGCTGGCCTGTTTCTGACGTCATACAACAGACAAGCAGTAACATTTTCTAACAGGACTACAGCAGTACACCAATTGCAGTTTCATCGTCAAGACTCAATAATGAACCAACTGTGGTCAAAAATGTTTGAAATCCTGTATAGAGAAGAGCAAGCACTACAATGTGCTAATGTATGACTCCATGTCCTTATGCACTACCAAGTTGATGACTAAGACAGCTGAAGATTAAATAACATGCATTGCAGACTCAGAGTGTATATAAGCTCTTCATAACATACTCATAACTCTTCCCTCTTGATGTCCGAGGCGGAAAGGGGCAAGCACAATGCAGGAGTGGTCACCTTGAACTCATACTCGCATTTCTCAAGCTCCGCGACTGAAAGCACAGCATTCTCCAGACCGCAGCTCATGTCGAGCTGGAGAGATACATCTGAGTGAGGTTCCGAGGGAAGAGATCATGATGCTCACCGTCACGGAACGCTGAGGACCATTCCAACACTTGGCACCTCGAGTGTAGTGTTGTTTGCTATAATATGCGGGTGAACCCTTCTCGATGCCCTCGGCATTATTCCACTCGGCAAATTTGCTATCGACAAATTTCAGTATACAGGCCGACACAACCATGTATAGCTTACCCCAAGCTGAAGGTCTGACCACCCTTGAGCGGCTTCTGACGGGCCTCGTCGAATAAGCAGACTTCGTAGACGTAGCTACTCACAATACGCGATGAGCTTCACGATACGCCAGGACGAGTGTGGGATGATACTTACTCTCCAAATTCCTTTTCGATACAGGTGCCGGCAAGCTTCTTCCACTCGCCGTCCGGACCGTACCACTCAGGGTCAAAGAGGCGCGAGAGTTCTCTCTCTTTGTCCTCCTTCTCCCTCCGCGCCAGATTGAGACTGTGCTCAGCGTCGCTAAGTGTCTTCTGTGCCTTAGACGTATCTTCGCATCCAATTCAGTATCACATAAAACACGCTGGCATAGAATCTAGCTACCTGCAGCAGCGTCGGTCTTGCTCTGAGCAAGGCCGAGCAACTCAAGCCAGGAGACAAGCTGGTCGCGAAGGGCCTCATACTGAGGGACAACGGCATCGGGGAGGTATGCCGACAAGTTGAACACTGTAGGGGCAACAGAGGAGTCGAAGTATGTCCTGGAGTACTCACTAATAGGACTTACGAATCGAGGTCGGCGAGGCAGGGGCGCCGACGTGCTTGTCGTGTTCAATAAGCAAGCCCTCGTAGTCAGTGGCGAGGAGGTCGTCCAGCTGGTGCTCGAGCTGCTCGGTGCTCCAAATGCCTTCCTCAAGCTGCTCTTCCTCACTAGCAGCCTCGGACTCGTCAGAGCCGAGCTCGTCTGGGTTTTCGTCCTCCTTTCCAACGTCGTTGATATGAGGAAGGCCAGCGAGCTGCTCCCATCCACGGACAGCCTCCAGGACAGCCATGTCTTGGTAGTTGGGGTTGTAGCCGGTGCGAAGCTGGTCGAGAATCTCGCCGAGCGCCTTCTCGCGCTCTAGGTGCTTCTTGTGTTCGCGCTGGAGCGACTTAAGGGCCGCGTGATGGGTTATAAGAGACTGGTATAGAGCTAGCGTACGTGATGAACCAAGCTGTGAGACGCAGGTCGCTGTATAGGGACTTACGAGAAGACTTCTTCTCCTCGAGGGCCGCTGCAGACAAAGACTCGGTCCTCTCGACGAGATCTAAACCTGTGTGAGAAGAGGCAACACAAAGGGGGCCACTGAACGACGTGCCTCTGAGACGTGCAACCTCCTTCTCGCGAGCAGAGATCCCCTGCGCCGACGAAGCAATCTCTTCCTCCAGACGTTTCTTCTCCTTCTGTGCGAATGCGAGGTAGGTCGAACGGATCTTGGAGCCCTACAACAAGTCTGAGCAGATGAGAAGCTCCCCAGCGGCCAACAGACGTACGGTCTTGCGAAGCTTGTTCTCGGCCTTCACACGTTCGCGGTATTCCTCGCCAACTTGCTTGCAGACATTGGGACAGACTCCTTCAGGCTCGTCCGATCCGTCGCAACACTCCAGTTCTTTGCAGGAATATGAGTGAAGACGGCGCAGTATACGCAAGCTGGACATACCACAAAGGCCATCTCTAACTCTGGTACTGGGTATATACGATCCAATGTGGCCAGCGTTCACGCAGTAGAAGCGGGAGTCGGGGCACGCGCTGGTTCCTGCGTAGCATATCGGTCAGACAGAGCTCACTAACAGCTGGCAGTTACTACCAACCTGGTTCGTCACTTCCATCCGCACAGTCGCAGTAGTCATCGTTAACCGAGGACCAGTCAATTGTCTTCGAGCCATCCAGACACTGCCATGTCTCCGCTGAGCCCTTCTTGGTGGGTACGTAGCGGGCAACCAGATCAGGTGAGACACCAAGGAGCCGGTCTTTGCTAGCAAGGACGTGCAAGGGCAGGAGCAGAAGCAGCCAGGGGTGCATCGAGAGCCAGTCGTGAATTCGGTACTTCTGAAGCTACGTGGAACTGCGTTCAGTTCAAGGCAGCGTCGAGGTCACGTGTCTGACGTATGTCAAGCGCGAGAGCTCCTCGCGCCCTCACCTGTCATGACGGACTCCCCTTCCCCTATGCCGATGCCTGGCGCAGGATCATCGTATACAACCAACAAGACCATGGTTTGATATTCATAGTGGTACACCACCTGACTGAGAGACAACATGCATCTTGTTATATATTACTAGACCGAAATGTGAGACGCCCATTACATTGAGCGCTTTGAGATTCAGGTGCCGCCCGGCGATTTGCGCCAGCCACTTGTGGATCCCTCGCCTGCCCGCCAACGCCATCGACAACACCGCCGACCAGCAAGACTGTGAGTATGCCCCTCTGTGCCATCATGGACGTCATGGAAGGTGTCTCCAGATGTTGTCGAACTGCATTTCCTCGAAACAACGGATGAAATCGACTTGGAAACGGCTGGATGCACTCGTCGACATCTGGATGAACCTATCTTGACCTCCTGCTCCTGCTCTTGTCCTCCTGCTTCAGTACTCTTGCTTACGCTGTTCTCCCTGCAGAATCAACATGGGTAGGGTAATTCGGGCGCAAAGGCGGTCACACGCTATAGTACGTTTCGCCCCTTCGTGCATACGACATCTTCGAATAACATCAGCTCTCGCAATAGTTCAAATCCCACACCCACCACAACAAGGCGCCTGCGCAGTTCCGCCCTCTCGATTTTGCGGAACGCAATGGCTACGTCAAGGGTATTGTGAAAGAGATCATCCACGACTCTGGCCGGTGCGTATCTACTAGGCCTCGCTCTCTGGTATGTGTAGGGAAATTGAGCGCCTGAACAGTGGTGCTCCTCTTGCCCGTGTCGTTTTCCGCGACCCCTACCGTTACAAGCTCCGCAAGGAGACTTTCATCGCGACTGAGGGTCTTCACACTGGTGCCTTCGTTTACGCCGGCAAGAAGGCGCAGCTCGCTGTGGGCAACGTCCTGCCCGTTGGCCAGTGCCCTGAGGGTACCATTGTCTCTAACGTTGAAGAGAAGGTCGGTGACCGTGGCGCGCTCGCTCGCACTTCCGGCAACTACGCGACCGTCATCGGTCACTCGCCCGATGAGAACAAGACGCGCATCCGTCTACCCTCTGGCGCGAAGAAGACCGTATCCAGCTCTTGCCGTGCAACTGTCGGTATCGTCGCCGGCGGTGGCCGTATCGACAAGCCTTTGCTTAAGGCCGGCCGTGCGTACTATAAGTTCAAGGCCAAGCGCTACAAGTGCGTCACGTTCACGTCATTGTGTAGTGGACTGTTGTTGACAATCTCTCTAGCTGGCCTCGTACTCGTGGTGTGGCCATGAACCCCGTTGATCACCCTCACGGTGGTGGTAACCACCAGCACATCGGTAAAGCATCGACGATCGCCCGCTCTGCCGTACCCGGTCAGAAAGTCGGTCTCATTGCCGCCCGTCGGGTACGTTGCGCTTCTACTGTCTGCAGCGAAACATGCTCTGATCCGCCTGTGGTCTTCAGACTGGTCTGCTGCGCGGTACCGTCAAGGTCAAGGAGGTTTAAGTTGCTTGACATCGGGTATCTGCGTGTCGTTTGTTGTATGCTGCTTTGCCTCACTTGCACGATGTTACAAAAGCTTTGTATGCAACTTATTGCATATGCGTCATGACCACATGCCTTTTTGATGCACGGCTCTATGCTTTGACTCTTTTGAGTGAGATTGAGTGAGATTGAATGACTCTTGAAATAAGTGCTAGCGACACGCAAACAAGGCGAGGTGCTGCAAGTGCATGGACACGACAATCGCTCGTTCAAAGCCTGGGAAACAGGCTCCAGCTTCTGAGATGTGTACTATGTAGCAGATTATCGGGGAGTGCCGAGGAATAAGTTTTAAGTAGAACATGACGTCTTGGCGGAGTCGGCCCGGAAGATACATCAGCTCTGTACCAGACGAGGTCAGTCCACTCTACCGTATGAATTAGAGTCCACGGCTTTGAGAACTGACCACCATCATGTCCCAGTCTGCATACTACATCGGCGTCGACGTCGGAACGGGTTCTGTCCGTGCAGGCCTCGTTAAGACCGATGGCACCATCGTCGCGTCTTTCACGGAGGACACCACCACCTGGAGAGATCAGGAGGATCACCGTATCTTCGAACAATCAACCAACGAGATATGGGCGGGGATGTGCAAGGCCATCAAGGCCTGCTTGAAGGAGGCCAAGGTCCAACCATCCGAGGTCAAGGGCATCGGTTTCGATGCGACTTGCTCGCTCGCGGTCGCAGACCAGAACGGCGAACCCGTCGTCGTCACCAAGGGCGATCAGCTCGGACAGAACGGCGATCGCAACATCATCCTGTGGGCAGACCACCGGGCAGAACAGGAGGCGGAGCTCATCAACAGTACGGGATCCGCGGTGCTGGACTACGTCGGTGGTACGATGAGTGTACGTCTTGCGATCTCACGCTTTCTTCGCTCTCGGAACGCGCGCTCAGTGCCTACAATGAATCGCGTCTGATATATGACTAGTTGGAGATGGAGATTCCGAAGACGCTCTGGCTCAAGCGTAACATGAAGCCAGAGCTCTTTAAGCGCTCCCAGTTCTTCGACCTGCCCGACTTCCTCACCTACCGCGCGACCGGCTACAACCGCCGCTCATGCTGCTCCGTCACGTGCAAGTGCTCGTACGTCCCCACCAAGGGCGGATGGCAGCCCGACTTCTTCAAGAAGATCGGGCTAGAGGAGTTCGTCGAGAACGAGTTCTCACAGCTCGGCAAGGAGGAGGTCCTAACTGCCGGCATGCCTGTCGGAAACGGCCTGTCCAAGAAGGCTGCGGAGGAGACGGGTTTGTTGGAGGGCACGCCTGTTGGGAGTGGTGTCATTGACGCGTACGTGACCTTTGTTGCATCGCGTATCGCCAGTCCCTGACGCCCTCCAGGTATGCGGGCTGGCTGGGAACGGTCGCGGCGAGGTACAATGTCCAGGGCAAGCTTTCTGACGTCATCCCCTCCCTCGATGAATCGAGACATAGGCTCGCTGCCGTGGCCGGAACGAGCACTTGCCACATTGTACAGGCGAGTACTTCACTTCGCTTGAGAATTGAGGAGGGTGTCTAAGCGATTGTTCGTGCAGAGCCCCGAGGGTGTGTTTGTCAACGGCGTGTGGGGTCCCTATAAGGATGTGGTGTTTCCCGGCTGGTGGATGAACGAAGGCGGCCAGTCATCGACCGGTCAGGTGAGCCTATTTGATGGCTATCCTGTGACCCGGGGCTAATCCTCCTGTAGCTCATTGACTTCATGATCACGACCCACCCTGCCTACCCCAGACTGAAGGAACTTGCACAGCAACGGAACACCAACATCCACGAAGGTGATGCTCAATTAATTTCCGGTCCGGATGACATGTCTAACATCATTTGCTTTGGTTATGATATGTAGTTCTTCATGATGAGCTTGAGAGATTGCGCGTGGAGAAGAAGGCCGAGAACCTCACGGAACTCACCAAAGATCTCCATTTCTATCCTGATTTGCACGGTACGTGAGATGAAGACATCCACGACCTCATCGCGCTCACACTACATTTTTCCAGGCAACCGTTCACCTCTCGCAGACCCTCGGATGACCGGATCAATTGTGGGTTTGCAACTTGTACGTCAACTCTTCCGCCATTGGCCTTGTATCCGTTCTAATCACCGCGATGAAAATGATGCACGCAGGACTCCGGTCTCAACGACCTCGCACGCAAGTTCAACGTGACCCTGGAGGCAATCGCGCTGCAGACGCGACACATCGTCGACCAGATGAACGCCAAGGGGCACTCGATCCGCTCGATCTACATGTCCGGCGGCCAGGCCAAGAACATCATGCTCATGCAGCTGTTTGCTGATACGTGCAACATGCCCGTCGTGCTTCCGCAGAGCTCGGGTGCGGCCGTTGTGCTCGGAGCGGCGATGCTGGGGCGATTCGCGGCGGAGGCGCAGGGCAACGAGGCCAAGCTCGCGAAGGAGAAGCGCGGACAGGCGCTTTGGGAGATCATGGTGAGTGCGGTGCTATGCTCTGCTGATGTCTTCCCGTCGCGCCATTCGGGTGGCCGAGTGGCTGTAACGACGAGTCGGCCTGAGGAATGGATGTGGAATGAAGACTGATACTGTTCTGCGTCGATTAGGTCGAGATGACCCCTCCAGGGACGATGGTCGAGCCGGCTGCAAGCCTGAAGGAGAAGAAACTTCTCGAGGCAAAGTACAAGATCTTCCTCGAGGCGATCAATATCCAGAGAAGATGGCGCAAGGAAATGGAGGAGGCCGCCCGGTAGATGCGTCGTGCGGGAGCCTAAAACAATTGTTCGGAACGGACGAGGTCATGATAGACATCCAGAAGGAGGTTGTAAGAACATTTATGAGCTTGCTTTCCCCTGAAGCCGTTCTCCGCCGTTGACTAGCCGGAAGTCGGAATGTTGGATGCTGGTCGCAGTGTCCAGAATCATGATAGATGTGAAGATGATGCCATCCGATGCTCTCGAGTCTCGGAGACGAGCGTTACATTTAGGAGCCAGCCAGAACCCGGGACATCACGAGAAACAACACAGACGACTACAATTATAGTTACAACCCGTACGCGGGAAATGCGATCGCGACGATACTGGAATGCAGAGCAACCAGGCCGGACGTCCCAAGCCTGACCGACGGACCGACGTAGGTGTCCGAGGAGTCATGAAACAGCACCACGATCAGAGCGGAAAGAGGAAACTAGCGTGATCCGGGTGGCGAAGGGTACATGCTCGATGCCACGCTTGGGGCATCGAATCCCGCGACCCACACCGGATGTCAGATGTCTATATGCGGAGCGTCCGTATCGCGAGGCGCCATTGCAAGAGTGGTTTGGTGACTGCGGTCCAGGGCGCGTCTCAAGGTGACGTTTGCCCTGCGACGAGATGCGACGGGCTGCTCACTGCCTGAACAGCCCGAAGGTGCCCCACTTGTCGTTCGCCGACACCCCAGGCATGGTCGACTTCCAATTCTGGTAGCGCCGCCAGGGGTGCTCCTCGCCACGCCTGTGAGCCGCGTGCGGGCGGTCCTCGGGCCAGTAGCTCTTCCACGTTGTGCTGGGGGGAGGAGACGTGGGCGCAGGGTCGTACCGGTCGCGCCGGTTCCACGGCTGCGAGGGCGAGTACGGGACGTAGCGCGGCGAGCCGGACTCGCGGAGGACGGTGCCGTGGTCCGCGGCGTAGTATCGCACCTTGGCCTCTATGAGGCTCGCGTCCCGCCTCACACGATAGTGGTCGTTCCGTTCGCACACCGGGCTGCCGTGGTCTTTGGAGGATGTGCGGCGCGAGGGACGGGGATAGGGGTAGGGCGAGGACCGGTTCTTCCGAGAGGGCGTCGCACCGACGCGGCCGGTGTGGGTGTGCCCAGAAGCGTATGCGGAGGGCCCGGCCGACGGAGGGGTGATGATTTCCGAGGAGTCGTCAGAGTCAGAGGAGTACCCGTCGGACGAGTAATCGGGGTACATCAGGTCCGGGATCGCCGCCGCCGCGTTGGTGGCGGGGGCGGGCTCGGGAACTGGGTAGCTGCGTTCGGCGCGCTCGGTGCGCGCGGGCACTGCCGCGGTCTTGGGGACGGCGGACGGCTCGCGGTCGCGGCGCGCGTATCGCATGAAGACGTCGTAGTGCGCGAGGATGGCGGTGTTCGTTGGCATGACCTTCCAGTCGAGCGCAGACAGCACCTCGCGCTCGATCCGGGTGAGGTCCTTGATCGTGAATTGCTGTCCGAATACCATCCGCACGAGCTGGAGCCATTGTTCCGACCGGTAGGAGGGTTCGTTGATGCTCTGCAACCGTAGCACGTTAGTTCTCTCTCCGAGCCGAGGATATCGGGCGGTGGACGACGCGACATACCTTATGCGCTAGCATGAGCGCTCCGATCGCGAGGCGTTCGCAAACGCGGTCGCCCATGTCGTACGCGCTCAGTCGGATTTCCGAGAGATAGACGATGGCCGTCAGGATGGTGCGCGTGTCCAGTGCCCCGCAGGTGATGAATGTGCAGACATGCTGCATGACGAGCAGCGTCTTCATCTCCATCGCCGCCTTGTACCGCGACGCGATCACCGCGCGCGCCACCGTGTTTACGAGCATGTCGATGAAGTAGTCTGGTGGAAGTTGGGGCTGAGCGTGAGGTGCGATACATGCATGAAGTGACTGTGCGCCACATACCGATGACACCGAAGTTGACTTGGGTGCTGACCATCTCTACGACCTTCTCATCGAGGTGAGCCAAGGGTACCAGACTCGTCGGTTCGTTCATGTTCAGGGGACTCGCCCCAGAGGAAGTGGAAGAGAAAGCCGCGGCAGGGGTAGTAGTAAGGGTGAAGACGAAACTCATCGTGAAAGCGGCAGAGATACGGTGGCGGAGCCCGGGTCTTTATGAGGGCAGAGGCACTGGATATATCCGCGAGAAAACTGCAGGCAGACGCTGCGGCGCTGCGACACGGAGGCAGGTGAGGCGGTGGTTCTGAGGTATGCTGCGGCGAACACGGCAAGCATACTTTTATATATGATTCCTCGGAGGGCCAAAGCGGCCTTGCCGCGACTCCGCACGGAAGTAGAGATACATTCTCCCTGCCAAAGCGGTCGTAAGGGCCCACAACAGTCTAAATCGCGCGTGTTGTGTGTCCAAGCGGTGATGGCCAGTGGCAAGAAGATGCTGTGAACAACGGGCGCGCATGCCCCATCAGCACGGAACAAAGCGCTCGGAGCGGCCATGCCACGCTTTGAGAACAACACGTTCCGCTTTGCCCCAAAGGAAAGTTCCCCTGGATATCGACCCTGGATAAGCGGTGGATAAGCCTTGGCTTTGGTGTTCTGAAAAACGGCCTTTGTCAAGTGGCACTGGCCTTGATCCAGTAACCTGACGATGAGCGCGGGCTAGAAGCAACGTGTCGCCGGGAATGGTCCTTGCACCTCCTACCTGTTTCAGGCAGGCGGAAGGTCAGCTTGACAAACAATTAGTGCGGCATACTCAAGGACAATATGACTCGCGTGCGGGCGACATCAATCGGGATATCCGTCTCAGAGATTGCGTGTAACGCGTTCACACGGGGACATGATGGTACAATAGGCGGTGCATGTCATGGCATGTTTTGTGGTGTTGTAATACATATGCGTGCATGCGATAGTGGAAAGCGAAAGCGAACGGAGACAGGGACGTTTACTCGGCACCTCCGCCGCCAGTTGCCCTCGCTGGAGCCGGGGTCAGTTTTCATCTCACTCGAGACGCCATGAATTGCATACGCACTGTAGACGAGCTGGCTGCTGTGGTGGACGATCCGCTTGATCTGACCCTCCTTCTCCAAGTGCCTGATCGCTACCCGCGCAAGGGAGCCGTTGATTTTCAGCCGCTCGATGAGGATGGATTGGCTGATGAAGCGGAAGGTTGGGACCTCCTTCAGGATGCGGTCGTAGGTGGCCTTGTCGAGGACGACGGCGTGCTGCGCCTTATCCTTGACCTTGCCCTTGGACCACTTCTTCTTCTTTGCGGCCTTGCCGCCGCTGGAGGATGTGGGCGCTGCCTTAGCCTTGGCCTGCGAGACGAGGAGGGAAGGTCATTGTTAGCGTACGTCCTCTCCACAAGGGTCATCCAAATGCGACAGCCGCCATCCATGCATAACGGACGTTCCAACAGCACAAAAGCCATGTGAAACACCTCTATGACATGCCTGGGGACCTGTCTGGACGATATCTGCACTGGCAGCAGCACTCACCATTGTCTTGACGGCCGGTCGTTAGATGCTGGGAGGCCTATCCGGTGCGCTCTGCTCTGCAAAGGCGCACGGCCGAACCCGGTCGGCATTTCAAAATAGACGCCTAAGCGCCATTTAGTATCTCTAGCGCTCTTACGGGTCCTTCCTGCGCATGCTTTCGCTCCTCTGAATTTGAGTACGTAGAACAACCCTTTGGTAGCGCATTCACCGCATATATGGAGCAACAGGTCACTTCCTCCTGGTATCCGGACGAGACATTTGACCCAGACCATGAGTCTAGCGCAGGATATCCACGACGGACGATCGGATATCTGCCCCGGTATGATCGTGAAAGCGGCACACCGTTCATTACGGTGATATGTACACACATGATACTGCAATGCCCATGAGCCGACTCATGGTCCCTATAGTCCCTCAAGCAAACCTGGTCCCTTGCACTTGCGTGTGTGGAGACTGTACACGCTTCTCGCCATCCAGCCGCTCGACAAGCGTGATGAGAGCTTCCGTGCTTGTAAGTTCCGCGCGGACAGCATTTTTTGATGAGTCCTGCAGTGTTGGCGCATCGCTGCGATGTTGTTGCGAGGCAGAGCTGTCATTCGCGACAACTGTCAGAAGCTGTCGGCGGACGATCAAGGAGGACTTTCGATCAAAGTACTGATGCCCCCCTCGGCTCTCGCTGGGCTGGTCGAGCCGGAGTTGGAGCACACCTGCCTCGGCGATGGAAGAGGACAGTATAAAGAGGCGGGCCGTCAGGCGGAGAGACGTCGGCCACTCCGCTCTGAATGTGTACTTCTGCGCATCCTTCGTCTCGGTAAGTTCGCAGTCGACATTCTATCGAGGTAACTCACAGGAGGTAGTGTATGGCGTCCGAGAGATAACGAGACGTAGGTATGCTACATGCATAGCTCAGCTGCCACACCTGCGAACCTATCAGGTTGTCCACGCCACGCGCGGAGGTTGACAGGCACGAGGGCAAGAGTTTCATATCGGAGCTGCCCACGAACAGTCAGGAGGTCAGAGGGTTGTATACAGTCTGACAGAGGTCCGAGGCCTGTTGGCGACTGACGTTCCGTTCTTGTGGGTGGTGTGCGGCGTGGATGGTTCTCAATGAAAGAAGGCCCATCTCGTGGGATGTATCGGCCTTGTGGCTGTCTGTCACCACGCAGGCGTTGATGACGTTGTGGGACGGACAGTTGCAGCGGCAATATGCGCACGCATGTGTCTATCGGGAGCTGAGTGGGCGGGTCTGAAAGTTGAACAGGGAGCGTCAGGGGTTGAACTGTTTAGGATGGTGGAGACAGGTAGACGTGCCTGTGGGACATGTTGGATGGCGAGAGGGCGATATTGGGATGCTCATCTCGGATCCGAGGGGAGATAGGTTGCGTGATCTGAGGGGACGATGGAATCGATCACGCTGCGTAAAATGCTCGCTGGGTGCCAAGATCTGTGTGTATCTGGAGCCCGGAACGGCAGGGTTCTGTGGCAGAAACCGGGCGTATAAGAGGACGGGTTCCTGGGGACGTTTGCCCGCTGCTCGCCTGTGATCCTCCATGGACTCTGGCCAAGACGGACCCCTGGACGGTGGACGTGGAGAGGGCGGGAAAGTGGGTGGTGGATGGCCGAAAGAGGTAGGAAAGTCGCACGGTGGTATGGGCTTCTGGGTGGTAGAGCACACCTGGCCTCGCTGCTCGTACTCACTGTGCGGTCTGCAGTGTTCGATTTAGGGATTCTACTCGCCGGTCGCTGTCTGGGGCTCTCTCAGCTGTCTCGCGCTGCGCCTCCCGCCTGATCTCGCCGTTCGTCGGCTGCGACTTCTCGGAACCCTCCCTGGCCTCCTTCTCCTGCCGTCGTTTCGCAGCTAGTACTACTCGCCTCCCTCGCCCGCCTAATCCCGGCGTGTGCAGATTGCCATGATTCATCTCGATCATAACCACTCCTCCTCCATCCCTGGCCCCGCTAATCCCCAGAACCTCATCCTCGCAAACTCCCCACGCCCCGATCAGCATCGCGTCCTCCCCTGGCCCGCCTCGCCCCCTGCCCGCGATGGCAGGTCCTTCTACCCGGATTCCCAGGAACAGGTCCTGACAGACCCTCCTCCTGCCCAGTCTGACAAGCCTTCCAACGACCCCTCAGCTTCCTCTTCCACGCTCTCTGCCGCCCACGGCCCTGTCACAGCCCCGGACGCTGGGAACCCCTCTCTCCCAGAGCCGACGTCCAACAGCCCAACCGACGCGAGGTCTCCGCCGCCCGACACCTCCTCCTCGCTTAGCCCTCCCCCGGATGCTACCACCCCCAGCCACGCGATGGCCGTGCCAGACGATCCCCCAGGACACCCCGCGCCCAATGGCCGTGCCCGAGACGTGGAGAAGCCCGGTGAGCAGCACGCCACGGCAAGCGAAATGGAGGGGGCATCCCGTCAGTCTACTCCTCTCAGCGAATTGTCCTCAGCTCCAGAAACTGCTCCAGACGACGAGGTCCCCAACAGCGACGGCCTTGCGCGCACTCTCGACGGCGACGCGACCAGCGCCAAGCCCGGTGGTGGTGGAGGTGGTGGTGAGGACGCAAAGCCACCCTCGGACGGGGGCAATGTGAGCTCATCTGCTGGTGCTGTAGCGTCCGCGGCCACAAAAGACGGCAACTCTGCCTCGCAACAGCAAACTTTCTCGTCCCCGGCCTCCCAGGCGCCTTCAAATACCAATGCGGACGGCTCGACGGCCGCAGGCGGCGACCAGAGCGCGGATGGTACTATGATCCCCAAAATGGCGTTAGGCCAGCACTTCGGTCAGTTGTCGCTACCGGACCGCACCCCTTCCAGTCAAGCGTTGTCCAGGGCATCCTCGCATGATCCTAAAGTGGTCAGCATATTGGAACTCAATTCGCTATTACTTAGGTTGGTAGACGTCATATGCAAGCTCTCCTATGTCGCTGACCGAACTCCAGAGTCTCTATGGAGTACCAAGCACGAGGTGTGCCGATGACCGAACCAGGTTTTCACCAGTGCGTCGTAGCGTTCCATCCGATCATATCAGGCATTTACGACCCGAAATCTCCAGATATTCATTAAGACTGCAGTCAAATCTCACATGGCTTGCAGCCGCGGCGGACGATAGCCATAAAGTCGTATGTACTCCCTGTTCCTTCAGATTGTAGCTTCAGTCGTCTCACACAAAACAGAGCCCAAACCTTGTTGCGCTCCCCATCATGCAGCCTCCTCCTATCGTCGAGTTCTCTGAGATGGAGCGTATAGTCCAGATTTACCGCGAGCTTCCCACCGTCTTTGCAAAGGAGATCGCCCGTCGACAGCAGCAGGGCATGAACGGGAATGCTAAGCGGGAACGGACCGAGGAACCTGGCCCGGACAACCTCCACAAGCGTCGAGATACAGGCGAGACCAAGGCTCCGACCACGCCCTTCATCACCCCAGGTCCGTCAACACCACATCCGCCGTCACAGCCCATGCAGCCGGTGATGAACCCCATGGCGAACCTGTCTGCCGGACCGGTCCCGCGCATGGGCAGCCCGGCTATGCCGCCCCCGCCGGTGCCTCCAGGTGCGATGGGCGCGAACGAGGCCCAGCTGGCCGCGATGCGTGCGCGGCAGCAGATGCGCATGGCGGCGATGCAGCAGCAACCGGACGGTCGCCAGATGTCTCCCCCTTCGGGCATGATGGGGATGGGGATGGGGAGCATGCAGAACGTCGCGGGGCCGTCGTCGATGGCGAACGTGCCCCAGCAGCTCACGCCCCAGCAGATGGCGGCGCTGCAGGCGATGGGCCCGCAGGCGGTGCAGAACTTCCAGGCGTTGCAGACCCCGGGGCACCCGTTCGTGCAGTATCTGACGCAGCAGATGCCCGGGTTCCCGCAGCTGCCGCTCCAGGAGAAGCTGCAGAAGATGCAGATGGCGCAGGTGAGTCGGACGGGTCTCGCGTCGGTGGGGGCTCGAGCGTTGATCGTGCGCTCCAGCAAATGTTGCAGGCCCGCCAACAGCAGCGGAACGCCCAGGCGCAGGGGGGTGGTGCGATGGGCGCCTTCCCCCAAGGGGGCATGCAGGGCGGTCTGACGCCTCAGCATACTGGCGACGGCAGCCCGTCGAGGATGTCGCCGGTGTCGCAGTCGCCTATGCAGCCGTCGTTCCCCCAGAACGCACCTGGCGACCCACGGTCCATGATGACGCCGCAGCAGCAACAGGTCCTCGCGAGCATGAATCCCCAGCAGCGGCAGCTGTACCTCATGCAGCAGCAGATGCTGCGCGGCGGGCAGCAGGTGGGCGGCGGGATGAACCCGCAGATGATGAACCCCCAGCAGGTCATGCAGGAGCGCATGCGGATAGAGCAGCAGCGGCTAGCCCAGGCGCAGGCACAGGCCGCCGCCTCGGGACACGTCTCCCCGCCGAACGCCATGGGCTCCCCGATGGTCGACGGCCCCCAGTTCCCTGCGCTGCGCTCAAACCCGGGCATGCCGGGGATCGCGCGGAGCACGCGGACGCCGTCGGACTCGAACCCCTCGCCGGTGTCGGGCCAGCGCATGTCGATGTCCGGCCAGAGCCCCGAGGACCAGCAGCGCGCGATGATGATGCAGCAGGCGCAGGTGCAGCAGCGGGGGATGGCCCCACAGCAGCAGCAGATGCAGGCCGGCTTCGGGAACGGGAACCCGATGGCGAACCAGGCGTACGCCGCGCACATGCAGCAGATGGGCATGGGTGCGCAGAACCCGAACCCGTACGGGATGGGCTCGCCGCCGGGCTCCGCGGGGGGCGCGCCGTCGCCTGCGGCAGGCGGGCAGATGTACGGGGGCATGGGGGGACAGGGATTCCCGGGGGCGGGTGGAGGCGGGGGCGGGCCGTTCATGGCGCCGTCGCCGTCGGCGAGCCAGCACGACGGGATGACGCCGGGGCGGCAGACGAGCGCGACGCCTGCGCCTCATCCGCAGATGGGCGGCGCGAACCCGGGGGGCGACCAGGCGGGGCTGAGCGAGCTCGACTTCTTCAACTGGGGCCAGTGATCCCGAGTCTGCGTCGGTCGGTCGTGGTTTGCCTTTCGATCTGTTCTTCCGCCCTGTGCGTAGTTGTGTCTGTTGCTCGCCGGATCTCCCGCGCCCGCTCCTCTGCTGTTCGTCGTTTATGCCGTCGTGCTGGGACTTCTCTGTCTTCTATGCTTACGTCGTTCGCTATCCGCTAAGTACTACTACTATTATCTTAACAGGCACCCTACGCACCTCCCACGCCCCGCCTATGCGCTGCGGTCCGTCTATCCCCATCTCCATCCCCGTCGCCATCCCCGCTATCAGTCCTCGCGTCGTCTTGTATACTTTGGCTCTGCCCGTCGTCCTCCCTTCCCGCTATCCTCCTTACTCTGGGCCGACCGCCCTGCCTTCGGTCTGTCTGTATCGTACTTAGGGGCCGATCTGTCGTAGTATTTCTCTCGAAGCTATGGATACATCCCTGTTGTAAACTGTCGCTGACTCTGTGGGGTTGGGGATGGCTGGCAGAGTCGTTGCGATTCATCTGCTGTCGATGAAGGGCCATGGCTTTCGTAGGACCGTTGAGTTGCTTATCACCGGCCGCGGGATCATGTGTGGTGCGGTGGGCGTGCGACATGTCGATTCCTCCGATCCTCAACGGACTTCGCGAAGCCCAGGTGTCTTGCGGGTTGGGTGAGAGCAGTGCTCGAGGCACATATCATGACTCGACTCGATCAATATGATTGTCATCGTCATGATCATCCGAATATTGGCAATCGTGGACATGGGTGGCGGGACGATCTCAGAAGAGCACACACCAGTGGCTCTTCGATGTCTTCCGTAGGACTCGGCACCGCGCACGAAAGATTCTCTATTACGGCACAGCCGCTCGCGTACTGTAGACAACTGTAATTGGCGGGATCATGATGAGGCACGGGCTGTGTACCGTTGACCACGATCAGCCACGGCCTCTCGCACGCTCTCGCGCGGCGGCGAGTCGAGATCAGAGAACGCGATCCCAGCTGCATTGCCCTCCTGCCTATATGTATGGCCTGAATTCGAATATCGGCGCGTACACTCCCTTGCTCACGGACCACGAACGACCCTGTTAGAGGGGCTGACGACACGATACTAGGACAGGATGGTCTTCGCGCGACTCACGCCACAGGACAAGGACGCGTTCTTCTCGCTGCTGGACGAGTAAGTACATCGGTGTCCTCTGTACTGCCATCGCTAGGGTTTTGAACCTATCGCTCACGCCTCGGGTCGCTTGGAACTGACGACACCCTATTCGTGCTCCTCCGCTACGTCTAGGTACTTCGCATCTCGTCCGGAGCTGTTTGGAAATGGAGGGAGTGGGATGACGAACGGGCAGAGAGCGGCAGCAGCGTCCGCGGTGCACCAGGCGTTTTCTGCGGCCCCCGCACTGGCAGTGGCTGCCCCGGCAGTGAACGGGTGGAGGAGGCCGCAGCAATCTGCAACAACCGATTCGGTGCGTCTCTCCCTCCTGTAGGCGTGCAGAGGAGCGATCCTGATGCGTGTCGTGTTGTGTCGTGTGCGATGTGGCTTGTATGTATAGCCCGCAGAGGAGAGTACGCCTGTGGCCGGACGGGTGGCGGCTGCGGCGGCCGCGTTGAGGGCAGCGAACGGCGGTCCGGCTGCGGCGACTCCCAACCAGAACGGATTCCCAAGGCCGCCGCCGCGGAGGGCTCCGAGCAGCTCTGAGGAGTCTGCCACGCTGGGGTCGGAAGCAAATAAGCTTGTAGCAAGCAGGGTAAGCCGCTTGTCACTTGGCCTCTGTCCCGGTATTGAGCATCCCCATTGCTCGGACTACACTTCCGGGCTCTTTCATTCGTTCCGGATTTTCTCATTGCAACACGCATCCCCCAGAAATTCGGCGATGTGGACTTGAGCTCGGGCAAGAATATGTTCTCGTCTATCCGAGGCTCGACCGCCGCCAAGCACGCAGGCCCTGCGCAAGTCGCGCCTCCCACACCGCCCGCCTTCAAGCGTAACACGGAGTTCGCGCCGCCTCCCAGGCGCGTGCCTTCTACCGGGTCGTCTGTTACCGCTGCGTCCCCCACTCCGCCTCCGGCACTACCGAGAAGACAGCCTACACAAGAGGAGAGCGGAGAATGGGCGGAGGCATTGTATCCATATGAGAGCGATGTACGTCTTCGTTCTCCCGTCGGAATACCTGGGCGGGCAGAAGGCTGATTGACGGCTGTAGGATCCGGGCGACTTGCCCTTGGAGGAAGGTGTCCGTGTGCTCGTGGTTGAAAAGACCTCCGATGACTGGTGCGTCCCTTGAGATTCCCGGCTCGTTGACGGTTCTGATGCGAGAGATCACAAGGTGGACTGGAGAGATTGACGGGCGCCGGGGTCTCATCCCTGCTGCATATGTCAAGGTACTGTAGGAGTTCTGGGTTCGGATGGTATTTGGCGTGATCGGACTATCTCCTTGCTTGAATGATTTTGCATATCTCAGGCGTCTAGTTGGATAGTGGCGTCTGTATGTATGATTACCTGGACGTTCTCCGTACGAATCTACTTGTGCGATACAGCTTGCAATGGTGTCCTTCTGCGAATAGTGAGCGCCTAGATCAAGCTGCTCGATACGCGACTCGATCGGGAAGACGAGCTGATCTGCGGTGGCTTCGTGGCGTCATTCTCTACTGAACAACCATCATGCTCGAATGCAGTCTTCGGTGAGTGCAGCAACGCTTGGTAAATGGCATACAAGGACGCAAGCCTACGACTCAGAACATGGAATCTTTTACCTGGAAACGGAGGCCATCTCGATCGCGAGGAACCGGCGATGGCCTCTGTCAGACTCGGTCTTCTTCGGTAGCAGCCTCAGCCGCCAGCTTTGCCAGCCTCCCTCTGAGCCGTATATCATGCCCAGTGCATGCTGTTGCGGCCCTTGCGCTTGCTCGTCTATGTGCTAGCGACCTACACGCATCTCTCAGCTATCGTACTGCTATCGTATTGCTTTCGCTGCTCTGACCGCCGTCTTCTCTACGGTGACCCTCGCTGCTCCTTCACCTCCTTCACCCCAACCATTCGCTCTTCCCGCTCCCGACTCTTTTCGGGTCGATCGATAGCGACTCGGCGGTGTGTGCTTATTTGTTCGTTCGAGTCTCCCGCCACCTTAAAAGCCCGCCCGCCCGCGCCCTGTTGCTCCCTCCCGCTCCCTTTTTAATTCGTCTTCTCTTCTTATTGCTTTCGCCCTCGACGGGCACCACATTCCCGCTACATCCCCCACGGTCCCTCCCCCTCCCCCTCCCTTCGCCCATTGGCACTTCCCTTATACCATACATCTAAACCCCGCACACGGTCTCCTTCATCTCACCTCGCCGTCATGTCCGCATCCGACCCCCGCCATCCCGCCTCCCTCCTCCCGCGGTCGCTGCACAACCGCGAGCTGCTCACGCTCATGCACCAGCCCGTGTCCTATGACATGATCAACCACATCGCGATGCAGACGATGAGCGTCATCAAGCTCGCGGAAGACTCCCAGCCCGACGCGGAGGGTGGCGAACCCGCTGCTGAGGTGCTCCCGACCCCACCTACGACACCGCAGAAGACGTCCCCCGAGCAGGGCCAGGGACCGAACCAGGCGCAGCAGCAGCAGCAGCGGCAGGCTCAGCTCCCGAGCCTTCAGGACTTCATCATCTTCATATGCCAGAGCTCGCACGTGCAGGTACCGACGCTTCTGACGACGCTCATCTACCTCGAGCGGCTGCGGACGAAGCTCCCGAAGATGGCGAAAGGTGCGTTCCTGTGCTTGGAATCCGCATATATGCTTCCTGCCGGATAATGGATTTTGCGCTTACATTTGTGAGACGACAGGGATGCCGTGCACGCGCCACCGCGTGTTCCTCGCAACGCTCATCGTGGCGGCCAAGTACCTCAACGACTCGTCTCCGAAGAACAAGAACTGGGTCAACTATGCCCGGCTGTTCGAGCTCGCCGAGGTTAACTTGATGGAGAAGCAGCTGCTCTACCTCCTTGACTACGACCTGCGCTTCAACGAGGAGGAGGCGCTGCAATACTTTGCGCCCTTCCTTCCGCGGTCTAGTCCAAAGCCCGAGGCAGATGCTGTCCCTTGCGCCGAGGCAGCGGCAAAGGAGACTCGCGCGGCGGCTGTCACCCGTGCAAAGGCCCGCGTCCAGGCGACCATCAACGTTCCGGCGAGCAACCAAGGTGCTCCTGCACCTCTTCCTTCTCCCGCGGCGAGCGTCTCGAGCGTACAGAGCTTCGTCAAGCGCCTCTCGACACAGTATCTCAGTGTGCCTACTGGGGAGAAGCAGGACACGAAGCCACGAGCCACCTTGTCGAGGGTTTCGTCGAGCAGCACGCTCTTCAGCGCACGGAGCCACAGCGAGGAGTCAGAGGCGAGCCTCACGTGCGACAGCGGGTCTTCGTCACCGTCGTCCCTTGCGTCGTCCGACGGTCCCGCGTCCGATGTCGAGTACGAGGTCGAGATACAGAATGCATCCGCCACCGCTTGCGACGAACGTCAGGCCAAGGCCCTCGCCGCTGCGTACATGTACGGGCACAGGCAAGGCAGGAAGGTCTCGGCGGCATCGACGTGCACGATCAAGAGCGATGCGACCGTCACGGGAGGTCCCCACGAGATCAAGCGGTTGGCGATGCGCATGACGAACTCGGATCGGTCGAACTCGAGCTCGTCCTCGGATTCGTCTTCGCCTTCGACCTCGCCGTCGCAGGCCGTCCATCAGCCGTTGCTCCATGGCCGTGGGCGGGGCATGCCTATCCGCTCGACGTCGCACTCGGCGGGCCATGGTAGCGAGGGAGGACCGGGGATGGTAGTGTCGTCGTCGACGATGCCCTCGCTCGCGCGTACCGCGACCTCTGGCAGCTTCCTGAGCCGCATGTGGGCGGCGACGAAGGGCCAGGCTGGGGCCGCTGAGAAGGAGGGCGTGCTCGCGGCGGCGGAGGAGGGCGGCCCGAGCAGTGCCTTTCGGAGACTGGCGCATTCCAAGTCTACGGCTGCGCTGTTTCGGGGCCAGCAGCAGATCGACGTATGATCTGTGGGCGTATGCGCCCCTGATGCTGTATGGGTTCGCGGCGGGACAAGATGGTGACGACGACGACGACGACGATGGTGAAGATGTGAACGTACACGACCCTGATGCGGACAAAACGCGCACACCTTTTGACCTGTGTTTTCCCTCTTGTGCGGACTAGGATGTTGGACCTTGTCTCTGTTCCGATTTTGTTGTACGATTTGGCCGGTTTCATCCTTCACCCTTCAGCTTCTCGCATGCTGGACAGCCTACCCCTTTGTTGCTTCTACATTACTAGACTACTTTACGTTCACTCCGCAGCACGCTTTCGTTTTGTTGGTCTTTCGTGCGGCTGCGGTCCGTGGCGTACCTTGTCCATACTAGTTTGATCCGCGCACATCACTATCCTAGACGCCCACTTCTCCCGTTGAGCGCATGGACCGTTTCCTGTTTGTAAGGAAGCCGTGTATGGGACGTACTGTAGCCTTAGTCAGTCCTGGCCGACTCCGTGTTAATTCGGAGGCGTACCCTTGGTATGGTAGACGGTGATATTGGAGGGAGATAAGACCACGTTGGAATACAGGCGATGGCCAACAGACGCGTGACGTAACGCGACGGGTGCGGTGGCTGCAACGTGTCGTGGAGAAGGCTACAGCGAGCGAGCGAGCGAGGAGGATGCATGTCCTGCCACCGTCCTCGTCTCCGTCCGCCGTCTGCTCTCTCTGGGCGAGCGATGAGCGATATCACCACATACGAAGCCATACGCGGCCTCACCCTCGCCCCCATCGCAGACTGGGCCAGCATCCTCACTCTCATATTCGGGGGCTGCTGCAGGTACGCCACCTTCCCTCCCGCGCGGTCACCGAACGCACAGATGCACGCACAGATGCACGCACAGATGCTCACACCGGTGCCCTTCATGCAGCAACGCGCTCACGCTCGAGCAGCTCACCCGCGCACACCCCCACTCGGGCTCCCTCATCACCTTCGCCCAGTTCCTCTCCATCTCCGCCCACGGCCTCCCCAACTTCCTCACCCTCCCGCCCCCGCACCAGCGCCCCGTCCGCTGGCTCCCCGTCCCCCGCCTCCGCAAGCGGCGCGTCCCGCTCCTCCCCTACCTCGTCCAGGTCGCCCTCTTCTATGCCGTCTCCCTCCTCAACAACAGGGCGTTTGCGTACCGCATCCCCATGCCCGTCCACATCATCTTCCGCAGCGGCGGGCTCGTCGTTAGTATGCTCATGGGTTGGCTGTTTGCCGGCAAGAGGTGCGTCCTGTGTCTTGCGAACGCCGCGCGCGTCCTGCCGCTCGCGTTTGCACCGTACGCAGCATCGCTCACTCACCGCGCACCGCGCCCTCGCAGGTATAGCCTGACGCAGGTCGCGTCCGTGCTCCTCGTCACCACCGGCGTCGTCCTCACCACGCTCTCCGCGTCCAAGCCCACGACGAACGCTCAGCCGTCGTCGTCGTTCTCTGCCGAGTCGCAGTCTGCCACGGGGCCATCTCCGACCGTTCAGTACGCCACCGGCATCGCGATCCTCGCCCTCGCCCTTGTCTTCTCGGGCGCGCTCGGCCTCGCGCAGGACTGGACGCACAATCGCTACACGCGCGCCCCGCCCGCGCCCGCGAACGGCCACGCGAAGACGAAGGCGAAGACGAACGGGACGCCCCCCGCGGCGAGCCCGAGCCCGCCCATCGGGAAGCGCACAGACGACGACCACGTCCAGCCGTGGCAGGAGAGCATGTTCTACCTCCACTTCCTCTCCCTCCCCATGTTCTGGTTCGTCCGCGCCGACCTCGCCGCGCAGGTCTCCGCGCTCAGCGCGAGCCCGCCCGTCCTCCTCGCCCTGCCCCCGTCCCTCGCCGCGTCCCTCGCGGGCGGGGACTGGTCGGGCGCGTTCACGCCCGGGAAGCCCGCGCCCCCCTGGGCGCGTCTCCTTCCCCTGCCCCTCGCGAACGCGCTCGCGGGGCTCGCGCGGGCGCTGCTGGGGATCCCGAGCGCGTACGTGCCGCTCGCGCTGACGACGCTGACGAGCATGGTGTGCGTCGCGGGCGTGAACCGGCTCTCGGCGCGCGTCGCGAGCCTGACGGTCACGCTCGTGCTCGTCGTGCGCAAGGCGGTGTCGATGGCCGTCAGCGTCGCGCTCTTTGGTCCGAAAGCGGGCGCGGGCGCGGCGGAGGTCGACGGGCGGATGATGGCCGCGGGCGCGGCGGGTGTGTTTTTGGGCACGCTGGGGTACGCGCTCGGGTCGCGGAAGGGGGGCGCGGAGGGGGAGGGGAGGCGCAAGGGAAGGGAGAAGGAGAAGAGGGACTGATTTGGTGTGCTGTTCGTTGTGTTTGATGGTTCGCTTAGCTAGCGGTCTCTGGAGCCTTGGATCGGATACGGACTCTGTTGTTGTTGTACGTGCCTCATGCTCGGTATATTGTACGGCTTGCGATGTACATCCACTATAGATACCAAACTTACACGATGCAGAACGGCTCGGAACGGTAGAAGAGCGTCGGAAGTGCTGGTATTCAGTAGTCTGCAACAGACGCAAAAAGGACAACTTCTGCATGATCGACGGCCCAAAGCATGTGGAGCTCAGGAGTAAGGATAGCAGTCGGACGAACGAAACGCGAGCTCGGCAAAGCAGGAGATGGCAAGAGACGCTCGACGGACACGCGACGTATCGTTCTGCCTGGTTGCAGACGTTCGCGGAGAGATGTGGGTGCGAACAGCGCACGGAAGGAAGCACGCGCGAAAGTCGTAGATGGCCTCTGGGGGGCCTCCTCCAGGCACACAGGCGAGGAGCCCCTGGCGGCCAGGCCGTCGCGTCGCAGTCGTGAAGCCGGATCCGGATCCATCGTCCAGACGTCGGCCGGGTCGTGAAAGGTGATAGTCCCCAAAGCGTGGAGAAGGGCAACGTAGGCGTTGCAGAGGAGGTCCAATGTGCGATGCGCCGGTGGAAGGATGAGGCGGACGACGCCCGGATTGAGGGTGACCTGCCTGCATCCGGTCGTCCGACAGAGACGCACCGGGGAGGCATTCGAATAAGGCCGGCTTTGACATTGGAGACGCAGAACTGCTGGCTACGACCACGTACGTATGACTTCCACCTGGAGTCGATGCCCATTCGCGTCAACGTTCGAGTACCCCACCATAATTTCTTGGCAGTAGAGTCGAGCCGAACAGGTCCGGTTCCCGTAGCATCCACCTTGTGCATCGAACAAATGACCATTATCGGACTGAGCTCGGGCGCAGACAGTAGAACAGGATGCAAAACAAAACGAGAGCGGGAGCACGATAGGTGGGTAAGTACAGTAGGGAGGAGCGAGTTCGCAGGATTCAAATACTACGCTACGATTACAGAACGGGAACTCACGCATCCTCGGGGTCGTCCCAGACAGGCTCCTGGCCGACGGCGATATTCCAGACAGCTTGGAACAGCCTGGTTCCCCCGTGTGTCGGATGTGCAGAATACATTGACTGGGCAAGGTCCTCCAGCATCTGTTGGTTGTCCCCAACCGTGAAGTAGGGTGCAAACTAGCAAGCGGGAGCCACAAAGAGACAACAGCAGCAAGGAGATGAACATGAACCAGAGGAGCGGAGCCGAAGTTATCTCGGGTCAGCCTATGTTCTTCATCAAGGATAACAAATTTGACTCACCGTCCTGACCCAATTGCGGAACCAGCCCCAGGTTTCCCAGATGGCCCACTTATCGTCCTCCCAATTCGCACGGTTATGCCACGCCTTTTCGGTGAGCACCTCCGTCTTATCCTCTGCGCCTGCTTCCGAAACAGCGAGGTGGTCGAGGAAACCTTCCATGGTGCGCCGGAGAACGGCCTTCTGCTCGCGATGTAGAACCTCGATCGCATTCCTTGCCGCTGTCAGCTGGGGGGTCTCTCCAGCGGGTGCAGCATCTGATCGTGGAGTCAGCGAACGGAGTCCTGGTGAGGACGGAACTAAGGTGAGGATCCTACGTACCCAACTGGGCGTCTCCATCAACCTCCATGCTCGCGTTTTCGTTAGCCAACACTCGTGCAGCTCTCTCGTCCGCCTCTCTGCTGAGCGCAGCGACCTTCCTCTTCTGGATAGTCACACGTCCGTTTGCCTTGTCCAATGCAGACTTGAGCAGATCCCACTGGAACGCGTTGAAAGTCTTTTTCGCTTGGCCGTCGACGACCAGCGTGTAGTCTGTGAACGTCCACGCGACGACGTCTGCAGGGTCGACGATCTGGTACTGCATCAGCTTGTCGAAGACAATGAGGATCATGTGCCGGCTCCGACGCCAGACCCGCGCAACGGCGCTCATGATGTCCCTGCGCGCGTCGGCACTGGGCGAGCCAGAAGCCGTGATTTGCCCAGCCGCGAGGTTGCGAAGGAGAGGCAAGTAGCGCTCGATCGCGTTGAGGAAGTGCGAGAACGAGCGCGAACCGATCGACAAGAGAGACTGGACGGTGATCGAGCGGAGGAGGGTGTCGACACTCATGTCTCCCTCGATGGTCTCTGACAGCTGGTTGCGGATGGATTCCAGCTGCTGCATCACGTCGTCTGGTTTAGCGCGGCCACGGAGCAGGTTGAGAATGCCCTGAGCAGGTTCATGGTATGGGCTTTCTGTGGGGGCACGATGTAAATACGCTGAAAAGCAACGCTATGCCAGTGGACATACCAGGCTCTTCGTACTCGAATTCGGGGCCTGGAGCCGACTCAGGCATGACCTGAACACTCGGTTCAGCCATAGCTTCAGGCAGCGTGCGCAAGACTCTGTCGTAGTAAGACAGCCTGATCTCGTACTCAACCGCCCGGCGCATGAAGCTACGTCTAGGATGTTGAGATACCAGCGTCAGGTCGGGAATCCTGGGTACCGGCGGAGAGCTTGTCAGTCACACAAATGATTGAGTAACTCCGGACTGCGACTCACCATTCCTTCCACACCCAAATGAAGTTGAAGTTGCTCATGTGAACGGCGAACCATTCCGCAAAGCGATGCGCAGCCTCGACATCAAGACCATCCGCGAGCAACGCGTACAGCTTTCGGATGGACTTGCCAACGGCGGGACCAACGGACTGAGGCTGGGCCTTGCAAAGCTCGGTGATTAGCGCAATGTAGTAGATTGACTTATGCGCTGACTCGGGCAGCAAGAGCATCGCGTCAAGGATGGTCTTATGGATACGTTAGATGCTGGCTCAACACAGAGAGTAAACATCAAAACAGACCTCGATGAGGGTGTTCTCTAGATCCCACCCCTTGCCTTCCACAGGAGACTGCGGTGGGGCTCCGGCTTTTGGTTTGAATGTGCCAGGCAACGTCCATTTCGGGTACTCCAAGAGCAAGCGTGCGCACTCCTTGCGGTTCACCTCGAAGATGTCAATCATATCAAAGAGATTAGAGCGCAGGATATATCCGACAGGGGTCGTGGGATCCGGAGTTACCTGCAGGTGTGGTCAGCTTCGTGAATGTCACGAATTCCGATGGGAAGCCTTACGTCGTCGTCAAAAAGGCGAACGTAACACTGTGGCCACTCCCCCTTTCTGCTACTCTCTACGCCCTCCTCTTCGACTTCTGGGGGAACAAGAATTGCCTCGAGGTCGAATAATTCTCCCGTCAAAGGAGGTGAGTCCAGGTAGGGTTGAGGGACGCTGTCGGCAGTGTGCGCGAAATCGTTGGCCGCCAAGGTTCGCAGTACAGAGAGGGCGCAGCTTAGCCACTGGACAAGAGAAATCAGGCAAGCGGTCTATGGGATGGGCTGAAGTATGCTTACCTCGCCTGCGTGCTCAAGTACATCTTTTGTGTCTCCAAGCTGGATCACATTCTTCGTGGCGTGCAGCCGAACAACCGGCTGAACAAGCAGCTTGGTGGGAATCTTCTGGTCCATTTCAATGAAACTTTGGATCGTCTCAATGAGGTTGAAGATATCCAAGGATGGGTCCTCCTTGAGAACGGCACCTGCCTGCACGGTATATGCTCAGCATACCATCATGAGGACGACGTCGTCCGACTTACAATGAAAAGACCCTCTGCAACACACAGCGCAGCCTTCGTGGAACGGTTGTGAGTGGAATCGATGGAAACTATGACCTCCTTGAAGGTGTCCAGGAGGTCATACATCGACCTCGCTGAAATAACTCGCGCGACGGTCAAGTGAGCAAAGAAATGGACCTATGGACACATGAGCTCGGATTTGACGAGGAATGCGCCGAAGTGAGCGTACACATAGCCGCATTTCCCTCCATGCATGCTTCTCGATGAACTCGCGGAATGCTTTCCAGAAGTCGTCCAACACCAACCTTCCCAACGGCTCAGTCGCTTCTTCGGAAGCAGCGCGGTCATAAAGCAGCCTCAGCAATGCTGCATAGTACGGAATCTTGAAGGGCTGTTCCGTTACGCTGTCAAGGTATGAGCAAACATTCTGTAGATGTTCAGAAACAAGTCGCAATGATAAAATACGCTAAGGTTGGGGTAGAACTGCATCACACGCGACACCGTCAAGAGCCGCGTCACAGGAGGACAAAGGAGTCTGCGGGCTGGGACTGACGGTTGTGGTTAACCGAGTCCAGGTAGCATGAGGAGGCAAGACATCGCCATGTAGCTGCACCTCCGCGAGATCCGTTGTGAATTCCAAAGCAGTGATAGCCGAGCGACGACGCGGCCAAAAGGCGCACCACGGAAAGGGGTGAAGTCGCGTTCCCAAACGGCTTCGCTTCTGGGGGGTAAGCACTCGAAATGAACAGACGTACCCTATCCGGAAACCCTCTGTAACGGCAGGTACGTTGGTGGGCGTGTGCTCAAAGATCTGGGTAGCAAGGCGAGGGAGCTCTTGGAGGGGATCCTACGGGCAGAATTGCGGTTAAACGCGGGTCAGGAGCAATGGAGGTTGGTACACACCACCTCGCCGTAGTGTATGATGTTTTTCCTCAGCTTCTGCTCCGGTGTCTCATAGTAGTCACGCTGTTCATGGTGATCTGCTTGGGTGTGGTTAAGCTATCGGCAATACACTAGAGAAGTACGCTCAGACTTACCTGCATGGTGCCCTCGTTTACCGTGACGGCGGTAACTCATGTTTAAACTCCTGGAAATGTGTTGTCGATTGTCCTGGTCGGCTGAGGCTTCGTCTGAAGGCCCACCGCAAATGAATCACAGCCAGTAACTGGTATTAGGAACACCCGGAAGGGAAACAGCTAGAGTGTCACGATGGTACAGGCTCAAGGCCAAGTTGAGAGCGCCCGCTGCAGTTCGATGCCTCCGGAGATTTCGCCGCGGGGTGCAGATTTATTTTCGCAATTTCTGACGATAAGTCCCTGCGGCCATCCGGGCTGGGCGTCATCGACGGCGAGCTCGTCCCTACTCGTCCCCCTTTCGCCTCGCTCTGCGTAGCCAACACTTGTTCACTTCTAGAGGGTGTTCTTGTCTGGAACGGCTCCTTGTAGCGGAGCCAGCAGGCTGCTCTAGTGAGTGACCTTTTCCCTGCCTCGCGAGAGTCGTCCTTTCAACCTTGGCGTGCTCAGTATGCAAGACACATGCCATGTAATTGGTCGACGACGACCAGTTTTCTGTCTCGACGAGCATGCTCGACATGGACAAGCTTCAACGCGGTCAAGCGGCAGGGGATGTCTCGTGCTATCTCGCAAGGCGGGTCTTTTTGGCACGCTCCGGTAACCCGCGCCCAGCTGCACCCAGTAGCGTGTATCGATTCACGCAACAGCACGCTGTCCACATCTCCAATGCACGGCTGTGGGCGAGCGTATAGTGCAGCCGTTGCCCTCTCATCCCCACCTCACGCCAATAATGCTCCACAGTCTTCCTTGTCCTCCGCGCTCGCCTCTACAACGGCTCAGTTGAGTGCTGCACAAGTCTCCCGCGCTGCTGCCCAAGCTGTCCGTCTCTGCATCAAGGAAGGTGGCTTTGGGGACGCACTGTATGTTGTCAACTCTGCCTGCCATTCTGTTCTACGCGACCCTCTGCAGCCTCAAGAGGATAATGCACGCAACTCTCGATTGCAGCCCATTTCCTTCGGTCGCCCTGTCTCTCCTCGCCTCGCCGCCCACGCGTTTCTACATGGTCTTATCCGCGGAGGCTATACGCGTAAGGCCAACGTCTATGCCAAGCTCATGATTGAAGCCGGCATTACCATCCGTACTAGGACCCTCGAGTCTGTTATCACTACCGCCCTATCCCGACCCTCTACTCTGCTCAAACCTGGGCCTTTCGCTCGTATGATACCCAAGAAGCAGGTTGATGCGACTTCGGCGGCATTCAAACTCCAGACCGGTATGGTCACTGAGGTTTGCGCACGCGCAGCTCTTGAATTGCTCCAAACAGCGCGTACCTTCGGCCAACAACGTACGGAGCGCATGTACCGAGTCTTGGTGGAGACCTTGCTCATGCAAGGAGAGATCATCGTTGCGTCTCTACTCTTTGTGCTACTTCTCCAGGACTGGGAGCTCCGCAAGATACAGGAAGGTGCTACGCAGGAGGCAACAAAGGACCGCATCACCTACGACCACCTCGGCGTTGACCCTCCGCACCCTGCCAAGATTCTCCATGCCCCGTATCCTGACCTGCAGATCATGGGCAGAATTTTGGAGGTCGCTAGGAAGTCGCTCGCTGGAATCAGCGACAATGAGAAGGACTTGACTCGTATTACTTCCTTGCAGAGCCTAGCCTTGTTCGCGATGCTCCTGGATACGGGTCAGCTGCACACTCATCGCGTTGCAGTCGTTATCCATGCGCTGTACAACTGCCCCAAGACGAATACTCGCGTCTGGATCCTGCGAGATGGAGAGCTGGTTCAAGTAGGGGCGTACCGATACTTCCACGATATTCTCAATCGACTCGTCCGCTCACTGTCCACCGACAATCCACCGCGACCTCTGCCCACGATGTCTAGGCGAAGTTACAATGCGCTCCTCATGTACTCATTGCGACATCGATTATCGCCGGCGATGGGCTCCATCGTCCTACAGCATATGTGCGTCGAGCGAAAGCCTCCGTTGCGCCCCGACATCGTTACCTTCAATATCCTATTGCGGTCGGGTACTTTAATGCGGAAGTTGAGCCTCAGCGAAGGCGTCTTGGCGGCTCTACGTCTTGGGAATCAGGAATTGAAGCTCGAGAGTTCTTCCTTCAACAAAGTAGCTCCCGATTCCGACGCTGGGCCCTCTCCTGTCAATGCCACAGACAAGTCTTCCGACCCTAGCTCCGCATCTGACCTGCCTCCCTCCGACTTCACTGCCGCAGTCGCTCAACTCAGCAAGGAGGATGTAGTTGCACCCGAGGACATCATCAACCCTATCGTAACCCTAGAGCCCAATAACCACACCTTAACGAGTTTCATTACTCATCTCACGTCAACCGGCCGACCTGACGCTATAGCCACTGTGCTCTTTGACATCCTTCCTGAGCTCAACGTCATCGACCATCCCGCCACAAATGACTCCGCCAACGTACACACAACCCTGAGCTACACGCGCGCCCTGAAGCAGGCCGTCGTTCGTGGTCCGTACCTCTATGCGGCCCTGATCAACGCCCTGGTCAAAGCGGGGGAGATCGGGCTTGCGGAACGCGTATTCATTCTCGCGCAGCAGGCAGCGATTGCCAGCAGCCTCAGGAACTTCGTCAAGGAGGTCAAGCCCTGGCGGCTCTCCGTCCATGCCTTCACGTCCCTACTACAGGGCTATGTTCGCCTCGCGCTTGGGCACCTCCCGAAGTACAAGCGCGACCAGTACTACGTCGGGACAAAGCTCCTCTCTAGGGACATCCTCGGCTGGGAGCCTAAGGCGCGGCATTACGACGCTGGCTACGCGCAGTTCGTGTACGAGATGCGGGAGGAGAACCTTGCAGCGCTGAGGAAGCCCTCCTCGAAGCGCGAGACGAGTCGCCGCCACGCGATGCTGCTGTACCGATCGATGATGCTTGGGGCGCGGTCGCTCCTGACGGGGCTCATCTCGCGCAAGGCGACGTGGCCGACGCACTACGACAGCTCGCGGGTCACGCAGGCTCGCGTGGGCAGGGCGTGGTGGTGGAAGACGAAGCCCGACGCGCGGTTCTTCAACGTTGCGCTCAAGCTCTTCAGTGCGGCGTCGCGAGCGGAGCGTAGCAAGCTCCTTCCCTCGCGGATTTGGCACAAGCGGCTGCGGAATGCGAAGCGGAGGTACGGGGAGACGGGCGAGATGGCGGACGGCTGGACGCCGATGCTGCACCACGTTGCGCGGGCCATGGTCGCTCATGGGTTCGATGTCCCGGTGGCGTATAGGCACCTGCTTGTTGGAAAGTGGAAGGGGTCAATGAAGGCGAGGCGTAAGAGGCCAATGGTGTTCCACCGGCCGTATGCCTTCCCGCCTGCCAGGGTCGAGAGGAGGGAGTGGCCGCATTCGTTGCCCACAGTGAAGACAAGAGGGTTGCCGGTGCGGAGGCGATGGAGAAAACGGACCACGGTTGATTGTGAGAGCAAGCCTGTATCACAGTGACAGTGTAGTGTCAAGGCGCAAAAGTAATCCTATAAGTGCTTGCATTGTCGGTCGGGAACGTTTCAGCCACCATCGCGCTGCATGGGGATAGTAGGATACGAGCATTACTGAGTGTGCTAAGTAGATAGAGCAAGGTAGATGATTTGTCGTCATGTCGTCCGAATGCCTTCTAGATATACGATAACAGCAGTCTTGCGAGTATCCCTCGGCTTCCACTCGTTGCCCAACTTCGTCAATCCAGCCAAAGTTTCCTCCAATCGCCTATTGACCTCGGCGGGCTCTACCGCCTTGATATCAACTGGCACATCCTGCGCGTCCTTGGCCTTCTTGGGCGGCGGGGGTGTATGGAACGTAACCTCGACACGCGCACCTTTTGACAGAGCCGTCTCGACCGCCTTCAACCCCTCCCATGGCTCGCCCCCAGTGTACGCCCAATCTAGCTCATGGGTCTGTTTCCGCGGCCGCAAGCTCTCCAGAAACAACGCAGTCATATGCTTCTGGACCGCCCTCTCCTTCCGCTCCCTGCCCACATCCTCCAGCAGTCGAACGGCCTCCTCGATCATCGCCTGCTGTTCCGGTGGACTAGGGACTTTCTGCCCCTTCTTGATTGCGAAGATGAGCGTGACACGGTTCCCGTCCAAGAGGTCTTCCCGAGCCTTCCTGAGCTTGAATTGCAGATCGCCCATCCCGACACCCCACGTGAGCTGCAGCTCCTTCTCCTCGGGAGGACGGTTCTGCTGCTGCCGTTCCTTCTTTGCCTTGCCCCGCGCGTAGAGCATTTTGGTGTTGATGATCTTCACAATCGGCTCCGGGTTTTCATTGACGAGCTCGAGATACTGGGTCTTGCGGTCGAGCGTAGGGAGAATATTTCGGAGGAGCGTGGGTGGTTCGAGTGCGCCTGTCTCGGGGTTGACAAGGCGAACGTACCGGTAACGGATGGCTTCATTGCGGGGATTCTGCAGCGGCTTTTTCTTCTTCTCGCCTTCTTCCTCGCTTGGTAGCGGGTTGCTGCTGCGGGGTGCATCGGACGCTGGTAGTTGGTCGGGTCGCGAAGTGCTAGGCTGTGACGCGCCTTGAAGATGTGGAGGGGTTTCTCTAGACGTAGTCGAGTTTAGACGAATCCCAAGTCGCGCCGTCGGGGCGATGAGACTTGAACGGCACCGCGCGCTGCAGTCACCGACACGTCAGAAACGGCGACGCATCTGTAGTGATGCAACTCACTTTGTGCACAGCGCACTCGCACATCGTCTCATGTTCATTTGGGCCACCCTTACCAGCTCGAGAGGACTAGCAGAGACGGTAGGCGGGAAGGAATGACATGCAACCGAACCGCCAAGCTCATGAATGTAGCGCGCGAGGTCCACTCCCAGCCGCGGCCCGCCGATGTGTACGCAAGTTTTGGTTACTCAAGGAGGCAAATCGCTTGCCTGTCAAGAACTGCTAAAGTATGTACTCAACGCTACTCGCATTCCGCCACACCGCTTGCAAGAACTCATAATATAGACTACGTCTTAGGCTCCTGCGCAGCTGCGTTTCATGTTCTTTGTATCCCGTATCTTGATAACTACCTGAATCGATTCTCAAAGGGGTTGAAAAGCTCCCTCGAGCTTCCTCTGGGCGGCTACACTCTCCTCCAGAACCGAAGGTCCGAACTGCCAATCTCGACATCGCTCCATCATCTCGCTGATCTCCCCCAATTGCTCTTGACTCAACGCATCCCCTTTGGCACTTCTTTCAGCTGTCAGCCATGCAAGCTCGGGAGAGTCCAGGTGGTGCAGTTTCCCCCTCCTACGAGCGAGCGCAGCAACGTGCTGTGTGAACGGCCGTCTGACCTCATCATAGATGCCTAGAACGACCGGTATGTTTCCCTTGGTTACACCAGGATGGCTGATGAGTTTGGCCAGAAGGAATGCGTCCTGTGCAGAGGCTCAGGCGTAAGACTCTCAGTAGGGATCTTCAATGACGAGAAGCATACCTCAAAGCTTTGTCCAGCACCTGCGCCGAGGTGGTGACCCATTGCATGTGCCTGAAGATAGCAACCGTTCATCCACAAGTGTGTTTCGTCGTCTTGTTGAGCACCTACCGCGTCTCCAACAAGGGCGACTCGTCCATGCACGTATGTTGGCAACTTGGTGACCACATTAATAACCCATTTCAGTCCCCCATTCACGTACTGTAAAAGTAAAGGGAGGGTAACATGTTCATTCACAACCGTCAAGACCTGTTATATGCTTACCTGGACGAGCTCCTGGACGTCTGCTTCCCAGCCGACAAACTCCTTGGTGATCTCCTCCCTGCCGGCCGCGGAAGTCCATGAGCCTTCGTAAATAGTTCCCTCTTGCTCGGGATAGCTCACTCCGGCACCGACATTCAGGACTCGACCCTGCGAGACGGGATATGTTACTATGTGCTGAGGCGGATCATCAATGGCTAGCTCAAAGCGGCAAATGTACATGCTGTTTACCCTGTTCTTGCCGCAATACTACCATACCTGGTCAGTCTCCGCACGATAGTCGACGTCACCAGTAGCCTAGACTCACTATGATCAAGTCAGACGCGTTGAACGCAGGATGTTCGCTGACCCCTTCAGGCAACGTATCCTTCCGGATGAGGCACCTGTATACGATCTCACCGGAGAAGACGGGCGTAATATGGGACCGCAGCCTCGAGGCCTCGTCGTGTCTCCCTTCAGCCTGTGCTTGGTCTGCAAGCTGGGAGTACATATTCGCACGGATCCTAGAGCGTATGCCGTCGCACCCCAAGAGGACGTCGCACTGCGCCGTACTGCCGTCTTCGAAGAGCAGCTCCACAATCGCGGACCCGTCCGAACGCTGGACGTAGGATACGAGCCGCTTATTAAGGCGGACTTTGTTCTTTGGGAAGAGGTGCTCCAACAGCACCCGTTGCAGCTCGGCTCTGAAGAAGGAGTAGTTCATCTCTGCGAACGTATGTCAGCTCGAGGAGACTGCATGTCAGCACGCCAGAAAGACCTCTTACCGTCTCTGACAGTCCGGTCTATGATAACACCCTCGACCTGGTCTGACTTGCGGTGCATGTGAGGAATACCTACGCCGAGTGTCTGTTATCCCTTCATCTCATTCACAATACGGACAAGGGGACTAACATGGCTGCCCTCCATCCCCTGCGACCTTCAACAAGGCTTCTTCTAGCCCGATGGCTTGTATGATGGCCCAGGCTCGAGGAGCAAGTCCAATGCCAGCTCCAATTTCAGAAAGCTCCGACACCGCATCGTAGATGGCGAACTCGACATCAGGTGCGAACTTCTGCAAGGAGAGTGCAGAAATGAGACCGCTCAGACCGGCTCCTCTGTGGTATTGATCAGAATGACAGCACGAAGTTAAGGGCAGGAGGACTGACACGATAGCAATGGAGAACTTGGACATGGCACACAATATGTGTGGGGCGCGAGCCAGTGGGAAATTCTCAACATAAGAGTGTCCGGAGCTCTTATATCCTCGACTGGTGGGTTGGGGTCTTATAATACTGAGCTGATCTGCCATACACAAAGGGATAAACATTCAGGCACACTTTAGGTTCGCGGCTGCCGACCTATATCATGCGAGTCAATGCCTCGATGAGTACTATGCAACCTATTATTGTGAGCTTGAACAGTGACTCAGCCATGTGGGAGTGCGAAGATTGCATTGTCGGATGAGTCCAGACAACGCAAGCACAGGATAATAGTCGGACACTCCGGTTCGACGATGCGGTACTCAGGTTTACTCTACTTCGTTATCTCGACCTACATCATGAATCAGTAGCACTCTTCAGCTTCGGGACATATGCTTTGCTTGAGGGGAACTTGTCGCGCACTGCCGCTCGGGTTCTTTATATTTATCCTGTCAAATAGTTATGAGCATGCTTTCCCAAGGCCAATTCCTACCGAAGTCCCAGCTAAGTGGGGTCGCAACTCCCCAAAGGTCATCTGCGCATTGAGCTTGGTAGAGCCGTGGAACCACGGTGAGATGCTCCCATCGAACCTGAGTACTCTATGTCAGGTGAGAAAGACAATGCGCTTCTTCCCTTCTTCTGCGCGAAGAAGTCAGTAATTGTCCGAGCAAGCCATAGCTGACGAGGGCCCGGCTAGCCGACGCTCTTGTGTGCTCAGCAAGACATATCTGGGTTTTAGGCGCATGGTAAGTCGTAGCGCCATCAATGAATCAACGGAGACAATTCGCATGTCGCTGCACAATTCAAGGATCCATCCCATGGTGCACCTCTTTGCTCACGAGACTCGCGACTACTGGATACACGCTGATCAGCAATAGGGTCATACAAAACCACGATACTCACGCACCACACAAGGCGTCAGTGACTCGTCCACATCGAGCTTGCAAACACAAAATCTCGGTGGGTGCCAAGAAGGTTGCGGGTATAGTAACATTGCAAAGGCTATATCACAGCAAGCTATTCGATGACGCGCGCGAGGCGATCTCTATCGCATGAGCCGAAACATGACGACAATCAGTACCCCAGAAGTCCGTTAAGAGTGCAAAGAGAGCAAGCATTTAACCACCTCGCGCTGGGAGTCCCAGGGATTGTGCGATGAACCCGTACTTGTCCGCCCACTCTTGGATCCTGTGTTTATCATCAGTTAACGAGATTAATGTGGAAGAGGTGGAAAGTTGGAAGAGAGGAAGAGGCGAAACGCGCACCTTTGCTGCGTCGACTTGCCCGCGCCATGTCCGGCCTTCTTGTCGATGCGGATCAAGAGAGGATGTGGGTTATCCGCCTTGAGGTATTGCAGCGTCGCGGCGTGCTTGAACGAGTGCAGCGGCACAACGCGATCGTCATCTTTGGGTTCGGTGAGGCATCGTCAGCGACGTGGGTGAATCAGTGGGAGGCCACTCAGGAAAGAGACATACGGTCCGCGGTGACAAGCATGGTTGGTGGCAGAATCTTGTCCGTCGGGATGTTGTGCAAGGGCGAAATGGGGTAGATGAAATCAAAGTCGTGCGGGTTGTGCGGATCGCCATAGTCAGATGTCCAGGCGCGGCCTAGTGAGGGTGAATGACCGATAAGCCCGAAGTCACGACTGATTTGGTAGGTGGAGGAACCAACCCACCAATTGTGAAGTCCGCGAACTGGATGGTACGCCGGACAAAGGGGGGAAGCGGTGCAGCCATCGAGGTCAGAGGGATCCAGAGCTGTGGAGACAAGGAACTATGTAATCACCTTCAGGAGGTCGAGTACGCCCACATCGGCAACTGCTGCTCCCAGAAGGCCCTCTGGCGCGCGATTGACACACGCGGCGACGAGAAGACCTGATCGTGAGCCCAGTGTATTTTAGCGTGAAGAGCATGGGATCGTGTAGCGAAGAACGATAACAAGCATACAGCGTCGAGCGATCAACACTTCGTCGGAGACAACAAGCTAGGAAATCGCACCTCCATTCGAGCCTCCATTAATGGCGACCTTACCGGGCGCCGCGTACTTGTTGTCGACAAGGTATTGCCTAAACGGACCTAGGATAAGCGGACTCTCACGGGGAAAGGCGCAACGATAGCGAGCGCGACGCACGTTGCCGCGATGAAGTCGTCGAAGCAATTGACCTGCATTTTGCGTGCCACGCGTCAATCAACAAGATTCCGAGGCGCTGAGGTTCGAGTTTCGGAGCCAAGAAAGACTGCCCACCTTGCGCTCCCGCGTCCCAGCCAGATGCCATTCCTCGCCGAATTCTCCGCCTCCGCGGATGTTCGCGACAGCGAGAATGGCGCCATACTTTTGCATCCATGTCAGGATGGCCGGACTGAAAAAGGGGTCGATCGAGATGGTGAAGCCTCCGTACCCTGGGGATATATAAGCGCGCGGGATGGTTATCGATACGCCGAACCTGACAGGTGGGTAAGGACGTAAGATACGCACCATACTGCAAGGCGGGAGCCGTGCCGTCGAATTTGGTGTCCTTGTGCCGTACGATGAACATGGGCACGCGGGTACCGTCCTTGCTGCTGTACCAAACCTGGCTCATAGTTACTATATGCGCGTCGACGGGTTTGAGAGGACACCTGAAGCACCTACCTGCTCGACAGAGAAGTCCTCAGGGTTTAAGCCACTGACAAGGGTAGTTCGATAGATACTCCATCGCTTGTCTTCCTCCTTGACGTTGAAGTCGTACTTGGCGACAATACCTGGGTTGGTGAAGCCGCCGAGGGTGGCAAAGAACCAGGAGTGCTCGCGGCGACCACTGATGGACGCGGCTCCGACGAACTCCGGAGCGACACGCTGGAGCTGCTTGCCGGTGGAGAGCTGGTAGAGGTAAATCTCGTCTTTGACCTATATAGTTGTGCCCGGGTTAGTTTCCACATACACGTACAAGGGTTTGGCTGTCTTCTCACATTCCGCTTGTACACGACCGCCGCGAAGTCGCCGTTGACTGGGCGTACGTCCTGTAAATGCGCGTTCTCGTCGTGCGCGATGAGATCCTTGAACACACGCTTCCCCGGCGCATCGGCGAGGTCGACCGTAACGACCTTGTACTGGGGCGCGTCTTTATTTGTCAGCAGGTAAAACTTTGTGCCGTCATTCGCGATGCTGTGTACGAACTCGTGTCAGCGGGGTATCTGGGAGGCTGACGAGGCGCTCCCCAGTAGACGTCGGGAATAGAACCCAGGACCTGCCGAGGGCTGCCGGAAGCGATAATGTCGTGTAATAGGCTGCGCTACTCACTATTCGTAGTTCGCCTCAAACTCATCGATGAGCTTGTCCCACACCAGGTTCGCACCGATGCTATCCTTCTGGAGGTCCGCTATCCATAACAGGTTTTTCTGTGGACGTAGTGCGTGAGAATCAAGGGACCCACGCGGAGTGCTCGAGTTTTCACGCACTCGCGACGTGTCTCGGCGGATAGACAGGAGGAGATAGCGGCCGTCAACTTCGGTTACCTCAGAACCCCACATCCACTCAGGGTTCGACGCATCCTTGTAGACCAATACATCCTCAGCTGTCGCCCCGAAGTCGTGGGCATCGGCGTGCACGTCAGGTAGGTCGATGGAAGTGAGGTGGGAAAGGAATTCATGACGTACACTGCTGCGTGCCCAATCTGTGATAGTACAGCATGGCATTCTTGTCGCTATCAGTCTCTGCCTTGTCTTCATAGGCTGGGCCATGGGACTCCCGGCCAGGATAACGCTACAAGTGCCGCGACAAGTTGACACGGCATGATGATGAGAATTCACCAGCTTGGGTGAAATGCATGATCGGGACACGACACTGACCTGGTAGAAGAATCCCTGCGAATCGTGCGTCCACGAGATTGAGGAGAATTTCACGAAGCGGATCTCCTCGGGAAGCCGCCCCTCATCAGGAGACACTCGCTTTCCGTCAACAGGAGCGAGGGGTGCAGATGTGGGTCGGACATAGATTGTGCAGAAGTCACTACCCTAAAAGCGGGCGTGGGGCTGTGAATGACATGTCGGAGTTGAACAGTAGCACGAGGTCTCACTGAGCGGGAGACACCGTATGCATAGTGGGATCCAGAGTGCGAGAAGGCGCTGACTTGGATAGACGAGGTGCCGTCAGAGGAAAGGAGGTTCGGCTATTGTGGACAAGAAATGTCGGCATCGCATCACGTGACCGCAATGGTGAAACGCACGTCGAAGAAGACTTCCCCCCCAGCGTCCTTGAGGCCGGAAAAGTCTGGAAGGGTGCTGTCCTTGGACCGATAGAGGACTGGTGCGGTGCGTGACACGAGTCCCGACCCGGGTCAGAACCCAATGAGCTGCGCGCTGCTGTGAAACTTACCGGACTGGGCCTGGAGGCCGGTGTTATGGTACCAGTACCAACGCCCGTCATTTTTGAGCGACGGCGCAGAGAACTGTGCGGAGAATGGCACGGCACAGGTAAGGACGCGTCCAAACATGAGCTCGACGCGTCGTACCTTGGCATAGTCCATGTTGTTCCGGATCTGGTCCTCTAGGTCTTTCCTCTCGGGATTTTGGTCCAGGTATTCGCGCGTGAACTTTTCTTGCGCGGTGGTCCATTGCTCAGTCTCGTCGGTGTTCTGCTCGAGCCAGTGGTAGGGGTCGTGCACGCGAACTTCTCTGTGCTTCTCGCTCTTGTACACGTCGACGTGGTCGGAGCGACGTGCAGGAGGGTACCGGTTGGGCACCCAAGGTGTGGGGTTGGCAGGCATGGCAAGTGGGTGGAAGGTCGAGACGAGGCGGCGTGTCGAGAACGTCTGGCGGACGGCGCGTCTTATGTGGGATTGCGCGACCGCGGTGGGTGGAGCTCGGAGAGATATTGCCACAAATGAGAAGAGGGTGAGCATGTGCTTTATAGGATCAAGAGAGAATCTGAATCCGAGGTTGTATCGATTTTGATCGCTCGCCGAACAAAGGGGCGAGATCTTTGAGCGAGAAACATGTCAGCGCACATTTTCAAATGAAATGCGCCCTTGGGTCGGGTTTGGCAATCATAATTACATCTTAATGTGAGCACGGAAGGTAGCGAGCGCAATACGCCATCGATGGACGCCGTGGCTGGGCGAGGCTGTGAACTGGGCGTAGGGCAGCTGGGGATTGGGGCACGAGACGGCTTCCACTGGGAAAAAGGCGTCAACGTCGTGCGTGGCAGCGTCGAGAGATGCGAGCCCAGCGGCGGTAGCGGCCCAGACAGTGTCACATTCCCCGGGTCAGCCTAAGCTGCGCCGGCACCGACGCACCGCCCGACCGTCATGTACAAGCGTCTATCTAATCTCACGGGCAGACGCCCAGCATCGGCGCATATGCGTCACAATTTCTTGCCAGTGTCCGACCCCGCCATCGTCTACAACGTTCTCCCACCTTGCGACTCTCGTCAGCCCACCCAAACCAGCTGCTAGCGGCTTCTCTGCATGTCTACCACGCAGCAGCCCCAGCCAAGCTTCTTCCCTACGTCCGCCATCGTACGTGTTCCCCTCTCCACCATCCCGTAACGCATGCTCCTGCTGACCCCATCCCTCCTGTCAGGATCATGCCTTTGCAGGGCTCGGTGCAGGCGTTGTCGCGGTACTATGCATGCACCCGCTTGACCTTCTCAAAGTCAAGTTCCAGGTAGCGACCGAGAAGCCGCAGGGTGGGATCGGCCGTGCTATATGGTCCTCTCTCAAGGGCATTCATGCTCAGGACGGGCTGAGGGGTCTCTACCGAGGTGTCGGATCTAACATTGCCGGCAACGCGTCGAGCTGGGGCTTTTACTTCCTCTTGTGAGTTATCGTCCACCGGGATGCTACGGATTCGCACACGCGTTTTCAATTTGTCGCTAACGCGTCCACGGCATTCCATACGACGTGCGTCATCGTTCGTAACGCTTTCACGGCACGTAACACGCGGTCGACGGGGCACAGCTACCACATGCTCAAGCAACGGGCCTCTGGCGGCGAGCCGAACTACAAGCTATCGCCCGGGGCGTACCTGCTGTGTTCTGCGCAAGCGAGTTCGCATGTCCCCCGTCCTTTTCCCTGCGCACCAGCTAATACATCACGCTCTCCTTGTACCCCACGCCTGCAGGTGCGGTGACGGCTATCATGACAAATCCGATATGGGTCGTCAAGGTCCGCATGTTTACTACAAAACCGAGCGACCCAACGGCGTATCGCAGCCTATGGCGTGAGTGCGGAGCGTGCTACTTCCGGTTCGGACATGGAGAAGACTTACATTCGTCATGTGTGCACCTGTATAGACGGCCTTTCCAGCGTATGGCGAAATGAAGGTGTTGCCGGGCTGTACCGCGGTACGACCTTGGCGCTAGTTGGTGTCAGTAATGGCGCAATTCAATTTATGGCATATGAGGAGATGAAGAGGTGGGGTTTTGAGCGAAAAAGGCTACAATTTACGAAAGCGGGGAAAGAGTACACGGCCGCTGACGACAAGCTAGTATGTCAACCGGGCCTTCCGAGTTCTCTTGAGAAGCCTCTCCTGACGCAGGCGATCGCCCCACAGTCAAATACCGCCTATACGCTAATGTCCGGAGCGAGCAAGTTATTCGCTCTGACCTCAACTTATCCATACCAAGTAGTGCGCTCACGAATACAGGTGGGCCCACACTTCTTCGATATACTCGCCGGTGCCGTTACAGCATCGTTCCCCAAACGACACCATTCACTGACACACGTACCCTGAAATGCCTAGAATAATCTCACTTCCCACCTATATCCGACTATCCCCACATGTATCAAGAAAACTTGGGCGGAGGAAGGTTTGCGCGGCTTCTACAGAGGTCTGGGCACGAATCTTGTTCGGGTCCTCCCTGGGACTTGCGTCACCTTCGTCGTATACGAGAACTTGGCGTGGTTGCTGAGGACAAGCGCCGTGAAGAGGGAACGACGGAAACAGCTCGCCACGGCGGAGGCAACATGAGACAACGCTTACCCAGCGTGTTCCTCCACAGACTGACTCCTTCGGGAGGATGATCTACGCTTCTGATCGCCTAGCACAGGCATTGAAGCTATTGGCTATCTTCCATGGAGGCCTTGGAGCTCGAGGCAGTCTTGCTGACTCAAGGCCCATGCGTGCAGGCTGGGAGATTGTGATTGGATGTCTAATTACGATGCGGCTTCTGCCATAGACCCATACTACTCACTTCTACTTAAAGTCCATCACCGACTAGTACTCCTATGTTCTGCCACATGCTATCGCGTAGCTTAGCTTGTGTATAATACTACACGCATCCTGGAGGTTCTACACCACTGCTTAAGGCAAGCATGTGCAAAGCACGAGGTGGGATGTGGGCGTATGTGTGAGCCCTGTGGCGACATGCTCCGCGACAAGACAGGCCCACTGCTTGGCGTAGCGTGTATGTGCGTGGCTTCCGGTATCGTTCCATGCCATTTGCGCATGGCTCGACACGCGTGGCGGCAACATGTGGCTAGCATGTCAACGTAGGTGTGTCTTGATATCGCGCACCTCTCTTCGGATGGCTATCCAAATTCGCTTCCGTATATCCCGGAGGGGTTCCGCGCGTCCATGCCGGCAGTATTGCAATCGATCCACACAAGACAGCTTCTACCGTAACGGACAGGCTACTGATAGACTCAGACAGCACAGGGTGATACCACACGTGCTGCCGAAGCGGAGAGCTAAACCAAACGTTACAGTCATGCGCCCATCGATGTGTCCGGCAATGAGGCCACGATGCGGTCGAGAGCGGTAAATATCCCGTCGGAGACGCAGAAATTCACCGATCATTCGCGGAGCACCAACTTCTCGGGTTGCCGGGCTTGTCGCAGTGGATGGCCCTCGACTCGGAAAAGCCCAGACTGTGGGAGCTACGGCGATTTGAATGGTCGTCGTAGTGGGACGACTGAGTCAGGATTGCGGTCTCGGCGAGGAGCGAGACGGGATCTCGGTTTTCAGCACGCGGTTTGCTTTGGATTTGGGAACAGGGGCTGCGGATTGCGAGGAGATGAGCTAGACAGCCCGATGCGGCGCGTGAAGATTGTACCGTTTGTATTCTCCGTGATATAGAACCGTCGGAGGATCATGATCGCTTCATCCCTCAGATATCCGCCATGTGCGTCGTATCCTTCATGTTTGGGATGCGGGAGCCTATAGCGGTCGAAGGGCGTGAGCGTGCGATCAAGCTATGGAGACACGAAACAGAGAACCGACACGCTGTGAACACCGAGTACGCTCCCACAGCCACCAAAGCGAGCATTATCGCAGCCGTAGTAGACCTCCTTGATACCCATCTGCCGGAGCGCAGATGCACACATGATACACGGCTCGACGGTCACGTAGAGCGTTGTGTCTGAGAGCGGGTACTGGGTAACGACCGGGGTGAGTTCCTTGTTAGCCAAAATCTCATCGATGGCCTCAAGCTCAGCGTGACGTGTTGCCTGTGAAACAGTACTAAATTGAGAAACGTTGCGGGATGAGGGAGGAAGAAGACGACTCGCGTTCCGCAGCTGGTTTGTCCGATTGCGGGCTCTCGCGATGATTTTATCGCCCCGAACGAAGACGCAGCCTACAGGAACCTCTTTCGCTTCGAGCGCTTCTTCTGCCTGAAGTGTTTGAGAAACAGCAGCACTAAGTGTAGGCAAGATTCTCACCATGTCCATAGCAGCCTGCATCCATCTCAGGTGGATATCTCCGTCGTCGGAAGCCATTTGGTGAGAAGTAAATGTGTTCTAATCTTATCAATTTGTATCAGTATATGCATCAGCGAGTCACAGTGAGACATCGCTCGCCTCCGCCAAAGTATGCGTTTGAGCAAAAGTCCGAAGGCGTTCAGTATCGAGACATACCAAATCCGACCGCCCTGTGGCCAACAGGAGCACTGTGCAACTAGCGAGACCTGATTGGCTGGTTTTGACCGGAGGAATCACAAGCTACCGGTGGACGCTGGTTGTTCACCCCGGATGCGTCGGTCCGGTGCCCCACATTCACCGGCCACGGCTTTGGCTGCCTTGGACTCTGTCGACCAGCTCCTGAACACTATTCTAGCTTTCTGAGTTGCACTCCGCGACACTTGGAACATACCGGAAGTCTTTGGATAGGCTCCGAAGGAAGTATGGCAGGGAAGACATTCACAGCGGAGGAAGTTGCTCAGGTACGCCGTAGCTTCCCGAGACGTGAGACAACGAGTGACGAGCACTACTGCCTCTCTATTCCAGCACAACAAGGCAGGGGACTTGGTCAGTCCCACATATCCCCTTTCCTGAGTGTTTCACTCAGTTATGGTGTAGTGGATCATCATTGACTCCAAGGTCTATGATCTCTCCAAATTTGCCAACCTGCACCCAGGCGGCGTAGGCGTCCTACTCACGAAGAATGTTGGTGCGTATATACCCCGCTGCGTCGCCCTCGCTCTTCCCCTCATCCTATGGATCAGCCGGAAAGGATGCGACAGAAGCGTTCTTCGGGTTGCACCGGCATGAAGTCCTTCTCCGGCCACAGTACGCAAGGTTGCAGATTGGCACCATTGCTGGTCAGAAGGAGTTCGTCCAGGCTACCGTTCCCGGAGACATCTCTAGCGTCCCCTATGCCGAGCCCGCATGGCTCTCGCCTGGTTTCCACAGCCCGTACTACAACGACAATCACAGGCGGTTCCAGAAGGTTGTGCGCAAGTTTTTCGAGGAGGTCGTGCTCCCGGATGCCGTCAAGTGCGAGGAGTACGGGAAGCGCATCTCTCAGGAGGTCGTGGAAAAGCTCTGGTACGTGCCTGTCTACCTGTTCCTGTCGTGGCTCTTATACTGGCTACATAGCGAGAACAACATCCCAGCGATGCGTATAGGCCCTGGCAAGCATTTGAAGGGTCGCAAGCTTATGGGCGGCATCGTTACCCCAGAGGAATTTGACCACTTCCATGAGGTTCGTCACTCGTTATGAAGTCTGACGCCACGTTGACTTACACTCCAATAGCTCATAGTCAACTACGAGATTGGTCGTCTCGGAACACGAGGCTATGTCGACGGCCTCCTCGCAGGAGAGGTCATCGGCCTTCCTCCCGTCCTGAACTTCGGCTCGCCTGAGCTCCAGGCCAAGGTGGTCCCCGAGGTGCTGGATGGCAAGAAGTTTATCTGCCTGGCCATCAGCGAGGCCTTCGCGGGTAGCGACGTCGGCGGCCTGCAGACGTACGCGGAGCTCGACGGTGACGAGTGGGTCATCACGGGGACAAAGAAGTGGATCACGAACGGCACTTTTGCGGACTACTTCACCGTCGCCGCGCGGACTGATGTGAGTACTCTGTTTGCTCATGCTAGGAAGCGTATGGCTCACGTGCTTGTCGAACGTACAGAAAGGTTATGTCGTGATCCTCGTCCCACGCCAGGACGCGGTTTCGACCAAGGCAATCAAGACCGCCTACTCCTCCACGGCAGGCACGTCTTACGTCACGTTTGACGGCGCGCGGGCCCCAGTGGCGAACACCCTCGGCAAGGTCGGCCAGGGCATGCAGGTCGTCCTGAGCAACTTCAACCACGAGCGGTGGATGATCGTCTGTACATCCATCGCTGCGCAGCGCAAGATTGTGGAGGAGTGCTTGAAGTGGACGAACCAGCGCATCGCATTCGGGAAGCCGCTGAACACGCAGGCGGTCGTGCGGGCACGGTTGGCGGCCATGATCGCGAGGGTTGAGAGTGGACAAAACTGGCTGGAGTTCGTGACCCATCAGATGAACAATGTGAGTGGCACAGCGTAGGGTAGGTAGGGAGAGCTATACTGACAAATTGTGCCACAGATGTCGTATGATGAACAGTCGGACAAGATCGCTGGCACTATTGGTCTTCTGAAGCAGTTAGTCTTGTACGATGGACAAGCAAGTACAGCATACTGATACGTTGCCTTTCTCAGGTATATCACCCGCACTGGTCGCGAAACCGCAGAAGACGCGACGTTGCTTTTCGGCGGTCGTGGTATCACTCAGACCGGTATGGGCAAGCTTGTTGAGAATGTGAGTCTTCCTTTTTGCTCGTTCCAACACCTCTTCATCGTGCACTTGCAGTACCACCGGACATCACCGTACGACGCCATCTTGGGCGGATCCGAGGATGTCCTTGGGGACCTGGGTGTGCGCCAAGCCATCAAGAAGCTCCCCAAGAATGCCCGCCTATGATTTTAGGAAGAGAATGGGTGATACCATTGGAACTCCTGCTTTGACAATCTACCTCCAACCTCCTGTAACATTACCAAGTTATATAGTCTTGTTCTCCACCGCGCTGACGCCCTGCATGAGCGCACATTGACGCACGGACAACAGTACAGGCTGCCACATGACTGAATGTATCAGCAACATAAAGAGGTAATGGAGCGAAATGGGAGCAATCGAAAGCAGCTCCCAGGACGGGCGACAAACGCAAATAAGCATTTCTACACCGACGCGAGGATGGAACCCCAAACATAGTCAATTCACCATAAGAAGCCATAAGCATAACGAAGACATTAGTCTGCAGTCAATGATTGTACAGTAGAAGAACAAACAGGAAAGAGATCTCAGGTATATGGCAGCGCTACCGGAGGCGCGGCAGGTAGAAGCTCAGGTTATTACAACCTGAACAGGAAGCCAAGCTAGAGGAGAATGGTTCAGCAAAGGGGAACAACACTAGGCAAGGGAACAACTGACATCCTCGGGGGTAAGACGACCCATTGCCTGGCGGAACGACAAATCAACAAGGGAATGCAATGTTGCGACGCGACGAACTTACCGTATCATCAGTAGAGAGAGTGGCGTCGACCATGGCGGCCTTCTTTTCCTGCAGCTGGATGATACGACTCTCGATGCTGTCTTCGATGACGAGCTTGATAGCCTGCACGGGACGGTGCTGACCGAGACGATGAATACGGTCCATGGCCTCTATAGCGGAGATGAGTACTGGGGACATGAACTAGGAGCGGAAAGATACGGACGGTACTCGACGGCAGGATTCCACCAGCTGTCCATGAGATAGACGCGCGACGCTTCTGTCAGGTTCAGCGCGACACCGCCCGCCTTCAAGCTAACGAGGAAAACCGTAACGTGAACGTTGTTCACTACGTAGACGTGTCAGGAGTGCGAAGGAGGGGCAACAACAGCAAGACATACTGAAATACTTGATCGTGGCATCGCGAGCCTGCGGGCTCATCGTACCCTCCAAACGACAGACCTGAAGACGATGTCACTGTCGTGCTTCCTATGCAGACCAACTCGCTACGTACTGTGAAACCAGCCTTCTGTAGCCGGAAAGCGATCAGATCCAAGAAGTTGACGAACTGGCTGAACACGATGCTCTTCGTCGTTGCGTCCTGCTTGCGGAGGTTGTGCAGTTCCTCAACGAGCGCCTCGATCTTGGAGGACGACCGCCACTTGTCGAGGTCGAGCCGCCCAAGGATACCCTGACGCTTGGTGGCGGCCTCGTCGAACTCGAGAGCAGGAGCCTCGAGGTCGATGGTGAGCGCAACATGGCAAACGGGACAAGCGGGCTAAATAGACATGTGAGCACCGTAGCCTTGGGATGTGTCGAGTAAGAAAACACACCATAGGCTCGAGGGACGCCTCAAGATACTGCTTGATGCACTCGCGGTCGAAGACATGGCGACACTTCGCCTGCAAGGCATCCTCGGCGAACTCGTTGCACAGCCGGCAGACAGTGCCTTCCCCAGTCTCGTCCTGAAGAAACACACCGACATTGTTTTTGCTGCGTAGGACAAGGTCTGGATGACAAGCCATCTGACGCATACGCGTGAGCCTACAAAAGGGAAGATTAGCTATGTATGCGCATTGAGGTTAGCCATGGCGAAGCTTACAAGCTGAAAATGTTTGAGTAGTTGTTCAGGACGGTCCCGGAGTCGACGTAGGTGTTGAACTGCCGCTTAGCATCGGAAAACAGCGACAGGTACAGCTCCTTTTCTTCCGGACTGAAGTAATCGCGCTTGATGATGACAGTGCGAGGAGGCAGCCCAAGGTCATCCGCACGTTGGATCTGCGCGGGATGTCAGTGCATGTTAGTCGCTTCGGGTAGCCGCCAGTGGCCTACCTTAGTACGACGCAGCATCATCCTGTCCAAGAGAATCTTCAATTTCTTGAACGCGATCGCACCTGGGCCGACCATTCCATTCTTCTGGATAGGCGTCAAGATCTCGTTGTTCCAGAAGCAGGTCTGCGGATTGCCGATGAGCGGAAGACGACGAGGATTGCAACAGGTCACTTACATGCTTCATGGGACTATGCCCACAGTCTATCCGGATGGCGTCAGGAGTAGATTGACCATGCCAGAATGGGTTACGTACCGTCGCAGGAACGTTTGTCCTTGAAGCTCCAGTGCAGGGACTTGCAGTCGCAGGACTTGCCTGTGGACGAGTAAGCGTCGCATATAGGCCAAGGTGGCGACCAGGGAGACTCACAGAAGTAGTACGAGAATGGATCACCACCCAAGAAGCGGACAAGACTGTAAAGCTCTCCTACACGATTCTGGAGCGGGGTACCAGACAGGCACCAGCGGTACCTTGCTTGCAGTTCGAACGCCGCCTTCGCGGTGTTCGTAGACCGCTCTTTGATATTGTGCGCCTCGTCAAGCTGTAGAGAATGTGAGGTCGGGCAAAGGCGCGTCGTACTGAGACCTTGAGCTCACGATGACCCGGTTCCACTCAATGGCATGAAGCGGCGACCTTTCCTTGATGATTTTGCCCTTGCGCTTGAATCCGCTGTGCTCCTTGCGGAAGCAGCTCTCCAAGACCGCGTAAGATGTCAAGACCTGTCGGCAGGATCGAATTCATCATAGCCTCGTACAGAAAAAAGTTCAGCACGTACAACATCGTACTTCTTCAGCTCTTTGATGCTGGACTCCCTAGATGCACCATGCCAGACGAGCGTCTTCAGCATATCCTCAGTGTGCAACTCAATCTCGTTACGCCATTGCATGATAGCGACAGTGGGCCTATGACGAGACTGGTAAATAGGGGTCGAGTAAAATTTCATCAGGACAAATCTTTGCACGTACGCAACGACCAAGTTCGGTTTCGCACCGTAGTCGGAAACCAAGAGCGAGATCATCTGGATAGTTTTCCCCATACTGTGTGATGCGAGCAATGAGCACATCTGTCAGCGGACGCATATGGGCAGCGGAGACATACCCCATCTCATCCTGGTGAAACACCACAAAGTTAGACGGAGTTCCTTTCCGTAGGGGATGAAACCATGACATACCGCAAGCATACCACCACTCCAGATGCCCTTCTCCTGCTCTCTAAGCCAGGAGAGACTCTCCAGCTGGAAGGGAAGGAGTTGGACCTTCAAGTTCGGCGGCTGCTCAGCCTTCTTGGGTACGACGATCTCGATACCTCGCTCTAAATCACCCCATACATCCCGAAGCTCAGGATGATGTCGCTGAAGTGCAATAGTCGCCTTCTCAGCCTGTACGGTGGTGAGGATGGTGGGGCTTCAAGAGAGAGAGACAACGACATACGCGGGTCAACTTGCGTCCCAACTTGACACGCATCTCGGCCTCTTCCTTGGCGATGCCTCTTCGCCGAAGAAGGTACATCTTGCGTTCCTCCTTGGTCAGCTTTCTCAGCTGCTGTTTAGTCAAGTGCTTGAACTCCTCGGATTCTTTGCCCTTGCCCTTGCCCTTTTCCTTTGCCGCTTGCTTGGCTTTGCCGTTGGCGAGTGGCTCCTCTTCCGACTCATCCGATTCAAGAGCGGACAGATCTTCGTACTCGAGCTCGCTCAACGAGTCAAGCTCGATGTCTGCGTCTTCCTTCGCTGAACGACGACGTCCAGAGCCACCATTCTTTGATGCTGCAGCCTTTGCTCGTGGCTTGGATGAACCCGCACCTGAGCTAACCAGACCTGCGGCCCGCTCCCGATCCTCACGGGCGGTCTGCAGGGACTGCTTGACGACGGTGTCGACCAGAGCTTCCTCGTCAGACTCATCAAGATCGTCTGCAAAGTCTGAACCCGCTTCGCCTTCAGAGGGGTCAAATTCAGAACCGCTGTCATCAGATTCGTCGACAATATCTGAGTCTTCGACGACAGCGACGGCTGCGGCGGAAGCTCTACTTGAACGCCTGGTCCTTGACAGCGTAGCCTCAGATGCAGAGGTCTGCACAAATGGTCTGAGATGTGCGCTCGGATGCGACAGGGCAGCGATATTGACCTTGGCTACTTTCATGGTGGCTATCTCCACGTATGCGGTTTGCTGAACCACTCTGCGCTTAGCCCCTCTCTTGGTCGACGACGTCTGGGCCTCTTCCTCAGAGGCATCTTCGAGCGCACGCTTTTTGCTGGCTATGGTAGTCTTGGTGGTCTTGACAATATCTTGCTTGAGGATTGTGTCATCTTCGTCCATGACGGAGGTATCAGGAGTCGAGCATATGGAGGCTCCGGCGCTGAATCCGGGCGAGACGGTGGTGGTTGGCGTCGCAGACGCTGAGTGAGCAGCCTTTGCTGCACGTCCACGCGTGACGGGCATGAGGGGCAGACTTGCACGAGGTGGGCGGGAGATGGAAGAAGGTGGACAAGGACAACTTTTGCGTGGCTACCGAGACGCGTCCCCGACAAGACGCGCCGCAACCTTATTTATTGTCGCGTTTAGCCGAAAGGCGCCTAAAACGCGCTTCCGTTTTCCCACTGACTCAAGCTCTTCGGCGATAGATCTGGCAACACCTACTCCATTCGGACAATCTACATACTTCACTCTAAATCTCAGCAGGCATTCCAAAGCGCTGCTAGGCCGACAGCAGCTACAAGCCAAGAAATGTTTACAAGAAGCGGACCAAGAAGGAATACACGGCTACAGTCAACACGGCTCTGGTCTGGTTGTTCCACATCTCCTCTCGCCTCGGAGCCTCACCCATCACTCCACAAAACCAGTCGAACCGCATGAACAACAGGCTATACTCGCCACGCTCCAGCAGCCCAATAACCCTGCCCCATTCCGAGAAGACGCGAATGACCGCGCCCTCGATAACGGCCGCGACCCACCTCCAGCCGCTCACGGTTGTCCTCATGTTGCTCACCCGCTCGGGGTGAAGCACGAGGTGACGGAGGAGGTCATGCGCGACATTCGCTACCATCATCGAGACACCGAAGAGTGTTCCGGTCATGATGATGGACTGACCGAGGGCGACGTCGAAGAGCGCGACGAAGACTCCCAGAACGAGGAACAGGACGCTGCCGAGCATACACTCCGCCGCGTTCGGCGAGAAGTCGCGGTAGGAGTGCTCGGGGTAGAGTTTCACGAGCCTGCCGTCACCCTTCGACCACATGTAGAACCTCCAGTACGTCCTCTTCCCTCCATACCACCACGGGTGCGTGACCTTCACGGCCGGCGCCGCGAAGAACCCCTCTCCGCCATGGAGCAGGGAGTAGTCGCGCATTTTCCGGCAGTAGTCGATGTCCTCCCCACCGCCTGTCTTCGGGAACTGCAGGTCAAACGCCAGACCATCCGCAAGGTTCCGGCGCGCGATGAGGTTCGCCGTGACGCCCCAGGGCACGTCCTGTGCAATCTTCTCGGCGATGTCCCAGAAGTACGTGACGCCCGCGAGGTGCACGGCCGCCTCGAAGATGGTGACAGCAAGGGGGAAATGAGCGTTGCCGACGAACCCTGCCGCGCTAGGGTGTGCACGGATCGCCTTCTCGGCCTCGATAAGGATGTTTGCGTCCGGGTTGACGTCGTCGTCGAGGAAGTGCACCCATTCCGCTGCGGATTCTAGGAGGCCCCGGTTTCGGGAGTAGGACGCCCCGAGATTCTGCGCGTTTACTCTGATGCGGACGTCAGGACGATCTCCGTACTTCTGCATGAGCTGATGGATGCGGGGAGAGTCAGGGTCGTCGACGACGACGATGAACATGACGGTGCAGGTGGGGCTCGCCCGCAGAGCGAGGAAGGCATCAAGGTGTTTCATGAGAACCCGATAGCACGGGATCACGACGTCGAGAGTGAGCTTCTGCTGCACAGCAGGAGCCCGCTGCCTAAGCCAGGCTTCTACTGCAGAAGTAGCATTGTCCAGGGTCTGGAAAGTCCACCCGGCCGCATGAACCTTGTCGTAGCGCGCGTTGCCGTCCCCACCAAGCTTGTTGCAAAGCCTCGAGGCAATCATGGCGGAACAGCCCCAGCGCCGGTACAGTTGATACAGGAACGGATCGCCATCCTGGTTCGTGAAGCCATCCGGGATGACGTCGCCCCCAAATATCTCGAGATGAGTGCGGTGGACCACTGGGAATGTCGGGAAGCCGGGGAAAGACGTATCGGTGAACGCCACGCAGCCAACACCGTGTGGCACGCTTTCCGCAGCAGCGAGCTCGGAAAACTTGCGATGGATGACTGACATCCAGTTGGCGTCTTGCAGGACGACGTCATCGCCCATGAGGACATAGTAGTCGCACTTGTCGTCGAACGCCCTCCGCGCGCAGTCACGCCATAGAGCGCAGACGTGTCCTCTCGGACGACGGCTTGGCGGCAGTGTGGTGATGTGATGGACCCCATGCTCGCGAAGAAGTACTTCGGCAGCGTTACCCTCTCCAGTTCGCCAGAGGAAGGCGTCGTCTTCGTCTATGGCCAGGTAGATGTGGAACTGGTACCTCTCCCCAAGACGCGCGACGTCGTCTGCAGTGGTCCTCAGTAGCGAGTCGGCAAAACGCCCTAGATTAGTGAGGCACTCCTCGGGAGAGCTCAGACCGCGAGAAGTTATTGGAAGGAGGACTGCAAAGGTGATGGCATCGGCTGCGAGGTCGACCATGTCGCTACTCTGGAGGAGGCGGAGGAGGCTAGACCGCTCAGCCGCAGTCTTCGAATGAAGCAACTGTTCAAGCTGTTCGCGGATCCACTCTCCTGTCCTGCGCATGCCCTCCTCCAAGGACACCTGCGGCTCCCAGCCGAGCGTCTCCTTCACGAAAGTATTGTCGGAGTTGCGGGAGCCTACGCCTTGAGGTCTGTCTAGTTTGTGGTCAAACTTGACGGATTCCGGATCGATGGACGCAGCACGGAGCGCGATATCCGCGAGCTGGCGTACGGACACGGCTTGGTCCGAGCCAATATTCACCGGCTCCGAGCAATCCGACTCCAAGAGACGGAGGATCGCTTCGACAGCGTCGTCGATGAAGCAGAAGCTCCGCCTCTGGGAGCCGTCCCCCCATATCTCAAAGTGCACTTCCGGATCCTGAGACAGCTTCGCAGCAAGTGCTTTGCGAAGGAAGGCCGCTGGGACCTTCTCGCGTCCTCCATACCAAGACCCCATGGGGCCATAGATATTGTGAAAACGCGCAACTCTTACCTGGAGGGTAGACGCATGCTGATGCAGTCCAAGCTCACTCACGAGCTTCTCCAGGCCATAGAGGCCTTGTGGATGCGGCGGAGGGTGCTTCCACACGTCGCCCTCGGCAAGTGATACGTCGACACCGGAGCCCTGGAGGGACTCTGGGTAGACGCAGGCCGACGACGCGTAGAAGAACCCTCGCACTCCGGCGGCTTTGCAAGCAGAGAGGAGGTTAGTTGTCATCGTATGATTCTCTTGATATATGATGAAGTCGTTGGCAGCGTGAATGGTGCCCATCCCCCCCATGGTGGCCGCGAAGTGGAGCACGACATCGACGCCTTGGACGACGCGACAGCAGAACGAAGGATCACAGAGGTTCCCAAGGACGACCTCTTTGACCAAGGTCGCAGCAAATGGGGGACGGCCCACTAGGTCGGTGACGCGGACGTCATAGCCGAGGGAGACGAGCTTTCGAGCAACATGGCCCCCCTACCGCGTCGAGTCAGTGACACTATCGTCGACTTAAACGCCGGTAAGACTCACGATAAAACCGTGTCCACCGGTAATGAGTATGAGTTTCGATTTGTCGAGCATGCTAAAGTACGCAGAAGGCTTCTGAGGATGGACTCTCGAGGTCATCCTGCTCGGGATTATATACGTTACTGCCCTAGCCTTGATGCCGGAACCAGCGTAGCGCAGCCCCCACCTCGTTATCTGGATAGAGAACCTCGCAGCACGGTTTCTGTAATCTCCGATGTCGCAGGATGCTAATTCGTAATCGCACTGCGCTAGATATTGCGATATTAGTGAAACGGGAAATGAGCGACAGTACCCCATAGACGCGTCGTGAGGTTCGATTAGACTCTCCAAACAAGGCAACGTTGCGAACGAGGCCCCGAGGTGTTCGGAGTGATACGCCTGTGGTTAGCGTCTGCGCACACAATGACGACATCCATACTTGAATAAAACATCCGATTCTACGTATACAGAGCACACGACTAGCTGGCAGTCATGCACGTGGAGGGTAGCCATCTGATTCGGAGTTAATACCAGCCCACGTCCGCGTGGCGCAGGAAAGGATGTGCAACATGAAACAAATCAGTGTGGACCATGATCATAGGCACCGGACAAGAGACATGGACCGTAGGTGGGCAAGAGTGTGTGCCTGTGTGTTGGGCCGCATGCTCCTCAGGCAACCATCTGTTCATAGGTATGGAGAATCCGACGTGTTGGCGCAATGATAGAGCTCTAGAGGAAACCGATTGTCATGCGACCAACGCGGATGAGATATGTGACACATGATCTTCCGGCGGGGACCATCCAGGACTCCGTGGTGGCCTCCTGGATAACCTCAAGTGGCCGCTGTGTAAAGACAGACGCCCGTGGAGAATGCTGCTCCAGGCTCAATTCCCTCCGTTCTCTGTTGGATTTGACGTAAGCATGACCAATAAAGCCTTGCAGAACCACACAACTGTGTTTCATCTGAACCGTGCCTACTGCCGCAATCTGTCATGCAAGTCGTCAACATGTGAGCCAAACGCGGTAAAGCAGGGATGAAGACCACACCAGGCCAGTATATAGCCTCACTTGAAGATGAGACTGCAGAGCAGGAAACACCTCGGAACATCCCACAACAAGTGAGTTTCGCTCTACCTCACTGCCCCCGCACTGTTTGACCGAAATGGACTGGCAGTTCGCAGACGAACGAGATGCAAGAGCCACAGTACCGCTTCACCGAGTCCCAGGACTGGTTCAGTCCCCACAAGGACGCATGGAGAGCCGTCTTCGGCCGCGTCACCGCCTCCAGTCCGCGAGTCTTGGAAATCGGTTCCTGGGAGGGCAGATCTGCCGTATTCCTCTTGACGGAGCTCTGCCGCAATGACGGGGAGCTCGTCTGCGTCGACCACTTCGACCTTCTGCAGACCGAGGCGGGACGCGGCCGTTACGCCGCCCTCCAGCATAACCTCTCCCTCACCGGCAAGCCGCATCGCATCATCGGCGACTTCAGTGTCCCGGGTCTGATGACGCTCCTACGCGAGGAGATGTCTGCCGCACGCCCTGGCTTCGACTGGGTCTACATCGACGGCTCGCACGAAGCAGACGACACCTTCCTCGACGGCGAGCTTGCATGGCGCTTGGCCCGCAAGGGTGCAATCTTTGTCTTCGACGACTACCACTGGAACTTGGAACCTGAAGACAGCATTCGCCACCCGAAGCGTGGCATCGACGGGTTCCTCGCACTGCATGCCGGACAGTACACGCGTCTGTCCTCGGACGACCAGTACCAGATGATCCTTCAGAAGACCACCGACATGCGCATCGGTTTTCTCATGAAGAACAACTTTGCCACGACGGCCGCGTCTCAGGGCCTGCAGAAGTCTGGCATCAACGTCGCCCTCGCCATCGACGACGGGTACGCAATTGCTGCCGCAGTCGCTATCCGCAGCACGGTGATCCACACCAGAGGCCCGGTCACGTTCTACGTATTTAGCAGCGACCTGTCTGATGTTTCGAAGGCGAAGCTGGAGCAGTGCGTCGCCGATGCAATAGACAAGACTATACGGTTCCTGGACCTACCTGCGGCCCCTCCCTCCCCACTCGCCGACGTTCCTTTCCCTGCTGGGCCCTCGTGGGGCAAGATCGCTCTGATTCCGATCTTGCCGGAGGAGGTGGAGAAGGTGCTCTACTTCGACGCCGACGTGTTAGTCCGAGGAGATCTGAACGAGATTTGGGACACGGACCTCAGGGGCAAGACGTTGGGTGCGGTTCCTGACGTCGGTTACCCGATGGGCCACGAGGACGTCGGCCGCATGAAGTACTTCAACGCGGGAGTCCTACTCATGGACGTAGTGCGCTTGCGAAAGGACTTCGGTTCTCTACATGCACAGTGCGCGAAGATGGCGAACTCGAAGTTCAAAGATCAGGACGCGCTGAACATGCACTGCCGAGATGACTGGCTTTGCCTCGAGATGAAGTGGAACGCGCAGGGCCTCGGCACGTACGCCGAGGATGTCACCCCGGAGCGCGCTGCGTTGGGGCTGGAGTCGATGGTTGAGCCATGCATCATCCACTTCACTGGTGTGATGCACCCGTCCATGGCGGAGGCGCTCGAACCGTTCGTGAAGCTGAGCGGGAAACCCTGGGGGTACTTGGGGGCTCCGCACAACCCGTATTGCGAAGAGTGGTGGCATGTGTGCGAGAAGACGGCGTGGAAGGGGTGGCGGACCTCGGCGGAGCGCCAGCTGGAACGCCTGCTAGAGATGGAGGAAGCGATTCAGGTCGGTGTCAAGGCGTTCAGGAAGAAAATCACTGACTTGCACTAGGGTAACGTAATGGCTTTCGTTTGCAGATTACGGTTTGTAATTGAACAGTTTAGAGTTTCAGACGAAGCGTTCTGCTGCAATATTGAAATTAGGATGACGTACATACCGTGAAACAATCTACATAACCTTGGTAGCGTCCACGGGAATACCGGACCACCAGAGTACAGATTGCGAAGGAAGGCCGCGTGAATGAAGCCGTCAAGATACATTTGCCGAGCCCGCGGAGTCCTGGCATCATAGACGCCCATGCGAATCCTAACGTCGATATCCATGCACTTCGAAGGCTTCCACAGATTTCGTCCCCTAACCGAGCAGGGAGCGACATATAATACAGCCAGACGCACTGAAGTGATTCCACGAGGCAAGGACAATGCAAACGGTCAAAGCGCTAATATACACCGCAGAAAGCCACTGGTATAGATCTGAACGCGGAGTGGGAGCAGACTCGCTCGAGACGAGAGGATCACCAGTCTCCGCCACCGTCGAACCCTCCCTGATCTTCACCGTTTTCGAAGCCCTGATCGTAGCCTTCGAGACGAGGTGAGTAAACGTCGTGGCTAGCGTCACGGCGCACGTACCCTGATCGTAAGCCTCCTCACGCTCGTGATCCTCGTGATCCTCAAACGCATCCATGAGCAAGGCGCCGCCTACCAGGCCAGCACCACCCGCAAGCAACGCCGTTCCCATACCCGGACCGGACTTCTTCGGGGGAGCGGCGTACACGGGTTGCTGTGGCTGAGGGGAGCTCGAGCCGAACCAGCCTGTCGATACGTCAAGGCGATCAGTCAGCGTATGCTCCCTGTCAAACCACTACCGCTAGTCGTCATCACGTACCACGACTTTCCTGGGGAGGAGGTCCTCCATATTGTGCAGGATAACCGCCCTGAGGCGGTGGGGTCCCGTAGTACCCGCCGGGGGGCGGTGGCGACTGGCCCCATTGTGGCGGAGGAGGACTTGGGTTGTAACCCGGGTTGTAGCCACCCGGAGGCGGGTACTGGCTACTGTATTGATTGGGCGGAGGAGGCCCCGGGGGCGGACCATAGCTTGCAGGGGGTGGCGGACCGAGTGGATGCACCCACGAGGAACGCGGAGGGTTCTCCCTAGTGTTCACATAGAACCTGACCCATGTCAACCGATTTGTCAGCTAGACCAATGGAGGCCTTGGATGCGGACGAAGCTCACCATGTCTGGTACCTGAGTGACCGAATATGGATCAGCATGCGTGTTATGCGGGGGTAGGAATAAGGTCATATCATGAGGCCTATCCCCGTAGTCCAGCACACAGCTTGATACCCATCGCCTGCATTCGAGTAGCTTTCGCAACATGACGAAGTCAGGGAATAGATAGGTCGGAACTCCAGAGACCTCCGCAGTCACGGAGGGGGGGGGGGTTGCGTGTGATGTCAACGAAGCCGCGACATACTGACCACGGACTGTCCCCTCTCAACCCATACACTCCATATCGAGGATATCTAAGCACAACTGGTGGTGGCGAGGCTTGCGTGCGGGGTGGTTCCCGCTTCCACCACACTAGCCGAGACCAACGCTGACATGACAGGGATGCTCACCTCTCGTCGTACTTCTCTATCCACCCCTCAGGCAAAGGGCGTCTGTCGGGATTCGTGGGAGGACCGTAGGGAGGGGGCTGGGACATCGATGGTGTGTTGCGATAGTGAATGTAATGGACAGGAAGCAGCCAGGATAGTCGCTTGCACCTTTATATACCACTCGGCACTCAGATGGCCGTTGCCCGATAGACATCCGGGCCAGGAATAGGGTAAGCAATAGCCATATTCCACCGCTTTCCAGACACGCGCTGCGCAATTGTGGGCTGCACTGCTTATGTCGTCGTTACTTCGGGTTTGTTCTCAAGGACGACAGTGCTCGACTGACTCGCGGCACTGCGGCTGGGGCATCGCAGTACCACGCACACACCGCCTCGCGCAGAGGCCGGCAGGGTCACAATAAAGGGTGTGCGTAAGCAACGGATGTGACGGCGTAAAGGGCGGCAGGAACCGGAGGTAGACAAGCTGAGCAGAGAAGCAGCTCGCCATCGGCAATTGTTTCGGTACTCTCGGGATGACCGGGATGCGAATATCAATGTACATGCAACGCTTTTGGCAGGGTCCGAACAGCCTTGTCACCATCCTAGCGCGCGAGCGCCATTGCGCATTCTCCGACGCTCATCTGCAGACTTCGCACACCTTTCCTAACGCACCCACCATCGCGACTCGACCAACTCTTTCATGACGCACAGAAGTGGAACCCTCGCGCATGGGGCGGCGAGCTCGGCGGTGGAGGCAAGAGATGTCATGATTCGGCGTCATGGCATATTACAGATGATCAATACTACTACCCTACTTCGAAGAGCGAAAACGACCACCGTGACCCCCAAGAGCACGAGCACCGAGACACATTGCACATGAGAAATATAAGCATCAGCCATTGAAGCTTTCAAGCCTTCGATTTCTTGTGCTTTCTTTCTTTCTTCGATGCTGAAGCATCGTCCTTGATGACGGAAACGGCAGGCCCCTTCTTCGACTTCTTCGGTGGAGGTGTAACTACCTCTTCTTCTTCTTCTTCGTCGTCGTCGTCATCCTCGTCGTCGCTAGAATCGGAACTTGTCGGGTCGGCCCCAAATTCCTCGGCAATAATTTGGGGTTCCTCGACAGCGACGGGCACGACTTTCGCCGGCGGAGGTACGACAGCAGGAGCAGGAGCAGGAGCAGCGACAGGAACCTAAGGTATATGCGTCAAGTGATGCAGGTTTCGCAACGAACTGATAGGACTCACAGGTACAGCAGACCCATCAGTCTTGCCAGACTCGTATGCCGCCTTCTCCTCCCGCCATCGATCCTTAAGGACCTTGTTACGGTTCTCATACGCCTGCAGGCAGGGCGGTCAAGCGAGGATCCATAGTGACGGCATAAGTTTACTCACATCTTTCTGATCCTGGGGCATTTCCGACCACAACTTGGCGATCGCGCTCAGAAGCTCGTTGTTGCGCATCCCGGGGTTCTTTGCTTTGAGCTCATTGCGAACGTCGTTTTGGAACAGGAGATACGACGACGCGGGACGTTTCGGTGCTTGCGGGTCCTTTGGCTTCTTCGCCCTCCTCTTGACCTCGGCATCGTCAGCGCGCGACTTGCGCTTCTTCCCTCCCTCGTCCTGACCCATCGGGGCCATCATGGGTATTCCGTACTGGCCGTTCGCGAGAGGAGGGAACCCAGTTGCCTGACCCATATAGGGGACTCCAGCAATGAGGTGCGCGAACTGGTCGGCGACAGCCGCGCATTCCCGCATACTGTTGGCGACAGTTGTGAGAGTGCCCATAAGCTATAGGGACCGTGGTGAGATCGAGGCAAAGAGCTACGGCGACGAGGGCCGAACCTGCATCTTATGATACTCAAACTGCGCCTGATTTTCGGGACTCATGGTGAGCTTAGGTGGAGAAGAGCAGGCGATAGGGGGTTGGACGGAGGCGCGACGCGACGAGACGCGTCTCGTATACTGCGAGAGTAAGAAGAGGTTGAAAGGGGGTAAAGGGGGGTTGAAAACTGTGTTGATGGCGGTATTAGTGACGGGCCTAGGCGTTGTGCTTGTTTGGCTGAATTGACTGTTTGTACGGTTACAAATGGCATTAGAAGCGGGTTAAATCAGGTTAAATCGTGCTCGGCGTCGCTTCAATCATGCGCTTATTGTTTTCCCATGCAGCTGGCTCTTGGCCATTATGAGCCCTTTTTGGAGCGCACCTATTCAGCTGACCACCTGCCATTGCGCTCACCAGTACACGTTGAAGCCGATGTGGGAGGGTGGCCTCCGGTGATAAGAAAGAAGTGTAAGGGAGGTTGTCTGTCCGCGGCTGTGGCACGGCATATCGGGTCGGGAATAATGGAGACGATTTATATTGACAGGCGCGGGCGCAGAGCGTGGGAAAGAAGGCCGTGTTCGGGCCAGAGAGGGCTTGAAAGCGGAGACCGAAAGGCAGTTTCTCAGCCTGACCTCTGACCATCATCACGAACGGCGAGCGCAGCCTTGAAGTCCTGGCAAGGTGATATCGACGGTTGGCAACCGACTGCAGCTCTTCTGTCCTCCATTTCGTCTTGCTGTTGCCAGAAATAAGCCCGTAGATTTCGCAGTAATCGCTTGAGAGCGCCCTGTGCAAAAAGAGTCGCGGTTGCAGATGGAATATACGAATGCAGCCTGGCTGCAGACCCAAATCGCGGACTTGCAGACGGTCCATGACGAAAGGACGTCTGCGACGCCGGATGACTGGAAGGAGCAGGCTGCCAGCGTGCAGGGTGGTATCAACGACCTGCTCGGAGACATCCAGGGTGAGCACAATACTCCTTGAACAGGCGCCCGCACCCAGCAACGCGTCGTCCGCCTGCCACTGTCCCCGAGTCCCTGCTCATCGTCCTTCCTGCTCTCCAGTATCGAATACTTCCACCGCATCCACACACTCCCCGGGTCCTACTTTCTTTCTCCCTTATCCCCTCCAGCTCCTCAGCACAACCTCTCCCTTCAACTCTGCCCCGTTCGGCGCCAGCCAATGGCAAGCTTCCTCGTCGCAGCAGGTGCCCGTCTCGAGCTATTCTTCTTTGAATGGCGCAACAGCAGCCTCGTCGCATCTGCAGTCGCAGGGACATTCTGTTGGAGCTATGGTCATTGAGTGCGTGGTGACTTCCCGAATTTGATCCATCCCTGACCCCGTCCACAGCCCCGCGCTGACGACCATGAATGGGTCCTCCGGCAGTCCTCCCCAGCAATTCCAGCAGCCATCCTTCATGTCCTCACAACCTCAGTCTCGCATGCAGTTCTCTTATCAACAACAAGCGCATTCCTCTCCATTATCCATTAATCCCTCATACGTCCACGCGAATGCCTCACATTACCAGCAACCCCAACAGCAGCATTCCATTTCGCTTTCTCGCAATCACTCGCATTCCCCCTCGCAACAACAGCAACAACAACAGCAACAAGGAACCCTCTCGCCATTTGTCCTACACTCCCCGACGAGCGGTTTCTACGCCGGTATCCCTCCTTCGTCCTTTTACGGCCAATCCCTGCAGCCTCAAGCAGGTCCCTCATCCACACCACAACCTCCTCCGCAACCCTCCCAGCCCGCCCAACCTCCTCCCTCATCTGCATCACCCCCCGCGCCCAATAAGCCCTCGCCTGAACAGCGAAGAGCCAAACTGGCACAGGACGTGAAGCCATTTATTCAGCCGACCTCATTTACAGGAGCAGGCGCGGTCAATCAGCTAGTCAACATTCTTGACGATTACGGCATTCCAGAGGTTGAAGCTTCGTTACGTCTCGAGATACTGACCAAGATCAGGGACAACGCTGGCAACCATTACTTCCGCGCTTGGGTCGACAACACAGTCGCCCTCGACATCATCCGCGAATGGCTTAAGCTGGCGTTTCAGGGAAGGAACGAGCCCCAATTGCTCGAGACGATCATGCCTATACTGCACGTGAGTTGCACTATGATCTCTTCCCTTCTATTCCCCCGCTACCGATCCCCATCCTCCTTCGCCGCCCACAAGCAGTGAAGGTGCGCGCCCAAAGGCGCCGACGTTGTTATGGTCCCGTAGGTTGATTAAGCCGTCAAGCGTAGCACAACCCGTCAGTATGCGACCGCTGCTAGCGACGGCGGGCGTGTATTCTTGGGTTCTACCCTCGCTGAGGGTTTATAAATGCCCCCTACCGGGCGTGTGAGCTATGATAAGTCTCCGTAGCGGCTACCTAGTGCAGTCAGCCGTTATCACTCCGAGTCGTTTTAACTTCCTCGGGAAACTAGCGAACTAACGAGCACTGGCTGCTGCTTGCCATTGTCTAGATCATTGATCGCCTACCATTGACCGTCGACAAGCTCAAGACAGCCAAGCTTGGGAAGTTGATCATGCGACTCGTCAAAGAGCCTCCCACTCCGGGTGAGTTGAGCCTTTCGTGTGTGCACAAACCCAGAACATTGCGTTGTGGGCCAAGTGAATGCCGCGTAGAGGACAGATCAGAGACCTGCGTGACGCATATATCTATTGAATCTGTAGAGAAGCTTTTGATTCGCCTGGTACTCGTCGATAAATTACATGTATCTAACTACTGTTTTTTCATGTGCGCCGAACGAAACCCATCAGCGATCAAGGACATGGCAGCGAACCTGGAAAAGAAATGGCGAAAATTGCTCGCACAAGAGGTGTCCGACAAGATGGACACGGAAAACCCAGAGGGTAAGTCATGTCAGTCCATATCGCCACGTATCGATAACTTAAACGAGTACTGTCCAAATCAGACAAGAACAAGAAACGGCGAGCAGAGGGCATACCAGCGAAGGGTGCGCCCCCTGTGAAGAAGGCCGCCGTCCCTGGCGCGACTGCCTCGACGCCTAAGGCCATCCCTGTCAAGAAGGAGGCGAAACCGGTAGTCAAGGACGCGAAGTCCGACTCGTCGTTCTTCTCCAAGCCAAAGGTAACCAAGAAGGAGCTGCCCAGTTTCAAGAAGAACGCGCCTGCAGCTCCTGCCCCTGTCAAGAAGGAGTCCGACCAGAACATTGCACAACCGTCGTCATTCAACCCCTTCGAAGAAGTGCTCAAGTCGTATGGATCGGCAGGGGCATCCGCGACGCCGCCTCCTTCGGTACCGTCGCCCGCTCCGGGGCCTTCAACCACAGTCGCCTCTGTCACGGCTCCGTCGGGATTGACCAGAAAGGGCAAACTCAAGAGATCGGTTACTTGGGCTCCCGATGGGCAGCTCGAGCAGATCAGGCTTATTGAGCGCGCGGTGTACGACGATGACCCTGCCACTGTCAGCCTTCTTTGCTCGTATCAGCGTATGTACTGTATATTAATTAGAGGCCCAACGCGGCACTACGCACACAGGGCTCGCATCCGGCACATAACATTCGCGATCTTGACCGTGACGAGGGCGCCGCGCTTCATGCGGTACTATTCGACGAACAGATCGAATGGGCGGAGCCACAACGTGAGCACGCCATGTGTCGTGTCCTGTGATCCCGTGACTAATAAAGGACGCTGCAGCACTTGAGCTCCCTCCGGAAATCCAAATTCCTCCACGAGGCAACGACAGCCAAGAGCGTGCTGCGCAAGAAGAACGAGAGCAGAACGCGCTGCTTGTACTGTACCCCTCGCCGACACAGATTCCCGACAGCCCCGCGGAGCCGTTGACCCAGATCGCGGAAGATCATGTTGACGAGGGGATGGTCCTCATGTTGACCGGTCCGGAAGTAGATGCTGTGCTTTGGAATGCCTCTCCCCCGCCTTCGACGCCATCGGCCGTTGCGGACCTCGTAGCGCAGCTCGCGTCGGGTTCAGGCGGCGACGTCTTGATGGGTGATAGCGGACAGGCTGCTGCAGCCGTGTCGAACATGTATACAAACGGGGACGGGTTCGACGCAGAGAAGCTAAAGCATCTCATGGCACAGCTCCAGCAATCCAATCCGCTCGCTACGCTCTCTGCAGGCGGTCTTGCGCCGTCGCAGCCTCAGCAGGGCGACTCGGCGCAGGGCTGGAACCCTGGGAATCAATACTCAGATTACGATCGGGGCTACCACGAAAACGGCGCCGGACGCGGCGGCGGAGATCCGAGCCGGCGATGGAACGATGACGGTCCTTGGGGATCGGCGCCGGGAGGCCCGGGCCCTGCGGCCAGCGAGCGCGGCTTCCGGGGTCGCGGCCGGGGAGGGCCGCGAGGAATGGGCCGGGGCCGGGGAGACGGACATAGAAATACGAAACGAAAACCATGCAGTTTCTTTTTGGCAGGAAGGCGAGCACCCGAGTCTGTAGTGAACGAACGACCGAGGAAACTGATCACGCCCCCTTCGCTTCTCCCGTCCACAGATGCCGATATGGGGATCAGTGCGATTTCAGCCACGAAGCGCTCCCGTATTGACCGGTGCCATACCTTGGACTAGTTGTCGACTTATCGCCGGCGTCGCATCCCCGAATTTCTTTACATCCAGATCGCAATCATATCAGCAATACTTCCTCGCATTCGCAAGCAACTCCTCACTACCTGCATAGTTACCACGTGTATCTCATACTAATATGTCTTGTTCATTCTATACGCCGTAGACATATGCATCGTACGCTTTTGGTCTCGGCCACAATCGAGCACGTTGGCAGAAACGTGCATGACGACGTAACAGGCGCCGACGTCAGCGATCCAAGGATACGGGTCTGTGCAATTCTTCTGTTCCTCATGATCGGCCACATCGAGTGATTCTATATAGCATCAGAGCAGCAGCCATGAGGGTCATGTGTATCGCGCAGTCGCCAAAGAGGCCACCTACTGGAAGCACTTTTGTCTGTCGGATGCCCGATGCGACCTCCCAACATCACGCTCATGTGTCCCAGCTGGTATCCCACATGCTAGCTGCTGGAATGTCTTGAGTTCACGAACGATTATACACAGTCGCCCAATCTAATGTCCGATCGGGGAGAGCTGCGCGCCTTAACTTTGGCCACCTAATAATCAGTCTGTAGTCTTGCAGGAAGGAGCTGTACACCTTGAACTACGTACGAAGACTCGTACGATCGCTGCAGTTACTTACAGAGCACAGAGCATACACCTGAGAGCGGAGGCCGTCCATACCGTGGTGGCTCTGATACACCCATCGACGTCTCAAGGGGCTATCAGGCATGCCTTTTGTTGTGTGCTTGCTCGCACCGGACTTTGGAGAATCTCGCGTCATCGTCGAACTCGACATATGAAGTCTTTCTATCGTAATACCACCTCAGATCTCGCGACTCGACGATATTCGGGCGTCAGATAGGCGAGAGAGTGATAGATGATTAGTATACAGTATAGAACAGCATAAATAGAAAAGTGATAAGACAACAGGTACCCGCAGCCTGGTTGGTCCTCGCAGAAGAGAAGAACAGTCCTCCGCAACGTGACCCGAGAGTGACACTAAGATACAATCTACGTATATGCTATGCTGAGTAAATTATCAATTGGGCGATGATTGCAGCGAGATCCACGAGAACAGATAACACATGGGAAGACAGCGGGAGGAAGACACTGGAGATAACAGGAGACTGTGTGAAGATCGGACAGTGTGGCAGAGAAGAGCGCAAAGCGGAAGCGGAACTAGAGAGCAAAGGCAATCAATGACCGTCCGCGGCCGCGGCCGTGAGGTGACCTGTTTTATGACCCTTGTGTCTTTGTTCGTTTTCGACTCCCCCGCTTCGCTGTCGGCTGCGGCTCCGAGTTTGCGGTCGTGGGCGGGTCGTCGCCCGCCCGCTGGCTCGACGGTGCTTTGCGCTTCAGCGAAGCGTTTGCCATTGACGGCGTCGTTGGTCCGCCGGGCGTCGGTGCAGAAGCTGGTGTAGACGCAGATGGTGTAGAGCCCGACGCCTGTGCGGACTGTGGCGTTGCCTTCGCGGACCTCCCAGCTCCATCGAGTTGACCGACATTCTGCTGATCACTACTAGATGTTGGCTGCGATGGAGCTGGCGCGCTTCCCATATGTCCCAAGGAAGTCGATGGTCCAGCCGTCGGTATACCATTCGGCGGTTCCGAGTACGTCGAGCCACCCATCACGTTGCCGCTATAGCTGCCACGATTCGCGGCTTGTTCCTCGCGGATTTTATCCGCGAACGCTCTCAAGGCATCTGAAAGACAACTCGTCAGCCGTCTGCTTTAATTCAAGCTAGAGCCAACACGTACCACAAGGCCCCATCTTCTTGGTTACAGAGAACTGGATGAGATCAGACATTTGCGCAACGCTTTCCGCCAGCTGCGACCAGGAATAACCGTTCATCGAACGTACCGCTAGATAACATGAACTCGACTCACCTCTAGACATCGCATTGTCGCCTGAGGAATCCCAAACGCGTTGATGGGTTCCGCAGGGATGACCCCATTCTCGATCAAGTACCGGGGCTCATCGAACTGGCTGGAGTCCCCTCTACTCATGTCCTCTGCTGTCCCATTCGCTGCGCCATTAGGCGACATGGGCACCACCCGCGGCGAGTCTGGTATTCGAGTGCCCTGAATGGCGTCGAAGGCCAGGTACTTATCGTGCCAGAACGCGTCGAACTGCAAGCGTTCCACCTTCAACGCGTACGAAGGCACAGGCTGTTGTGAGGATGATTGCTGATTAGGATTCAACAACAGCACAGAGATCTCCGCAGTGAAGGGGCCGCGAAGGGTGATGCTATACCCGTTCGTGTAGCGGAACGTCCACTGCGCGGTAGCGCACTCGATGACCGCATGCATAGGATGGAGGAGCCGCTCTCGAGCGCCATCGATGGTGAGAGTCTGAGTTTTGACTCCTGATTGACTTGTGACGAGGAAAAACCGTGGGAAGATGGGATAGCCGATTTCTGAATTCGGCTGTCAGAATGTTTTGCACAGCACAATCTCGATTACATAACGCACCGAATGGTTTCGCCTCCACCTGTTGGTTGTCCTTCCAAAGAGTCAGCTTCATGGTAGCCTTCTCCGAGAAGTATTTCGAGACGACGGTGGTCCAGTATGACATATTGAGACGCTGAAAGACTGTGAGCTCATGGCCGTTGAGATGGAGTGAGAGGAAGACATACCTGTTTACTGTCCACACCCAACGCGCCACTCAGCTGAAGGAGCAGGTTGATCCCCTGTCCAAGTCCTATTGGGTATATAGGAGGACTATAGTCGTCGTCAGCCTATGAGAAACATCTGAACCTCGAGATGCAGACACGCACCGCGACGCAGCGACAGCAGGAGCTGAAGACACAGGTGCTGATGGCCCCGCTGAAGGCGTCGATGGTGGCACACTGACTCGCTGCGGCTGATTAGCATCCGCTGCTGCGTTCGACTGCTGTCCTGCCGCAGGCGCCGTATTCGTCGGCGGTGCCGGAGTGCGCGCTCCTGGCCGTGCAGCTGTCGCGCTTGGTGGCCGCGATTCTACCTGTGCGGGGTGCGTGGATGGAGGTGCGCTAGCCGGTGGCTGGGCGGACTGGTGCGGAGGGCCTTGTGGACTGTGACCCGCGGCTGTAGGAACGCGTTGTGGTGGTGGCATACCGCCTGTATTCATGGGCAAGGAGGGCTGCGAGCTGCGAGGTGTGCGAACGGGATTAGGAGGGATAGGAGACTGACGGTGTGAGACCTGAGGCTGAGACTGAGGTCGCTGCATTACTGTTCCACCAGGATGCATCGGGTTGGAGAGGTGATCGGGTTGGCGGGGCGATCGTTGGGTAGGTTGTGAAGTGTTCGGAGGCATCGGGAATCCATTGTGTGGACCGTTATGCGAGGGTGGTCGGGGTGGCGCAGATACCGTAGGCTGAGCCATACCGTACGAACCCGTTGGGAAGCTCTCTCCGCCGTGGTTCATCTGGCCAAGCGCCTGGGCGGGGGTCATCACGCCCGACGGGTTCATTGGCGGGTTTCTAGGTTGAGACATATCGCCCCCCGCGTTCATAGGCGACGGCGAGTGTGCGATACTGAATTGGCCGTTGTTGATGCCCTCCATTGGCATCCGCTGGACGCCGTGAGAAAGCGTTGACTGGGTCGGTGGGTTCTGGTTCCAGGACATGAACATGGTGTTGTCGGGCGTCACCATACGGTTCCCGCCCGTTTGGGGACCCATGTTTGGCGGCTGCTGACCCGACGGGCCTACGTGCGTCGACGAAACCATCTGCGACTGCTGGTGTTGATGAGGGAGCGACATCGGGTTCCCGAAGTGTTGCATCGCGTGCCCTTGAGCGAGGTTGACCGGCTGCGTAAGGGTGGGCATCATTTGCGACCCCGAGCTAGCCCGCGTGTGGACCTGAAGCGACGGCGCCCCATTCATAGACGCGGGTCGAACCATCGGGAGACTCATTTCTGGGGACATCGAGCCTCCTTGGGGGTGCGACGAAGGCTGCGGCCGCATCTGGAGGTTATGATTCGTCATGCGAGTAATCCCGCCCATTTGCTGAGAGCCGTTCATACCACCCATACCGCCACCGATCATGCCCGGCTGCATCGCGCCGATATGTGCACCCCCCTGAGCTAACGGCTGCGACTGGACGCGACGGACGGTCTGCTGGGGAACCATACCTCCACCAGGGTATCCACCCATGTTACTACCCATGCCCTGCATATTTTGCATCTGGGCAGGCGCGAGGCCAGCCATGTGAGGGGGTCCACCACCACCACCGGGATGCAGACCTGAACCATTAGGTTGCGCCCTCATGAACATGGGCTGTCGCGGGGGGTTGCCTTGCTGCATGACCATGGGATAGTTCGGATTAGAGGGACCAGGCTGGCCAGGCATGATACCAAGGCCAGGGTTCGCGCCCTGATTGTTTTGGAGGAGACCGAGGTTATGCGGGTGAGGTTGCTGTCCGTGTTGCGGCTGTTGAGGGAAGAGCGACTGGGGCATGATGGGCTGATGCATATTCGGCACTCCTTGGCGAATCATTTCGGGGTGAGGGACGTTCATGAGGAGAATCGGTAAATGAGAAGGCGACCGACGGAGACGCAAGGACGTGTTGCCGTCGCATGCAGGAGACAGAAGTCGAGCTCGGCGATTTCGTCAGGCACAGGATAAGCAGGCAGCGTCGCGGAGGACGACCGTGTAGGAGGTTTTGTAGGCCTCGAGGGCGGCGAGGGCGTCGAGGACGACGGTGGGCGGAGGAAGGGAAAGTTGAATCGCGTTGTGGCAGACGCACTCACACGCTTGAGCGACGGCACTGCTTCCACGCCACGAGTCCATCGCCTGCCCCGATTTCCCCGCATCCTCCCTCCGTCTCTCCCTTTTGTTTCTTTGCCTTCTTGCTGCCTTCTTGCTGCTGTGCGTGCCCGACAGCCCAGAGACAACAAGAATACGGCGCATATATGCGGCCGACAGGGAGCGACGCTGCTCCCGCACCGAGGCCGTCTATTCCGGGGGATCTCGCAGATATGCGCCGCGAGCTGGCCAATCTGTTTCCGGCACCGAGTACCGTACAACGGCTCGGGTAAATTACTTCCATCATGCTTTGTACTTACGCTCCTTCGTGCCGCAGCTGCATCCGCCTGCATACCTTTCAAGCGATGAGATCCATACAGAGAACTTTGTGCATGCCCGGCATTATCAGTCCATGCGGCTCCGGACTTCTTCGATAGTGGAAACGTTGCTTTATCCACAGCATCAGTCCTATCGTTCACTCTATTGTCATGTACAACACACACATAACAATGCAATAGAGTGGACCCTCTTGCATCGATCAAGCTTGACAACAGACGTAATCTGGGTGAAGGGCACCCGAAGATAAGCTTTGTCTGGATATCCGCCCATATTGAATGTGCTGTCGGACTCGGCTGGGCCTCACGCAGGGGATCATATCTGCTATGGGAAACGAGCTCGACGAGAAAATTGTGCGCGATACATTAGATGTGTCGAGGGGATCGGAACGATATAGAGGGAACGATACATTCATACGACCGGCGCAGTGCTCTGGTGCGCGATGCCCCGTGTACGCCCAATATCGGTCATTTTCCATTGCGACCACACAGTAAATAAGAGCCGTGGATCATCAATGCTGGTGTTTTACGGTCTCGGCCTCGATATCTATCTGTAGGAAGACGAAGATCGCCTCTTCTGGACTGGCTCTATACGACTGCTCCCCGGAATAAGCAGCTGACTAGTGAACAGCCTTCGCAAGTGTGTTCACGGTTTATAGGACTTGGACATGGGAGGCCCCTGTCCTTAATCTACTGCCGGAGCAGGGTGCGCTTACGGGTTGAGTATGAAGGTGCTGCGTTCTGAGAAGACTGTCGGCGTTGCCGGGTGTGGCAACGGCGCGTGCAGACTGCGACAGATTTGGGCGGTCCTGGGCGCTTGAAGACAGCTCTCTCCTCCATCCTCCCTCTACACTCCTTCAGTTCTCGCCATAGACTGTGTTTTGCTTGACGTTCTGAGGTCCTGGCAGCACACAACTAGACATCCAAGCCCATGGCTGATCATGGCGATGGAAATATCAAGGTTGTTGTCCGATGCCGGCCCCTAAATTCGCGCGGTTCGTGTTTTCGGTGCTCCACTACGCGTTCTCGCGTTCATCCTGCTCACCTTGATGCCTTGCCTTGCTTCTGTCGTCATTCTGGCCCCCTCAAACCTTGTTTCTGACAACAGAGATCGCGCGCGGCGCGAAATGTCTCGTGCGCATGGAGGGGAATCAAACCATCCTAGAGCCTCCGGAGCCAGGCTCGGCGGGTGCGCAGGCAACGTCAGGACGTGCATCTGAGCGCAAACCGATGACTTTTACGTTCGACAAGAGTTATTGGTCCGCAGGAGAGAGGACCGATCCCGGATATTGCTCTCAGCAAACGCTGTACGACGACCTTGGGAAAGAGCTACTCGACCACGGCTTTGCAGGGTTCAACGCGTGTATCTTGGCTTGTGAGTACAGTCTGCATCGCATCTTCCGCTCGTGTGCTGAACGTAAGGACAGATGGACAGACAGGTACGTGTGAAACGCAAGCAGGACGAGGTTAGAATGGAAACTCACGCAAATGGTGGGTAGGTTCTGGGAAGTCTTACAGGTGCGCTCCCTTGTTGTTGTTGTGGCGTACTCCTAATGACCTAAATCACCTTTGCATAGTATGATGGGCTGTGAGTACATTAGTGTAGTACCCCCTAGTCCGTGCTCATTTATCCTCGTTACCAGACGGCCCTGACAAGGGAATTATACCACTCACATGTTCCGAGCTGTTCTCGCGGATCGAGCAGAAGAGTTCGGACCCCAACGTCAGTTTCACAGTAGAAGTATCTTACATCGAAATCTACAACGAGAAGGTGCGGGACTTGCTTAACCCCAAGAACTCCGGAAACCTCAGGGTCCGTGAGCACCCCAGTCTCGGGCCGTACGTCGAGGACCTCTCGAAACTCGTCGTCAACAGCTACGATGAGATGATGACGCTCATGGACGAGGGCAACAAGGCCCGTACGGTCGCTGCGACCAACATGAACGAGACGTGCGTATCTCCGCTCCTTTTCTGCCTCATGTGATCTCTTGGGGATGGAACTGTTGGGTTGACGGTGGCGCTTGAGATAGGTCGTCCCGTTCGCATGCTGTTTTCACCCTTCTACTCACGATGAAGCGGCACGATGTGGATACCAACCTCGACACGGAGAAGGTGTCGCGTATCAACCTAGTCGACCTTGCGGGCTCCGAGCGAGCGAACTCGACCGGCGCCACCGGGCAACGGCTGAAGGAAGGTGCGAACATCAACAAGTCGCTCACCACGCTCGGGAAGGTCATTGCTGCTCTTGCTACTGCGAGTCAGGCGGAGGGCAAGAAGGGCAAGAAGGGCAAGGCAGAGGATTTCATTCCCTATCGAGATTCCGTACGTCTCGCATATTATACGTATTATCTGTTGGAGATTGAGTGCGACCGCTCCCCAGGTCTTGACATGGCTGTTGAAAGACAGTCTGGGAGGAAACTCGAAGACGGCGATGATTGCTGCCATCTCGCCCGCCGATGTGCAATATGAGGAGACCCTCAGTACTCTGCGTTATGCCGACCAGGCCAAGAAGATCAAGAACAAGGCTATCATTAACGAGGACCCCAACGCGAAGCTTGTTCGCGAGCTCAAGGAGGAGTTGGAGATGCTTCGAGGTACGATGCTTCAGACTCTCTGCGCATGCATACACTGACTTGCTGGTGCTGCTAGCACGTGTGTCTGGTGCAAGTTCCGAAGCCGTCTTCGACCCAACGATCCCGGCGGCGCAACAGAAGGTCACCTACCAAGCGAAGGACGGGACGATCAAGACGGTCACGAAGGCGGAGCTGCAGGAGCAGCTGGAGACGAGCGAGAAGCTTATGCAGAGCTTGAACGAGACCTGGGAAGAGAAGATGCAGCGTACACAGGAGATCCAACGGGAGCGAGAGCAGGCCCTGGAGGAGCTGGGTATCACGGTCGACAAGAACAACGTGGGCGTCCATACCCCAAAGAGGATGCCCCATTTGGTCAACTTGGTGCGTCGCATAGCTGTTGACGTCGGGAATGTGGCCTTGCGTGCTCATAATCGTTGTGCGTGGCAGAATGAGGATCCTCTCATGAGCGAGTGCTTGATCTATCAGATCAAGCCAGGCAAGACGGACGTTGGGAGGTTGGAAAGCGACAAGAGCTGTGCAATCCGTCTCAGTGGAGACAGCATTGCCGAGGAGCACTGCTACTTCGAGAACACTGACGGCAAGGTTACCTTGCATGCCATGCCAAATGCCGTTACCGTATGTATTCGTTGTTTCCTAGGCGTTTGTCGCGTTACTCAAGAAATCTCGTAGTTTTTGAACGGCCGACAGATCGAGCCCGGGCAGGTAATATCCCATGCTGTAGCTATTCAGCGTAACAATAAGCTCACAGTCATTGTGTAGGCTCACAAGCTGCGCACGGGCTATCGTATAATTCTCGGTAAGTGGTTCTTTACAACTGCATAAGTGGTACAATAGTTCCAACACTACGCAGGCGAGCACCACGTCTTCCGTTTCAACCACCCGGAGGAAGTACGGAAGCTGCGAGAACGCGCTAGGGCGAAGTCGCAGATGAGCATCAGCATCACCGCCGCTGATCTTGCTGCCGAGGCCAACTCCGAAGCGACTCGGCCTAGCTCACCGACAGGCTCTGAAGTCGACTTGAACGATGTTGACTGGACGTTTGCGAAGCGAGAGGCGGCACTGGCGAGGCTTGGACTTGACCCCTCTTTGGACAATCTCCCCGACGAAGACTTGAACAAGCTATTCGAGAAAATCACGAAGGTGAAGACGATGCGCGACCACAACGCGAAGCGGCCGGAGAGCAGTCTCAGCCACGCGGACGACATCTGGAGCGAGTCTGGACGACCGGCCGATACCCTGACTGATGATACCAGCGTGGATGCCATGACCAATCACGATAGCCCTGAGTTGGGGGAGAACTTGAGGGAGATGCAGAGCCAGCTCGAGCACCAGCGCGTCGAGTTCGAGAGTCGTCTGCAGGCTATCGCGGAGTCGTCCGAGGCAGAGGACCTCAAGGTGGAGAAGGAGCAGATGGAGCGCCAGCTGAAGCTCGTGCAGGTGCACATGAAGCGGCTGCTGGACGCGCGAGCGAGGGGCGAGACCGAGCTAGAGGACGTCGCCTTTGAGCCGGTGATATACACTGCTCGGCAGTTACGTCTGATACGGAAGGTCCTCGACAAGTGGCGCGCCCACCGATCGTTTTCTATGGCCGAAGTCGTTCTGTCGAACGCTGTGCTTGTTAAAGAGGCGAATATTATCAGGTACGTGCGGGCGTAGCGGTGCATTGAAGCGCTCATTGACGATATTTACAGCAAGGAACTCGGCAAGGACGTCTTTTACAACTTCACTATCGCCGCTGGTGGTTCCCTTGCTGCGCCTGCGTCTGCTATTGACTCTATCGCTGGCCTGGATCAATTTGGCGACGTCGCAGATCCCGTCCTAGCCTCCGCAACCCAACCGTCGGTCGCTGTCAAGCTCATTGACCGGCGACATAACGCTATCTATGTCTGGTCGCTGGATCGTCTTCAGCAACAGTTGCAGCGCATGCGCAATCTCACTACCTTTATAGACCGCCCATCCTATTCCCAGCACTTCTCCTCTGAGGAGCCATTTTACGACAGCCCTCCCCCTGACTACTCCTTTATCGGCAACGCACTACTCTCCTTGGCACCCCTGTCTCGAAGGCTATCCTCCTCGTCTACCGTACCCATCTTCTGCAGATATACTTCTGAGGCAATCGGTTCATGTCGAATCGAGATCAAGATCTCGAACGTCGTCCTTTCCCCTAAGCACGCTAATACTTCCGCCACCTCTACTCGGGCCACGTCCCCTGTGCCGGGTACGGTCCCTCCAGGCAGCAAGCTCACCTTCTACCTCATCGTCGACCAGGTGAAGGGGCTGTCTCACTACGACTTCTCCTTCGTCCACTTGCAGGTCCGGCTCTCCTCATTCCTGGGCCCGTCGCTTACCTCGGAAGAGGTGTACCCTTCGACTGCGATAGACCTAGACACTGCGTCCCTGTCCGACCTGAAGTTCCGCCGGAGCTTCTCAATGGTCGCCTCGACGAAGGTCCTGTCCTACCTTCGTCAAGGGTACGCACCAATCGAATTCTACGCTCGTCTGAAGCCGACATATCTTGAGCGGATGGAGCGATGGGACGAGATGCGCGAACAACGTATCCCTACCACCATCGGCTCGTCTTCTGTGAGTACACCGCAGAGCCTGCCGACATCACTTCCTCCTATGCGTCGATCCGAGAACGACTTCGTAGTCGAGCAAACGCACGACGTGGCTGCCTGGCTGCAGGTCTGCGAGCTGGCACCAGATGGAAGCTACAAGCCTGTGCCTGTCGTCTCTTCGGGTCATCTGGACCCGGGCTGCTTCCTACTGCACCAGGGCCTCCAGCGCCGGATCGTCCTTACCCTTTCTTCTCATTCCGGTCGGCAGCTTCCATGGACAGAAGTTACTCGAATACGTCTGGGTAACATCCGGCATCTGGACGCGAAGGGTCTGCTGCACGAGTCGCCTTCCAAGGTGCTCACTACGCTTCCCCTGCAGCAAGACCAGAAGATCGATTACAAGCCGGACGGGACTGGAAGCATCACTGCGGAAGCGCTATGGGACTCGAGCGTGCACAACTCGATACTGCTCAACCGGGTCACGGCCTCGGGTCAGCGGGTGCTGCTGCAGGTGTCGTGGTCTGTGGTGGTCGAGACATGCGCGGAGCCGGTGCAGTTCAATATGGACACCGCAGTTATGATCCAGTCCCGCGACGCGCGCCCGCCATCTCGGCTCACGTCCTTGTTCGGCTCCACGAAGGTGCTCCCCAAGACGAGCACGCTCTTCTCGGTCCGGCTCACGCCGCCGCTCACCCGCTCGCCCAAGGACCTCTGGCGCCTTGACACTGCAGAGAAGTACGTCCGGGGCGAGGAGGCACTCGGCATCTGGAGACCCAGAGGCGTCTCCGTCGTCGAGGATTACTCAAGGCTTGTGACGATGGAGCGCCGTGCGGCCGACGTGCAAGCAATCAGGGTCATCTTAGCAGCTTCGCCGAACAGCAAGGTCCAGCAGCAGGACGCGGACGTCTGGGCGTCGGACGCTTCGGAAGAGCTCATGCGGAAGGCGTTGGCACTTTGGCAGAAGCGCTTCGGTCATCAAGGCGAGGTACGCTTGCTATCTGTCATCCGAAGCAGAGAAGCCAGAGCTAATCCTCTGCGCGCGCGACTAGATTGTCATCAGTCAGGAGCAGCCTGAACCGGACGTCTTGAGCGTGAACTCTGGAAAAGCTTCGGCCGCGCCGTCTGATACACCGTCAGTCGATTCTCTCAAGCTCAATGCGAGCACGAAGCTTGTGCCCAGAAAGTGCGTTTGTTCTAGAACAGACGTCTCGAACATAACACTGACAGCCAATTCAGCGACGGGCCGACGAAGAAGGGCCACCTGATGCTCATGACTGACGCGACTGAGAACATCTGGGAACGGCGATGGTTCGTGCTCAGAAGGTGCGTACCTGCTGACATTCGTCGTCGCGCCTCTCGCTCACAGACTGGTTCTCTTCCTCAGGCCGTACCTCCACATGTACGCGCACTCCAACGAGGTCGAGGAGATAGGCGTGATAAGCCTGACAGGCGTGAACGTGGAAAGCAACCCGGAAATGGAGGCTCTTCTGGGGGTACGTCTGCCTCGTTCCTCGAGCTGGTCCATGTGCTAACTTCGAGAACCCCCGCGCTGTAGAAAAAGTTCACCTTCACCCTCTTCACCTCTTCGAACTCGTACGCGCTCGCTGCTCCGAGCCAGAAGGAGCTCCAAGCATGGACTACGAAGTTGGATCCTACACGACTTCCTTCATGACACGCCACGATTTTTCATGACATAATGGAAAAAGTGAAGATCCTCGGCATGCCTCATCCCATGCCGAAGATTTTCATCTTTTCTACATTCCAGCGAATGTAAAAATCAGCGTCGCATGTCCCGCGCCGGGTGGTGTGCTCGGATCAGCGGCAGGCCCCTGCCGAGCCCCGCCAGCCTGCTCTCCGGCCACCTTCCAGCTCGGGGACACGCCCGCTGTGACTGCTCGAGACGTGCCCCGCCGGCGAGCTATGCCCCTTTGCGAGCTACATAATACTCGATTTCTTACCTGGGATGTTCCCAACACATATTCCCGGTATATTCAAGTGCTCCCAGCGGTGGAAGAGAGTTGGGCAATGGCTTCGGTGCGGTAGGGTTGGGGGTCGGCCGGGGTTTTCCGGTGATCCGAGCACACGACCCGGCGCGGGACATGCGACGCTGATTTTTACATCCGCTGTCATCTTCGACACCCCTGTCTCTTCTTGTTTACCAGGCTTCGCTTCATTCATTACACTTATCACATCGATCGCTGTGTCTGGCTCACCTGTAATGTTTTACTCTTTGTCGGCGCTCGGAGCTGGTTTGGTATTATCTTGTCGCAGTTTCCCTTCCAATCATGCACATACCATGTACATACGTACGCATAACATCGCCCGGCTTTCTATACTCATACAAGTGATATCCGTAGTCGTTACATACCACAATATCCCATGTACCCCTATATTATTAGCCCGGGGTTGGTGGCGGACCAAATGGAATCGACGCGTAGCTTCTGTTCTGGAATACATGCGTCGGGCGGCATACCTGAGAGGCTGTAGCGCACTGGTACCTGTGGCGGAACGCTGCGAGAGTTTTGTCCTGGACCCGCCGAGGTAGGATGGCGGGTGGGGCGCGGCAGGTACAGAGAGGGGTACCCAAACGAGAACGAGGTTGCTCTGATGACATCACAGCAGGTCGAAGTCGTCGAGCTGGAAGTAGCCTTGGTAAGACACGACTGACTGCGCGGGCATTTATGCGGCTCACCTCGTCGTTGTACCGCATGATCGTGCGCTTGAGCTTCGACGTGTCGACCCAGGTTACGAAGTCTTCCATGTGCCTGTCAGGAGCATGAGCGCGACAGCGCCATTAGAGAGAGGAACGCAGCGTCGTACCTGGTGACGAGGTATGCAGGGTCTGTTATCGTGTCCGGGCCTACGCGGACGTGACCCTGCTCGATGAACTTGACGGCCTGATGGTGGCGCGTTTCGTGTGCCAAGGATTGATGAAATTCAATGAGCGAATGCGAGAAGGGGTGGAAAGATCAAGCCCGAACCCGGTTGGCACCTCGGAACACGGACTACCTCAGAGGCAGATGAGGATGATCCTCGTGCAATGACCGTGTGACGAGCGGGAACATATCGCGCCCGGCGACGGCTCTGCATAGAAGTACGCCGTAATAGCGACAGAACCTTACACTTGTAAACGTCCAGTAAACGTCGGACATAGTGAGGAGACCATCCGTGAAGACGCCAACCGGGCTTGGAAGCAGGATGGACGAGGTTGTCGAAGACACGTACCGCGCTAACCGTTTCTGACATTTTCGACATGCACATTATGACCGCGAGTCGTCGTCTGCAGAACGCCGCAACAGTGAGCTTGTTTTCGATGTCGCTGAGCTTTGCGGTGTTGTTCAGCACGCCCATGTCGTATAGCTTCGACAAGAGCTGGCCTTCCATTTTTGCCCGGAAAGGGTCTTGCGCAGGGAGAAGGGAGAGTCGGTGGGCGTACGAACGGAGGGAGCCACAGAGTTTGTTATATCTGAATGACGAAGGCCACATTATACCCGCTACTGAGCAAAAACGTACAAAAGTGATAAAACGCACTTGTGGTAATCCTCCCGGTCCTGGATGTGGTACCTGCGCATGACCTTGATCTCACGCAAGTTTGCATCTTGTTTCCACTGTGCTCGGCCTCAGCTCCCGCTAGCCTCCTTCGTCCCAAAGTGCACACTCACGTTGAGAAAGTCGACTTTCTTGAGAAGCTTTTGTTCGTGATGCTTGAACTGGCGAACCATGATGGATGGGAGCGGGAGGGTAGTGGAGGTTCTAACGAGAGCCGGAAACTCTGAGGCAGCTGAAGATGGGCGCCTACAAAACTAAGGCCGCAAACGTCGGGCCGAATTCGGAAATGTTTGTGGTTCACACGCATGCCCGCCAACCAAACCTTGGCCACTGCCGTGATGTAGGGATATTGAGGGCCAGTGACTCCAGCGTCGCACGGCATGCAGACCGACGATCATGTCCCATCATACAAGGTTGGTGACAATATCTTGATGAACACTCCAATATGCGCGCGGCGTGCCGCGAGTCATCTTCTAGTTGTCGCTGCTGTGAACGCGCTGCAGGGATCGGAGAAGGACTGCGACAAGACTTGGATCCTACTGGAAATCAGGTGAGCGGAGTAGGGCGTGGTCTTTGAAAAGAGACGCACTGACTAGCGGCGCTATAGTGTAAGATATGTTCCATGAGAACGGTGATAGTCCAGCAAAGTACCACGGCCGAGTGACGTGCCAGTGGTGCCAGATGGATCTGCATCATGTTCGGCCTCAAACCTTGTATCGTGCGCGCAGATAATTGAACCATATCCATCAGTGCGCGATAGTAGGCCTGCCCCACCCATCTCCTCCCGCATGTACCCTAGACATCTTACAACCCTTGCCCTCATAGGCGCTATCGTCGTCGGCAGTGTTTGGCTGCTTCTCCACTCGTTCAACTCCAGAAGCGACCGCTCCTTCGACCTCACACGCTACCGGTACCCATCCTTCCGCAACGGTCAATACGATGGTGGCTCGCAGGAGTGGTCTGATGGCGCAAAGCGCCGGAAGAATATAGTCATTGCGTCCTCATTCCCCTTCCACTTCGACGTCTACATGGCCGCAGCAAAAACCATCGGCGACGTACTTGACTCCAACCCAGTGGATGCGCCGGGCACCATCCACATATATGCACCGGACTTCCTCTACGGCTTCCAGGATATCGTCGATGAGCTGGATCTATGGAAGCATCGGGGGATTCGTGGACAGCCCGCCGATCTCGCCCACCTCCTGAACTCTGAAACAGGAGAGGCGGGCGTCGAGCTGATCGTATTTGGGACATGTGAAACCGAGTAAGCGTTGGTCTTGCAACGTCTCCACGGCCGATGCGAAGCTCATCGCGCATAGCTTGGGCTTTTGGCACAACGACCTTGTCGACGCATGGGACCGGCGCGATGCCGACCACAAGTTCAAAATTGTCTGCATAGTACATAACATTCTGGACACAAATTGGCAGCGTCACATAACGCACTGGGCGCGCAGGGATGCTATACGGCTCCTCCCAATCGCAAACCAGTAAGGCAGAGCACGATGAGCCAGATCGAACATACCTGTCTGACACTTCCTACGCCCAGCGTCAAGGATAGCTTCCGAGAGAGCTTTGACTCCACAGCCGACAGCTCTGACCTCGAGCTGCACACAGCAGGATATCAGTATATACCGATCGACGTCCATGTACCGATATTGGATATTCCTGACCTCCCTATCAAACCTGTCCATCGAGACCTCGTTACCGCCGTCATCCAAGGCACGCTTGTCGGTGAGCGTCGGGACTACCATCGCTTTTTCAACGACCTGATAGCGTCGTTGTACGGTATGTCAAACATGCGAGACGTTGGCAGCAATACGCTGATATCTGCATCAATCCTCGCAGAGGATGCGGCAGCTTGGGGATACCGTCCACTTAACAGCGGAGCCTCTGTTGAGCCGGACAACGAGTCGAACATCGCGCCCTTCCGACTGCTACTGGTCGGCTCTGGGGGAATCGAGATACCGGCTGAATTGGCCTTGATCGTCAGCGTACACCACGACCTTTCCTACAAGGACTTCTACAATCTTGTCGCAATGGCGGACATGGTCGTCCCGGCATTTGCCCAGTTCGGCTGTGAGTGCGCGCTACAGCTTCTTTCGGGATGCCGTCATGTTACGGAACGACTGACATATGCACTTACGTCTGATAACGTCGGGCGCGGTCCATTACTGACACCGAACGCTGCGATCTTGCAGATTTCAGGGACCAGGCGAGCTCGACGGTCGCGCTCGCAACGGAGCTCAACGTCCCCCTGCTCGCAACGGACCGTCTTCGCCGGACGTATGGGTACATCGACGACGCGCGCGCGGTCGTCACGCGTCCGGCGGCCATGTCGGAAGTGCAGGCGCTCAAGGCCCTCAGGACAGGCAACGCATCGTCGTTCCTCGAATCCGATCCGGCGCACACCGGGGTGGCGATGGGTGAGGTGAAGGGCGTTCGGGACGCCGTCGAGCGGATGCTGGAGGAGGGTTGGGTAAGGGATCGCAAGGGGTGGATGGACTGGAGGGAAAGCGTGTGGGAGAGAAATCTAGAGGTCATGGACAGAGTATTGAAGGACATGCCGTAGGAGTTTCGCTTGTAGAAGTACCTCACTAATAGAGGGCTCCTGCGAGGTGGCTTTTTCAATCTCGTTTCCCATTCGTTCTGGTGCATGGAGACGGTACCGCTGCTCTATTGCACATGGTGCAGTGGCATGTTGGACCGGGGTCGTTGATCGAATGAGGGCTGCCTGCGGAAGCACAAACACTACGAAGAACGAGACACAGATTCTGGGACATGGTACAGATCAGGCGACGTTTGACAGGAAAGTTGGTTCAGCGGAGCATCCAAGCCCCTTACAAACAAACCTCCAGATCGAGGCCAACAGCGAAGAGATCGCTGTGTAATGCACTTATGCTTCCTCGCTCCGATGGAAAACGGCCGCTTGTGCGGAACATTGTGTTGGCGGCGTTCAATGCACGTTACAGCACACGTCGCCAGGTGCTAGGACATTTCGAGACAAGCCCAAGGGTGACTCTATCGCTGACACCCGTCAGAAGCAGCGACATGTGAGAACGCGGAGCTTTTGCGTGCCTATCGGACTACGGCATTGTGCCTTGGAGCGCTATTTTGGTTTTATACATTCCGACGCTAGGACACGTCTCTTGGCTCGGCGCTGCATTCCGAAGCATCTTGTACAAGGAGAGTCCAGAAACGTACCAGAGGCAGCGCTCCACGCGAAACACGTCAGACGTGCGGACGCCAGACATTATAAGTCGACATTATACGTCCGACAGCCTATTCTAAGGTCGGGGTTGACTCACCTGGACCGGAAATGATAGCATTTTTCTCACCTGCGACATAGGCTCACATAGGGGCGTCAGACTCGTCAGAGGCTGGGGTGCATCCATCAAGCGCGTTTCCGCCCTTCATCAATTGATTGAACTCAGCGTCGATATAATAGGAGTGGTTAACACACTGATGCACGTCATTAGAGCTGACATAACACAGAAGTCGATAAACAGAGAATGGATGGTCGTGGCAGGAGTACAGTAACGATACTCAGCTCGCACACTTGGATCGGGGTTTGACTGGCGCCCATGCATTGATCGGGTCTTTTCATCGGAGATCTCAGATAACAGGGCGCGTGCAGCTCCCCTAGCAACGCGTGGGTCCTGACCCTTCTGTCCTCCTGGTGGCCTACTCTCCGGGAAACACTGAGTGTTTGGTGAGTGCGAGCTGAGGCTCGTATAATATTTTACCCTCTTTACCTCCTCACATTGAAGACTGGCATATTTCCTAGCGGACAAGGTGAGCAATGAAATGCGAAATGCAAATGGCATCGGGAACGATCATTGACACCAGTCGACTGGCACCGCTTGTGTATGATGTCAGTGACTTCGGTTCCTGTGCTTGATGAGTCAACCTTGTCGAAATCTTGCACTTTGACGGCGTGCTGACGCTTTTCAGGTCGACCGACGATACTGCTGGGGACCGGTTTGGTTCACTAAGACCCTGCCGTATTATGCGGCACCTCTCGTAATCCCAAACATTCTCATGGTTTGACGTGCACCGATCCAAATGATCTGGCGTTCTCACTCGGAACCCCTAGCATCCGACTGATCCTTGTTTACTAGCGACCGCTCAGAAACTCCACTCCAATCATATGTGTACTAATCTCCGAAGTCGTTACCACGTATCCCGGTATCCGTCTTGCTCATCTCTTCTTTACTTCAAGAAGAAGCGCCATAAACATCCAGTCGCAGGTCTAATCAACGCATTTGTTGCAGACAATCGCTTTTTGTGAGGCCGGAGATTGCGTATGTTCGTTCGTGACCCTTATCATCTCGATATGGTAAAGGCTTTGGACATGTATCTATAATCTCGCCTGGCTGTTGGGCGCCACGTTAACTGTTTAGCCGGGATCTGTGATGTTTTGGAGTCGCCGCGCAGTGTCTACTTGCATCGGAAATTATTTATGTTGCGTCTCTCGCTCTGTTGTACGTCTTTGACCCTTTGGGCCAGTACTATCGCCCGTCCGTTCGTTCGTCTTCCTTGGTCATATGGCCACTCGTCGACTCTCTACATACACACTTGCGGGAGTGCTTGCGCTCGGCGGTGTCTGGTTGCTTTCACACTCCTTCGCTGTCGGCGGCCGGGACTATTCGGAGCTCGCCCACCCTAATCTGCCACATGCTAATCTACCTCAAGCCGAACTCTCAAAAGCTACGACCTCTTCAGGACCATCTGAGGCTTCTGTCACCCCCGCAGCGCCTTCAATACCAATACGAAGGAAGAACGTAACATTCGCGTCTTCCTTTGTCTACCATGGCGACGTGTATATGGCGTTGGCAAAGTCTATGGGGGATGTGATGGACCAGGAAGGCGCGCACGGTCAGATCCACGTCTTCGCTCAACCGTTCCCATTCGGCTTCCAGGAAGTCGTAGAAGACTTGCAGCTTTGGAAGCACCAGGGGGTACGTGCCAATCACGAGAGCTTCATCGACTTCCTGAACTCCGAGACGGGTGACGGCGGCGTGGACCTCATCATCTTTGGAACTTGTCAATACGAGTGCGTCCCTTCATTCGGGCGTTTGCTGTCTATGTAGCTCAGCTGGCATGAAGCTTGCCGTATTGGCATGACGCGTTGCAGGACGCGTGGGAGAGGCGCGATGCCGGTCACAAATTCAACATCGTGTGTTACGTGCATAATGCGAAGGACATGGACTGGCGGCGCTGGGTACCATACTGGTCGCGGAGACACGCCATTCGTTTCATTGCTATCGGTAACCAGTGCGTATTCGCCTGCCTTACACATATGTTCGGTTATGGGCTGACTGGGGCCCCGCGCGGCAGTGTCGCTGAAGCCTTCGTCGATATGTTCGCGGAGGCGGCCGACAGCCATGACCCTCTTCTATATACGGCAGACTTCGAGCACATACCCGTCGACGTGCATATACCTGTCCTGCGCATACCCAGCTTGCCAGTCAAGGAGTCTCCGCGGAACCTCATCAAGGCAGTCATCCAGGGCAAATTCGAAATGGAACGCCGCGATTATGCCCGCATCTTCCAAGAACTGATTAGCTCACTTCACGGTATGCCCCTAACTCGTTCCACGTAGTTGGTGACCAATCTTGCTGAGCGCACGGGGTGCAGAGGATCCAGCAGCGTGGGGCTACCTCCCCTTGGAAGGTCGCACTGCGTTCGAGCCTAGACACGACTCCCCAGTACCCCCTTTCCAGCTCCTTCTCGTGGGATCACAGTACCTCGGCGTCCCTACCGAACTCGAGCACATCGTCCTGATCCACCGAGACTTACCATACAAGGCATTTTACGACCTCATCGCAGACTCGGACATTGTTTTACCAGCTTTCGCAGACAATAGCTGTAAGTGTAGCGGTTTGACCTTCTATCCATCTTCTTCTGGCAGAAAGGCAGTGCTGAGATATGGATGGTCCGTCTATGATAGATTATGAGTTCCGCGCTAGCTCTACCGTCGCAATCGCGACTGAGCTCAACATTCCTATGCTCGTTACGAACCGTACACGGCGGACGTACGGATTCATTGACGACGACCGCGTCGTCGTTACGCGCCCTGCTGCGATGTCGGAAGTTCAGGCTTTAAAGGCATTGCGCACAGGAGACGCTTCCGCGTTCCTTGCATCAGACCCGGCGGATATCGGATTGTCGATGGGTGAGATGCCTGCGGTACGCGAGGGCGTCGAGAAGATGATGAGGGGAGGGTGGGTGAAGAGCAACAGCGATTGGGAACAGTGGAGAGCGAGTTTGTGGGAGAAGAACAACGAGGTCGCAGGCCGGATTCTGCGCGATATATCTTGATCCTCTGCTATCTGTGATTGGGCTCTGCATTGGCTTGGATATAGCTTGTACATTGTGTGAGTGCCGGTGTTGCATTACTATTGCTTACATTTCTCCTAGACTCTAGACGGGCCACTGTAACGTCCCGATTATACCTACTCATTCGCATAAATTGTACGTTATGTTGCCTACGCCACAGATGCCAAGCCGTCCTTGAGGTATGCACGTCAAATAGAGGTGCAAGGCTCTGATATACGCTTGTTCGACATGTGTCCGGCTTCGAAGAGGAGCGAAGGCGAATCAAGTACGTACAACATGTCCAATCTGCGATGTAGCCTTTGTACGCTGTGCATCAGATGGTGCCTGTTTGACTGATACAGAACGTGCGCTGCAGGATGAGTAGCTCCAGTGCCTCAACTACTATCTTGCTGGTCAGTGGAAGATTGGCTGCGGCATGGGATTTCCGGACGTTTAAACGAGGCACCGGCGCCAGATCGGCTTACGTCCCTTGTACTCTTCGGAACCTATTGGCGGTACTTCGCGCCTCGCTGGCGAGTCGACCTTGCGGCCGTCCATCCGACTCTCGCTATGTTTCTGCAGCATATAGGGCCGCAGGGTGATTTCCGCTTCGTGTAGGAATTCCTACCGGGCAATGGTGATATCCGGACGCTCGGTCATCTCGTTCTGGTGCAGTTCTCGCACTGGCTGGCCCGCTCCTAGGTTCGTCGATGGTCAATCTGACGTCCCGTATGACCGGCTTGGCTCTCCTTCGACTTCCGCTGGCCGGGGGAACGTACATGTACTCACATGGTGCCGTAATGGTATGTGCTTTACTCCAACCGTCTCCAAGTCCGCCTCCCTTGCCAGCCTGCGATTCTCTCTTCCCGTCAGAAGCTCCGTGCAGCTCCCAGATTAGCTCACGCGGTGCCTCCTGTCCGAGTGTCCACTCTACCGCTCCCAGGCCTCTAGCCAGGTTCTCAGGCTCGGATGTTCTTGCCCCTGCTGCCATGCCAGTGCGACGGTAGCATGATGCGACGGCCGAATGTTCCGACTGCGCAAACTGTGGGGCTCTATCGCTCTCAGTGACATGGGTTGTCCGTGACCTAGCTTCATGCAAACCGCAATGCCCCCGGGTGATCACGCTCCAGCTTTCAGAGCTCAGCTGCGTGTTGATGCGTTATGTTCATGGAAGGCTGAGAACGTGCTCATGGCAATCCTGTACCCATTTCGTCTCTTATCGGAGATTGTGTATGCCCGTTTCCCCGGCTCCCGGCAGCCAGGTATCTGGAATTTCGGAAGAGGTTATTCCATTGGGATGAAGAAAGAAGTCGCGGTAGGATTGTCAGTTCCATCACGATTTCCCCCGGGTGCCGAGAGTATATCTTCGGATCCCCTACAGTCAAGGATGCGAAAACGATTTACCTTTGCGACTGCCAGTCCGGATTGTGGCACCTCCCATTTGCTACTCACCGCCGTCTCAGGGTCCTCTGCCGCAGCTGTCGGACATGGCAAACATGGCGGATGTTTGCAATATACTGGGCAGGCTTCGCTGGTTCAATCTCGCGATCCTCACCATCACGCCTGCTGTCGGACTGTACGGTATCTATACGACACGGCTGAGGTGGGAGACCCTCTTGTGGTCTACGGCTTGTTATGTGCTTTCCATGCTTGGTATGTGCTTGATCCCTGTCCGCCTCCAGATGCCAAGGCTAACGATGTACAGGTATCACTGCAGGTGAGAATACCGTCGATTTCTTCTATGGTACAGCTGAAAACGCATGCCGCCTTAGGCTACCATCGTTTATGGTCTCATCGGTCTTACAATGCTTCGCGACCGCTGCAATACCTCCTTTGCCTGCTGGGGGCCAGTGCCGTTCAAGGCTCCATTTATTGGTGGGCGCGAGGACATCGATCGCACCACCGTTATACCGACACACCGCTTGACCCGTATAATGCGAAGCGTGGTCTCTTTTACACTCACGTCGGTTGGATGTTAATCAAGCCCAGCGTGAAGCCCGGACCTTCAGACATCAGCGATCTCAAGAATAACGAGGTCGTGCAGTGGCAACATCGGTGGTATTTCGCTATCATACCGATTGTTGGCTACGCGCTCCCCACAATAGTAGCTGGTCTCGGATGGGGTGATTGGTGGGGAGGATGGTACTACGCCAGCATGTGGCGGATCACGTTCGCGCATCATGTAAGTATGCGAACGTTCGTCCCTCACAAGAAGTCCCGAGATAGCTGAAATTGAGACTCACGTTGTTCTATTCCGTCTCCATGCAGTCTACGTTTTGCATCAACTCTATTGCGCATTATCTCGGGGAGAGCCCGTTCGATGACAAAAAGACGGCACGGGATCACTTCCTCTCAGGCAAGTCGGCAGGCACTTCGCCACCTTTGGTCTGTGCTGATCAATATGCTTCATTCTCCGCCCATATCGTTTCTCCCCTGCCACGTTCGTTGTCAATGAACCGTGCAGCGCTCCTCACGATGGGCGAAGGATACCATAACTTTCATCACCAATTTCCGATGGACTATCGGAACGCTATCAGGTGGTACCAGTTCGACCCGACGAAGTGGTTCATCGCGACGTGCGGTGCGCTTGGCCTTGCGTCGAACTTGCGGGTCTTCCCCGAAAACGAGATTAGCAAGGGAGAGCTCGCGATGCAGCTCAAGAAGCTCAAGAAGGTCCAAGAAGAAATCCGATGGCCAATCCAGGTGGACGACCTGCCGATCGTAAGCTGGGAGAAGTGTGAGTTCCTTCGCACTCAATCGACGTCTTATAAAGGGGAACAACTGATGCGTTGTACCTGTGCGGCGTGGGACGGGAAGTCAAAAAGGAGTCGGAAGAGCGCGTGCTCGTGATTGTATCAGGGTTCATCCATGACGTGAGCGAGTTCTTGGATGAGCACCCGGGCGGACGGGGGCTGCTTCTGGGACAGCGAGGGAAGGATGCGACTGCTGCCTTCTTTGGCGGCGTCTACGAGCATGGGAATGCGGCTCATAACGTACGCACAGCTGATCTTGCTTCAGACGACAAGAGCTGACCAGGTCGCCGATAGCTCCTCTCAATGATGCGCGTCGGTGTTCTTTTAGGTGGGGTGGAACATGTGAAAGCGATCGCACCCGGCGAAAGGTTGCGGATTGTCGAGCGACTTGACCAGTGACTGTATGATACTTGAGGATTGTTTTCCGCCGCGTTTGTTTCGATGATTAATCTCCAGGACCCTCGCTCGCCGCGATCTCCATGGAGGACTTTTTCCTCGATACCAGTTGTAGTGTTACGTCATCATCATTCACGAAGTCAATGTCAATGTACAGTCGCTCTCTGCGCAGATACGCCTCCTTCCGATTGCCAAGTTCCGGCGGCAGCGTCTGTTGACGAGTAGTAAAGTCGGCTAGCGACCTCACCTACGACCCAATCGAGCCCTTCGACAAGGTTCTGCCCTGTCATCGCGCTACATGGCAGGATGCGCCACTGGTGCGACTGGATGGAAAGGAGATCGAGTGCCTACGATCGATGAGCGACCAAGGAACGTACTACGTGCGGATAACTAGGACGTACATCTCGAATCTCGGCGCTGGACATGGACCCTTGAATGTCCTGCTTATTGGCGAAGACGAGAAGCGACGCGCCGGCCAGACGCTAATGAGTCACGGTAAGCGGTGATCACGAAGGTTAGAGAGAGCAGTATACGTCTTCCAGGAGAAGACTGTGAAGCTCCTCCTTGCAGTCTTGCATCCTCATGCGGTCGCCGGAGTCGACAACCCAAACCAATGCATCCGTCTGCTCGAAGTAGTTCCGCCAGTAAGGTCGGAGTGTTCTCTGGCCGCCCACATCCCCTGTAACAGAGTAGCTGCAGTCAGGATGTAATATCTTTGACATGGGTGAGGAGGGCGCACATATATTCAAGGTATATCTGTAGCTATCGTCAGCGTCGTAGTAGTGCGGATTGCGTTCTCCGCTTACTTGCCGTGCACGAAGGTCTTGATGTTGAATCCGAGAGTGGGACTGACCCCCATGATATCCTCTCCGTTGAGCTTCTTCAGGATAGTTGTTTTCCCGGCGTTATCCAAGCCACTGAGCGAAATCATGATTGTCAGCCCTTTACTAGTCCGGGAGATTGAGCGATGCATACAGAAACAGTATCCGCATTTCCTTCTCCTTTTGCCGGTTCTTGCGTATGATAGTTAGCAAGCCCATGTCGACTGATAGTAAGGACCTCTGAGCAGTAGCCTCGGAAGCCGTGGCCCGTAAGTATCAAGAACAGGTCGATCTAGATCGCGGCCGCCGGCGGCTACCACGAAATCCCTCATCATATTGGGCGCTACGTCGTCTGTGCCTCATATTCTATACATAGAGTATTTCTAGGACCTCATAAAAGAACGATACCAATGGATATTTACGTGATTTCTGTCTTTCGACGTAGAGAAACACGACGTCATCTAAGGGTACTGCGTAGTTCGACTCTCATGCACAAGCAGCCGCCTATATCTAGTACTCCAGTTCTTCTGAGCCTTCGACGGTGTAACCACGCGAACGCAAGGACTCCTTAGAGAACTTGTACGTCGTATAACCCTCTGGACTCCCCTTCGTGTGGTGCTTAGTGTGATCGATCTCGTTGAGCGCGATATTCTCCCTAAAGCGGAACGGCAAGTCCGGCTGGGTCGTGACATTGTCAGTGAATTTAAGCACCTGAACAGGAAGACGTGTATCGCTTACGTTCGCGGAAAACGCGCGGCTGTAGCCAATAAGCTGGCCTGTCTCTTCTGCAACCCTGAGGCCGGACTCGCGATCATAGCCGCCGGTTGTAATAACGGGGCGGGGAGCCCACAACCTATTGATGAAGTTCTCTTGCTGGGGAAGAAGTCAGCACATGCGGTTCAATGGCTAGTTATCTCGGTCACGACTTACCGTAGCATCCTGAGGTGCGATGTTCAGGGGAGCGCTGCCTGTGACGACATGGAGGTACGCGAGGTCGGGATACTTTTGCTTGAGCTGGTCGACGAAATACGTGTAAGTCGGAACAGGGTCATCCATGCGCATGTCTGCCGATGTGAGCCTCGTCAATGATTGGCCTTTCCGGAGCAGCAGCAGGCCACGGACCTCCAGCACGACCTGCATCCCACGGGCTCAGCCTAATCGCGGTCTTCTTCTGACCAATCTTCGTGACGACAGCATCGACAACCTCGAGGGCAAATCTGGCTCGGTTTTCAACCGAGCCGCCATATTCGTCCGTCCGCAAGTTGCTCTTGTCATTGAGGAACTGATTGATGAGATAGCCGTTGGCAGCATGGACCTCGACTCCGTCGAAGCCAGAACCATAGACAGCGTTTGAAGCAGCCGTTGCGTACCATCCGACGTAGTCTTTGATTTCTATACACAAGGTCGCGTCAGCGAGGATGCTAGAAGGTTCTAGGGGACCATTTCCTAGTATCTACCTTCTTTGGTCAGCTCTCTGGGTATCTGGTCGGGGGACTCTGGAAGGGGGACTGGTGAAGGTGCGACGTAGGGAATGTCATCGCGGCGGCTGAACAAGCCGTTTCGAGCCATGCGTCCGGTTGCAGAGATCTGGAGGGATATGTATGACTCCCGAGCGTGGACAACGTCAGTGACCTGTATCGTAGTCAATGTCAGTACATGAGAGCTATAGGGTTAGATACTACGAACTTTGCGCCACGCGGTGACTTGTTCACCGCTGTAGATGCCTGGAGTATATTCTACGAGGGTTTGTGCGGAGATATACGTTGACTCTGTAATAAGGAGGGTACCCGGAACGCTTGCACGTTGTTTGTAGTACTTGAGGAGTAGGTCGCCGGGGACCTGGTCCTTGTTGCAGCGGAAGCGTGTCTGCGGTGCAAGTACAACACGGTGGCGCAACTTCATGTCGCCGATTTCAATAGGCTGGAAGAGAGATGCGGAGGTAGAAGACATATTGGACGGAGGCGTAAGATTCGAATGTCCTGTCGGTGGCGATTGTTGGGTTGCGGTGGCTCTGGTCAGTTTTGTCGGATTCCAGGCCATTACTTATACTGACGAGACGATTGCGCTGCGAACAAGGCTTTCGCTGTCCTCAACCTGCGACCGCAACAAGCTAGCCATTTGACATAGGCTACATGCTCATGCGAAAGTCAGCAGCCGGAAAGGTTGACAATCAAGAACGCGAGAGAAGCCATAGGTCGACGTGAGGCGTGCCTGATCATTGGTGAGATTGGTACGGGTACGGCTGCATCTATCCAAGTTGGGATACACAGTGAGTAATCCTTCTCCTGGGCGGCCGATGCACAGTTGCGCACGAACGGTATTCTGTACTTAGCACATAACATCCCGCAGCCAACAGCTACTGCATTACAGAGCATCGGCTCTGCGGCTGCGCTTGCAGTGATCGACCGCGGTAGACATCAGCCGCCCAGCATTTTAGCGGTGGATGCTGTATAAGCACTGCACCCGGGAAGGTAGTGACCTGACCAAGGAAAGTGGGAATGAGTTGGTGGCTGATGAAAATGTGGTGGTCGCTCGCCAACACGGAATTGCTAAATCGGTTCACCATGTTGCGAGCGGTCACTTGCAGATGCACACCCAAGGTTTCATGAGCCTGCCCTATCATACCGGCGCTACGCCATTGTCGCGGCAACTGATGCTGAAGGCGCTACGGAGCAGGTGCTGCCATGTCCTCATGCTTTCTCTGGTCTACATATCGTCGTCCGTACGATCTTCCAACAATGCAGACATTGCTTTCTTGCTTGTCAGTCTGCCCACTGCTTCGGCCACAGGACATTAAACTGGGACTCGGTCTGCCCTCCAAGCTCAGCTCGATAGACTCCTGGGAACACGGTGAGTCCCAATATTGTGCATTTGGCTGGGCCGGGACAGCCGACGATGGACTCGTCCTTTCCTGGCACTTACACCTGGTGAGTCGCGTATTATTCCATCAGCTTGAGTCCTTGAGGTCTTCTTCTCCATGATTACTGCCAAGTGAGAATGCATCTTTGCGACAAGTACTTGCTACTGTCTGGTTCCGCCACCTCGCTCCACTGTGCTACCATCGGTATCAGTAGGGGCGGCTAGTATTAGCTATGCGTACTGTCTCGTTTTGCACGAGAGGTTGCGCATTCTGTCGTAGACGCATGTCTCGACGTCCCGACGCTCGGTGTCTTCTGTGTGCTAGTGTATCTATGTGACCCCTATGTATATTGTGTCATGTAGCGTAACTCGAGCGACCGACAATATATTTGGTTTGTTAAGTATCACAATCCGCAGGAGCCTTACCATAGCAGCGGCTCCTAGATGATAACCAAGTATGGCCGGGAGACATCACCACTTTCCTTTTGTAGCTATGCGGTGAATCTCGAGAAAATCCGGTTGGCTCTGGACGTGACTTTGACTTGACTTCAGTGTAGAGGGCGAAACTCACTGGTGCTAGATGTCAAAAAGTGGTAACTATGTCTATTCTACGGGGTTGCATTCCACCGTTTGAGGGTAGTGATTCATATCTCACTTTTCACACACGCAGTCACACAAGCAGTGTGCATAGCTTACCTGCAGCGTATTAGATCGGATGCTCAGCTCGAATGTACTGCCGTCACAGTAAGAAAAGAATTTGTTGTTGTCGTTGCCGTTGCCGGACGAGCCGTTCACCATGCCCAGACTGATGTATTACCCCGAGAACTGCCACAATACCAAGGTCCATGGTGCCGAAGGTCGTAGGAGAGCTATGCATGGGCTGTACTTAATCCTCGGGTTCTAAAAGTGTCTGTGCGGTGGAGTCAAGCGATCTCAGCGCCGAAGATCCCTCGTGCGGCGGCTCCGGGCCTCCGCGGCACGCTGGTCAGTCAGTCGGCCCCGCTCTCTTCTCTTCCCTCACCTCCCTCTCCAGGGCATCTACGACTGTTCTTGCGCGCAATCCTCAGCAAAAGTAACCTGGAAGCTACCTGATATCTAAATGGCTCCAAAGAACAAGGGAAAGAAGGGAAAGAAGCCGGACGACGATGAGTTCTGGTGCGTAGCTGTCCATCGAGTCTTAATCAACTCTGGCTCACATCTGCTCTCATATCAAGGGAGAAGGCCGGCACCTCTATTGCGGGGAACAACATTGAGGCCCCTGCAGATGCAGGCGAGGCATCAGATGACGATTTCAAGCCCAAGGGAAAGGGCAAGGCTAGCGGATTCTCCGCCTTTGCAGCCCTCGGATTGGAGGAGCCCCCAGTGGACGAGGATGGGGAGGAAGATTTCGGTGGATTGATGGTACGTTGCACTACTCGTTCATGCGCCGGATCACCTATTCAGACTTCGATTTACTTGAATAGTCGGTGCTCAAGGCGTCGAATAAGAAGGGCAAGAAGGACAAGAAGAAGGACAAAAAGGGTGCGAGCGACGTCAAGTTTGAGGATGGGCCCGCACCCGGGGACGGTTCGGACGGCGAAGCCGCGGCGGCCAAGGGTGACATCAGTGCACCAAAGGCACCTGTGCAGATGACTGCTGAGGAGCTCGCAGATGAGGAGTGGGGTCCTGTAAAGAAGGACAAGAAGGGAAAGAAGGGTAAGAAGAAGGGGAAATCGACACAGGAAGACGAGGCAGATGAAGAAAAGCCTGGTACGTTATAGTCTTACGGCTGTTCATTGGGCGTGCGGTGGGGCTCATTGGCAACAATATGAAGCCGAGGCACCGGCCGCACTCGCGCCTGCGGAGGCCTCCCCATCGCCTGCACCTCCCGCGGAGAAGGATGAGGACGAGGAAAACGCAGGTGATGGCGCGCCAAAAATCTTGTCGAAAAAGGAGAAGGAGAAGTTGAAGAAGGAGCGAGAAAAGGTGCGCACACGTTATCATCACACAGGCTCAGCAGCTAGCTCACAGATTGAGTCGACAGGCGAAGAAGAAGGCTCAGGCAGCAGCGAAGAAGGCAACGGAGGGTGGCGAAGAGGCAGCACCCGCGGCACCTTCAGAACCTGCCCCCGCTTCTGCAGCTGCGGCGGCTGAGGCCGAGGACGAGGAAGACGAGGGAGGTGCCGAAGGCGGTGCTGGTGGAGGCGATAAGAAGAAGAAAAAGAAGAAGAAAGCCAAGAAGGACGAGGAACCCGCGCCCGCGCCTGCGGCGGCGGCGGGGAAGAAAAAGGGAGCCGCGGGTATCAGCGCGTTGAAGGCGCTGATGGAAGAGAAGAAGCGTTTGGAGGAGGAAGCGCGACGGAGAGAAGAGGAGGAGAGGAGGCGGATCGAGGAGGAGGAAAGGAGAGCAGCGGAGGAGGAGAAGCGGAGGGAGGAAGAGAAGCAGAGGAAGAAGGAGAAAGAGAAGGTACGTTCCACTCGTTCACCTCAACTCACTGTCGGCCGGATCCTCATGCACGATTTGTAGGCCAAGCGCGAGATCGCGAAAAAGGAGGGCCGTCTTCTTACTAAGAAGCAGAAGGAGGAGCAGCGTGCGGCTGAATTGCGCAAGCAGGCCCTGCTCGCGTCGGGCGTTCAGATCGAAGGCTTACAGCAGGGCGGCGGGTCCGTAGACAAGCCCAAGCGCGTGGTCTACGACAATCGCAAGAAAAAGAAGGGCCCGGCGAGCGCAGCTGGCAGTAGTGTACCCGGTACCCGCGATACTTCGCCTGTGCGCGAAGAGAAGCCGGCTACTCCCGAGCCCGTGCCTGCTCCTGCGACTCCCGCGACTCCCGAGCCTTCAGCGGAGGAGCCGCAGAAGGATGAGGATGTCAAGGATGACTGGGAGGCAAGTAGCGATGACGAGCAGAAGAAGGCAGACAGCGTGAAGGACTCTTGGGATGCGAGCAGCGACGAGGAGGAAGAGGCACCCAAAGCCAAGCCTGCCTCTACACCTGCGTCCAAGGCCGCTGCAACAAACGGCTCCGCGACTCCCACAAAAGACAAGGCCGCCGCTCTTGCCAAAGAGGAGAAGGCGCAGAAACCGAAGGTTCCCGTACCACCGACCAAGGCAGCTGGCGCTCCAAAGCCTGCCAACGGCGCCGCGTCAGCGAAGGGGGATTCTGATTCCGAGGAGTCCTCTGACGAAGACTCGGATGAGGATTCAGACGAGGACTCTGACGAAGACAGCTCGGACGAGAGCTCTGACGAGGGTGGTATGACCACCGCGCAGCGCCAGGCTGCACAACGGAAAGCGGAGGCTGCGGCGAGGAGGCAGAAGGCGCACGAGGAAGCTCTTGCCGCACGGAGCAAGGACAACCTCCGCAGTCCCATTTGCTGTATTCTTGGACATGTCGATACCGGTAAGACGAAGCTTCTAGACAAGGTAAGCCCGTTGTTCTTGCGGAGTAATGTTTCCATAGGCGTTGACGAGACTGCTTCATAGATTCGTCAAACGAACGTCCAAGAAGGCGAAGCTGGAGGTATTACGCAGCAGATTGGTGCGACGTATTTCCCGGTCGATGCCATCAAGACCAAGACGGCCGTCATGAACAGGGATGGTAGCCAGGAGTACAAGATCCCTGGTCTGCTCATCATCGATACTCCCGGACACGAATCGTTCACGAATCTACGGTCTCGTGGTTCCTCGTTGTGTAACATTGCCATTCTTGTCGTTGATATCATGGTGAATATAGTTGCACGCCGTTCGTTGTGAGAAGCGCATGCTGACAAGTCATTCGACAGCACGGCCTCGAGCCCCAGACGTTAGAGTCCCTTCGTCTTTTGAGGGACCGCAAAACGCCGTTCATCGTCGCACTCAACAAGATCGATCGTATCTATGGCTGGCAGCCGATCCCCGACAACGATTTCCGCACCTCGCTTGAAAAGCAGTCGCGCACAGTGCAGCGCCAATTCGAGGATATGTCGAAGAAGATCATCGTCGCATTTGCCGAGCAGGGTCTCAATGCCGTTCTCTACTACGAGAACAAGAACTTTGCTCGTAACGTCTCGATTGTCCCAACCTCTGCCGTGACTGGCGAGGGTGTGCCCGACATGATCATGCTCCTCGTTAATCTGACGCAGCAGCGTATGAGCGATAGACTCATGTACCTGTCCGAGCTCGAGTGCACGGTGCTCGAAGTCAAGGTCATCGAAGGTCTGGGTACGACGATCGACGTCGTCCTGTCGAACGGTATCCTGCACGAGGGCGACAAGATTGTAGTCTGCGGTCTGAACGGTCCCATCGTAACTCAAATTCGTGCTCTGCTCACGCCACAGCCGTTACGAGAGCTTCGCATAAAGGTGGGATCTTGACTTCTATGTGCTATTGAGTTGTCTCTGACCACCATCAACACGTCTCTAGTCTCAATATGTCCATCACAAGGAGGTCAAGGCTGCTCTCGGTGTCAAGATCGTCGCTCCCGACCTAGAGAAGGCTATCGCCGGTTCACGTCTACTCGTCTGCGGCCCCGATGACGATGAAGAGGAGCTCATGGACGAGGTTATGTCCGACCTCACTACCCTGCTCAACTCCATCGACAAGTCTGGGCGCGGTGTCTGCGTGCAGGCGTCTACCCTCGGTTCGCTTGAGGCGCTCTTGGACTTCTTGAAGTCGAGCAAGATTCCTGTGTCAGGCATCAACATCGGGCCGGTGCACAAGAGAGATGTCATGCGTGCGGCGACGATGTTGGAGAAAGCAAAGGAGCTTGCATGCATCCTATGCTTCGACGTTACGGTCGACAGGGACGCGGAGCGGTTAGCCGAGGAAATGGGTATTCGTCTGTTCAAAGGTACGTTAGTCTCGCGAGCTGTCTTCGTGTCGAAATGTTGACGTGGTTCCCAGCCGATATCATCTACCACTTGTTCGACGCGTTCACCGCATACAACAACGAGATTATGGAGGCGAAGAGGAAGGACGCCGCTCCTCAGGCTGTCTGGCCCTGCCGTCTCAAGACCATTGCCGTGTTCGCAAAGCGTGACCCCATCATTCTCGGCGTTGATATTCTTGACGGTACTCTTCGCGTTGGTACACCTATTTGCGTCGTCAAGGTCGACCCTGAGACGCAGAAGAAGGAGATCATTGACCTGGGCAAAATGTATGTGCTGTCCTCTCCCATCTCTAACGTCTGTATCTAATTTCGTTTGTAGCACGTCGCTTGAGATCAATCACAAGTCTTACGACGTGAGTGTCATAGGCATTTCGTCAGGCCGCAGCAAAACTGAACGGGTTTTGTTTACAGATTGTCAAGAAGTCCCAAGCCGGTGGTGGTGTCGCTGTAAAGATCGAGCACGCGGTGTACCAGTCCGCCAAGATGTTTGGGCGCCATTTCGATGAGAAGGATGAGCTGTATTCGCACATTACACGACAGAGTATCGACGTTCTGAAGGTACGTCGCGTTGGTCCTATGAGATACAGCTCAGGAGCTGACTACGCTATGCCTAGTCTTCGTTCAAGACCGACGTAACGAACGAGGAGTGGTTGCTCATCAAGGCACTCAAGCCTGTAAGTGTCCCTGGTCTCCTCCGACTACTGCGATCTCACTTCAACACTCCTCACAGCGTTTGAACATCCAGTAGATGTCGGACGACGTCTAACGGCCTAATGTTGCAAGAATTGTACTCGAGAATCGAGGTCTGTATCGATGGCAATTTGCGTGTGCTAGTGTGGGAAGGAGTTACGTAACGCGCTGTATTTATAAGCAATCGGTCTGGCTCTGTATCTTCTTCGCTTCGTCTCCGGAATCTCGAGCCTGCCTCCCGATCTCAGACTCCCGTTCTGTTCTAAGCACACACCCCGAGGATCTTCTCAGAATGTCAGCACTGAATGGGGCTACCAATTCTCCGCCGTCGAAGACGATCGATGCCGAACGCGACTCAACCGAAGGCATGGACGAAGACGAGCTTAAGCTGGTGATTACCTAGGAGCAGGAGACATAGCTGGGACCAAACTGTGCAGGAATGGGCTATGATAACGAGACTTACCTTCGGTAACGTTCTCTTCTAGTTGTGAACTGGTGTGGCTACGGGTATCCTCTCCTGGAAGTCTGCTGCTCATCGGCCTGCTGGTTGGCCGGGACCGGCTACCGGCGCAAGGGCGGTGGACGAACAGGAAGGGTTGAGATTACACCGTTCGAACCTGATCAGCGCTCAGACCTGCGTAGGGAAGCCCCCAGTGTCGCCTTTTTGCCCCCCCGGGTACTCCGGGGGTCTAAGCAGAATGTACTGATCGTTTCTATTTCGCATGCTCTTCAGCACAAGCTCGGGTACAAGCAGGTATGACCGAGTATGTTTCTACACGAATGTGTTTAACTTGCCTCTACGCTAGTCGTTACACCGTAGCTGGCATTTCATCGAAAGCTTTGCGGCTAGCTTTGTTGCCATGAACTTTATTGGCGGCGTTCGGTGAGTATGATCTAGTATAGTGCAATCACATTTAGCCATTCTGACAGGCGCATGTCAGGTCCGGTTTCTTCCTTGGCTTGCTTGCGGGCGGTCCTGCTGCCGTATGGTACGCCACATTTCCTCTTCTCTAGGAGCGGAGGTTCTTGATCTCCCTAACGCAGGTCTTCGTATATCATCTCGATGATATTCATGTTCATCACTGCGGCGGTCCTTGCGGAGATTTGCTCTGCGCTCCCACTGAGCGGCTCGATCTACATTTGGTCTGCTGAGAGCGCAGGACCGAAGTACGCCAGGTTCTTTGGCTTCATCGTTGCATGGTGGTCGACCACCGCTTGGATGACCTTCGCCGCAGGCAATTGCCAGGTTTGTGAATTTGCTGTTTCCCATTCTACGGAGCGCTTTGCTTACAAAAGTGCAGACTACCGCCAACTACATCGTCTCACAACTGGCGGTGTGGGAGATAGACTTCCCCGGAGGGATTGGCTATGATAACGTCAAATGGCGTGCGCTCATCTGGGCGATCTCCGAGGGTGTTCTGCTCCTTTCCATCGCCATCAATTACCTTCCTCCGAGGTTGTACTCGGCAGTGTTTAAGTTCTCTGTCGCGCTCTACGCCGTCGATTTCTTGCTGTGCGTCATCTGGCTACCCATTGGTGTCTCCAAGACGTACGGATTCCGCTCTGCAAAGGAAGTCTTCACAATGACCTGTGAGTTTCTGTTCACTCAGGTAACGGCATGAATACTGATGCTCTCATAGATAACGGGACTGGAGCACCCGCAGGCTGGAACTGGATTCTTTCGTTGTAAGTGTAGTCTGTGAGAACGACTTGCCCGCGTGTTCTCACTCATTGTAGTTTGTTCACCGCGGGTACAATGATTGGCTTCGATGCCTCTGGACACATCGCTGAGGAGACCAAGAATGCTAGGTACGCATACTAATGCACGGCGTTGTTGTGTGCCGCTGAAACTTTGCGGCTAGTGTTGTGGCAGGACAAGGCATCATCACCTCCGTCGTGGCAACTGGCGTTTTGGGATTCGCAACTACGATCCTATTCCTGTTCTGCACCCCCGACCTCGACACGTTGTTCGCTTTGGAGGCCCCTCAACCCTTCGTGCAAATCTACGCACTCGCCCTTGGCAAGGGTGGCAGTGTCTTCATGACCATCATCGCTACGCTCGGTCTCATCCTGGTATGTTCAACGTACGCACAAAGAATTTTTTCCCGCTGATTCCATGTATACCTAGAGTACTAGTGTGGCGATCGTCGCTGCGTCTCGCCTCATCTTCGCCGTCGCTCGTGACGGTGTGCTCCCTTTGTCGGGATGGATCGGTCAGGTCGACGCGCAGAAGCAGCCCCGCAACGCCGTCACTGTCATGTTTGTTTTCGGCGCCTTCATTTTGTGTACTATACTGCCCAGTCAGGTGGCGTTCACGTCGCTCATCTCTGCTGGTGGTATCCCGACGACTGCTGCCTACGGTTTGATCGCCTTGCTCCGCCTAACAATGACACCAAACGACTTCACCAATTCCCACTTCTACCTCGGTCGCTGGAGGATCCCGTTTTATATCTCGGCGGTTTTGTTCAACGGCCTTGTCTTTGCGGTATGTAGTAGCGGTCATGTGCCAGGCCACGTCATGAACAGTTTGCAGGTCCAAATATCGCCATTCTTCTTCCCGACGGACGCCTCGACGTTCAACTTCGTGAGTCACACCTTTGCATCGATTCTGCAGCTCTATTGATGACCAGATCTAGGCATGCGTAATCCTCGGTTCTGTTACCATCTTCGGTATCCTCAGCTGGTACTTTGTCCCCGAAGAGAAGTGGCTCCGTCGCGACCAAGTCTTGCATCAGCTCAAGGTTGCCGACGAGCCCCTCGAAGGAGAGCAGTCCTACGCATCGACTTCAGTTCCTGAGCTCCCGGAGGATACGGCGCCCAAGTCGAAGCGTGTAGACTAAGGATCGCTGCGAAATGTCTTGGATATACTGGTGATTCGTTTGTCTATGCTCACAAAGCCGTTGCGTTGTACTTCATAGAATCCCCACAGTATCTAGACTCCATCGCTGCTATCTTTGCTGTTGACATTCTATGACCAATTAAAGTGTTATGTCTCGTGCTCCACACTCTTCATTATGCAACGTCAGCTCGCCGTAGTGGGAGCTGCAACTGAGAAGGAAGAGGGGGCTAACAGCATACAAGTAGGGCCTATACTCGATGCGCACTCTATCCGAGACCGGTTTGACACGGTAACCCGGACCGATTTTCCGCCAGCGCTCATGCAAGAGGGCCCATATGCGTTAACCCGATTCTAGGAGTTGATGCACTTAATGTTCGCCCGCTCTCTTCCTCTGCCAACTTGTCCGAGAGCGGCAGCACGGGCAGCCTCGTCCTCGAGAGCTGCCTTGACAGTTTCCCGTCGTGCCCATACCACTGCTCGCTGTAATGCTTCCGCCGTGACAGTCAATGGCCATTCACAACTCAAACCCACTATCTATGGTCAGCCACTTGCTCCCTCCCATGCCCACTTGATCCGCTCGGAGGAGACTACCCCAGGGATACCACAAAAGGATTATGACATACGGAGGCGGAAGCTCATGGAAAACCTCCCGGAGGGTAGCCTGGTGGTGTGCGTCGCTGGGCAGGTAAAATACATGAGCGGTTGTAAGTGACGGCCCCTACCTGCTATGTTTCAGGAAACCTCACACTATTGTTGTGCCCAGTGATATTGTACGTGGAATGTTACCGACGCTATCTGTTGTGCCCACATATTTGTCCTCTGTAGCTACAAGTTCCGCCAGTCGTCTGACTTCTGGTACCTAACGGGCTTCGATGAGCCGGATGCTGCAGTAATCCTCGAGAAGCGTCCTTCCTCTCCTCGCGGGTACTATATGAGGATGTTCTCGGTAGGCACGGACCCCGCGAAGGAGAAGTGGGACGGAGCGCGCACATGCCAAGAAGACGTTGTGCAGTACTTCGGCGCGGACGAGGCGGAGCCTATCTCCGTGTTCCCGTCGGTTCTGAGGAGCCTGGTGGCGAACGCGTCCCATGTGTACTTCGATCTGCCGAGCCAGTCGAAGCGGACGCGCGCCGTATCACCGAAGTCGTTGTTGAAGGTGCGCATACAGTGAGTCCTTCACCACTGCCTGATACCGAACCCCGCGACTTGAGTACTTGTCCTCGTCTGGAGCCATGTCACGTACGGAGTACGACAGCCTGTTTGACTCGCTCAGCAGCAATAAACGCAAGGCATTGGCTCCGGAGGTTGGACGCTTGCGTGCCATCAAGAGCAAGCACGAACAGGAGGTCATGCGACAGGCGGCCGACATTAGTGCGCGTGCGCACAACAAAGTACGCGAATTCATTTCTGTCATGGAACGTCACCTCTAATTTGTTGTCAATAGACTATGCGCTTTACTGAGCCCGGGATGGCGGAACATACCGTGGCAGCACATTTTGAGTACCTGTGTGCTCGCGAAGGCGCACAGCGTCCAGCTTATGTACCTGTTGTAGCTTCTGGGTACGGCCGACTCTCTGCAGCTTCTTCTGACGTCTCTAACGGTCCCCCGCAGCCCTAACGGCCTCATAATCCACTACACATCTAATAATCAACTAATAGCAGATGGCGAGATGGTCCTGATAGATGCCGGCTGTGAATACAAGTACGTACTGCCATTTACTCAAGGTATCCCGGCTGCTCACGTCTATCGTTCAGCGGCTACGCTTCTGATATTAGTATGTCTGCTCTACACTGTATCGATTCTCGTTGAGTTGATCTACGCTGTGTCAGCCCGTACATTCCCGGCGAATGGCTCCTTCACGTCCGAGCAAGCGACACTTTACAACGTCGTACTCACCGTCCAGAAGCGTCTCATCGACCTCTGTACCGAGTCCTCTGCGATGTCTATCGTACAGATCCACAGGGAGTCGTGCAACATGCTCCGGAAGGAGCTCGAGCGAATAGGCTTCCACTTCCCACTTGGAGCAGGAACCCTAGATGCCCTGTACCCCCATCTCGTCGGACACCCGGTTGGGATTGGTGAGCCACGGCTCTTTTGAGTTCGTCCGGGGCGGTAGCTGATGTGCCGCAGACTTGCACGAGTCGAACCATATGGACAGACACGAGCCCATCAAGGAGGGCATGGTCATCACCATCGAACCCGGGGTTTACGTCCCTCCGCTGCCCGAGTTTCCGAAGGCGTTCCACAACGTCGGTATCAGGATTGAGGATGAGGTGCTCGTGAGGAAGGATCACCCGGAGGTGCTGAGTGCTAATGCCCCGAAGGAGGTATGTGGAACATCTCCGCAGACGGAGGATAACCTAACGTGTATCTTCCCGACAGATCGCAGATATCGAGGGGTCGTGCCAAGGGCTATTGGGTCTAACCCCATTCTAGTCGATAATTGTAGTCGACGCACCTCGTCCATGAGGCTAATGCTATCTTGTATGCTCAACTCATTCCCACATGGTCGGTGTCGTTGGACCGAGTACCATATGGCTATGCAGCGGTATGTCTTGCCAGAGCATCGACAGTGACTACCTGAGGCAAGCTGCACACTATGGTAGGTTGGTATGGTATGTGTACAATCACTCTGATGCTTGCTACCTAACGACAAACTTGATATGGGGAGTAGAGATGTAGATGCAGGCACAGGACGTCCTATGAATACTGCTTCTGGATGAACTTGGCGATAGTCTGTAGTTGAATGTTCGAGGTGCCCTCGTAAATCGCACCCTGTGTCTGCGTCAGCCATGGCAATTGCGGGATCTCGCAAAGCAGCACTCACAATCTTTGAGTCACGCCAGTACTTCTCGATTCCGGTCTCTCGCGTGAAGCCGACACCGCCCGCCCATTCGATCGCCGAGCCAGCAACGCGCTGTGCGACCTGGCTCGCCGCATACTTCGCAATCGCCGCCTCCCGCACGAACTCCCTGCCCTCCTCCTTTCTCCGCGCAGCGTTGTAGGTCAGCAGGCGCGCGGCCTCGATCTCGACCGCCGCCTGGGCCTGCTGGAACATCATGCCCTGGAACGTCCCCACGGGCTTGCCGAACTGGCTCCGCTGGAAGGTGTAGGGCACGGCCTTGTCGAACGCGCCCTGGGCGAGCCCGAGCATCTGCGCGGCAATGCCGATGCGGCCCTCGTTGAGGATCTCGATGGCGATCTTGTAGCCCTTGCCCTCGCCCCCGAGCACGTTCTCGGCGGGGACGCGGAGGTCGTCGAAGGCGAGGGAGCAGGTGGAGGAGGCGCGGATGCCGAGCTTCTGCTCCTTCTTGGCGATCTTGATGCCCATGTCCTTGGTGGCGATGAAGCAGGTGATGCCCTTGTAGCCCTTGCTGGGGTCGATGTTGGCGAAGATGAGGAAGAAGTCGGCCTCGTACGAGTTCGTGATCCACATCTTGGTGCCGTTGATGACCCACTCGTTGCCGTCCTTGACCGCGCGCGTCTGCAGCGCGAACGCGTCTGAGCCTGACGCGGGCTCGGACAGGCAGAAGGAGCCGAGCTAATACGGCCGTTGCCGTTAGGTGAGAGGGTTTACGCTGGAGGGGCGGGATAACGGACCATAGACTCAGAGAGCTTGGGGAGCCACTTGTCCTGCTGCTCCTTCGTGCCGTACTTGCGCACGACGGTGTTCACCAGCGTGTTGTGCACGTCGCACATCACCGACACCGATGGGTCCACCCGCGCAAGCTCCTCAATCGCGATGATTGCGGACGTGAACGACGACTCTGCGCCCCCGTGCTCTGCGCTCGTCTCGATACCCATGAGCTGACGCGCGGCACGATTCAGTAGAAATTATGGAGAGACATGGGGGTGGGACATACCCCCTGCTCAAAGAGCGCCTTGATGATCGAGGGGTCCATGTTTTCGTTCTCGTCCATCTCGCGCACCTTCGGGGCCACGACGTCCTCCGCGAATCTCCTCACTGGGGGTGCGCGGTCAGCAGTCGATCCGTGGGGCGCGAGGGGGCTGGGGCGTACCAGACTCGCGGAGCATCTCCTCTTCCTCCGTCAAGGTGTCGAGCGAGGTCGGGCGGACCTCCGATGCGACTGCATGTGAGCGAGAGAAACGCCTACGTGACACGACATTTGGTCAGTCTACGGTTGTCGTTCTCGACCTCCTAAACCGCTTACCGTGCCGCGACCTGGGGCAGCACGCGCTTGCGCAGGACTGAAGTAGCGGGCTTGACAGCACGAGCAGCGGAGCGCAACATGGTGGAGGTGAATAAGTCAAAGTACAGTACAGGCGGAAGAGGGAGAGAGGTGCGCTGGTCCCTGGAGGTCAAGGTCACCGTCGCCGGGAGCGTCCGCCCGGACCTTGTCGCTTACTGCAGGCGCTCGATGCGCGGGGCAGGCGGGGTAATCACATGCGCCCCCGCTTCCCCGCCCATCGTCTTCGGAACTCACGCCGCTCCACTATGCCGCACGTCGGGCGATCGTGGCCCTCATCCCCCATACGCGACGCTGTGTACACTTTCATGAATGACATTCGCAAACCAGCCCAATCGTGGCTACAGAACATGTATGCCTATGCAAGATAGTCCGTGGTCCTTTACAATGTCCGTGAGTGTTCGTGTGCAGTCCGTAAGCATTCCGAATGTCCGTCGTAAACTCTGACGTGTGCAACGTCCGTCATGCTCTGCAATATAAGCATCCGCATGAGCACATATCCAATCCTCTGCAGAACGCCCTCACGGAGACACGTACCGTCTACAGACCGCAAGCGGAAGCAGCGACCTGCTTAGCAGTCGCGTTCACCCGGCCCAGGAACACGCCCTGGTTGTCCGTCAGCGTGTTCAGCGCGCCGAGCGCGACGTTGAACCCCGAGTCCGTGTGGTCGATCGCGAGCACGTTGATGCTCTTCCCGTTGTACGTCAGCTGCCAGCACGACCCGCACTGCGCCGAGTTCCAGCCCGCGACCGCCGCAGCGCCCCCGATGTTCGGGAAGTGCGGCAGCGAGCCGAACGTGCTGAAGCCCTTCGTGATCAGCCCGTTGGGCCCGTCCGAGCACGCGACGGTCGTGAGCTGCCCGTCCGAGTTGTCGTACGTCTCGTCGTACGAGACGGTGACGGTGGCCGCGAGGGTCGTGGAGACGGCGGCGAGGAGCGCGAGGGCGAGCGTCGTGAACTGCATCGTGACTGACTGGTGGGGGGTGGCGAAAGATGTGCTGACGGGTTGAGGATTGCGAGTAGATGCGATGGCGAGAGAGCGTAGGATGCTGCTGCTGCTGCTGGTCAACTCGGCTTGCTCGAGCTTGTATATATACCCACGAGAGAGCAGAACACCATGGTTCGAGAACGCCAGTGCTCCCCCGACTTGAGAAGGCTCGCAGCGTCGGTTGGTCTGGGCGACGCGGAGAATCCACCCGACACGTGGCCGCGTCCCATGCTGTACAAGGACGTCACCGTATTCAAAGCGCAACAGCCGCCCGAGGCGAACGGAGCTCATGAGACCGTCTCGCGGGCACCTACTCACCGTCTGGGCGCAGGGAAGGCTGCATAGCGAACAGGCAGATCATTGATCGAGGTTCTCTTGACGTGGGAGACCGATCAAGCGGGCGGAACGCGGGTGTATGGGCACGGGTGGCTTGAGTGCCGTCCGACCAGACGATTCGTTCGTCTGGCAGAGGTCGCGGCGAGATGTTGAGCTTGTACAGTCGACAGTCGAAACACAGCCCTAACCAAGCTTGATTCCGGGGCTCGCTGCCCGCATGGCGCAGCAGGCCGCTGCAAAAGTGGACATACCATACGAACCGTCAGCTAAATGGCCGGTATAACCCCCTGGGGAAAGAAGCCTGCTACTCCTTAGTCATTACGTGGAATATCAAGAACAGGCCGTCGAGTCCTCACTCTAGAAGGTTCGTCGGGGACACATGTCTGCTCTAGAGGCCCACAAGACTCCCTGAGGTCGGGTACGTTAGACATCAGATGCAGTCATGTCATTGTACACACCTCGGTGCCACGAGGCATCGCCGTCTGCCTAGTTCCACTCGCAACAAGGCCAGAGTACGCCGCGAAACATCCGAAGCCACGCACGCGCCGAGGCTGGGGGCGTTTGGAAGGAGAGCCAGTCAGGATGGTGACCCCCTTCGGCAGTGCGAGTATGCCTTGCGCAGGTGAGAGACTTGAAGCCGTGTCCGACCGGACCGGCGGCTAGACAACACTATCTGACATAACTACCAGGCGGGGGTGGAGTACAGAACGTCTACTGTAGTACATACAATGCAGAGATTGGGATGCGAATATACAGACTAAGTATGTGGGATCTAACCATGCATGAGAGACGGAAATAGGTACAGTAGAACTACGATGTATGATGTGGACTGTCCGATTACCTATGGTATGGTGTTGACAAATAAGAAACGTGTGATGCGCAAGACGTAGTTCCAAGACGCGCCGATTGTTCCACTTCAAAGCAAGGAAACCAGCAAGGAAGCATGATGACTGATCAGGGAGAAGCGGGCAAGAAGGAAGGTCGTGAGAGGTCGTACAAGAAAGACGTCGAGATATGATAAGAACAATAGATCCGCTCCAACGTGGTCGCATACAGATTTGTCCGAATGACTGCAGTGGCAGGGGTGCAGGTGCACCACTCAGAAGTGTGGATGCCAGACCGACTTCGAGTAAGTCAGGAATCGACTGCCCCTCCAGCCAACGCAGCACGCATGACTTCCAACGCCGCGAGGTGGAAGGGCAAGACGGGGTCCGCTCGGAGCTTCCATTTGGCTCGCGAGAGTACGGCAAGCTCATGGAAATTACGCACAATGTCCGACATGTGCTCGGGTGGAAGCTGCCGCGACCTAGACCGTGCGGTATCTCCGGCTATACCCACGCCGTAGGTGGAACGCGACGAGTGTGCGGCATGGAGTAGGAATATGCGCATAGTGGAGACCGATGTGTGATCAGCTGAAGAAGGGGCGCAGATAACCATGGTCCAGGACAGTACGCGGAGAGGATCAGTGGAGGAGCCTGGGTTTGATGAAGGGCTGTCTTCGTCCTCCACGTCGGGGATGAAAGAGCAATCAGACGAACCAGGGATAAGATGCGACGGACTGTTCGTTCGGCGATCTGCCAAATAGGCAGGATACATGTATCCCGTGGACGGTGAGAGGGAGTACGTTGCGCAGGTAGCGTCAGAGAATATGGTATGCATGTGTCGAGAAGACGACTTGGGCACGAGAATCTGAGAGCCACCAGATGGGTTACGCTTCAAGACGTCGAGGGTGTTGACATCAGCCGGTGCAATGAAAGTCCACGGGTTGTCGATATCGACCGAAAGAAGCGTGGCATGAAGGGGCGGTCCTGCAGACGAGGTGGAAGACATGGAGGAGTCCAGATGCGATGTCCACGCTGACGAGGTATGTTTCAGTACGTTGAACAGATGCAAACCAGAACGTAACACTCACCGTTGGCTTCGGTTTGCGATATCAAGCCAAGCTTGGACACAACAATGCGCCATTCAATGTTCGCTCGCCTCGCGAAGTCGGTAACGAACGACCATATCTGGCCCACCACAAACTGCTCCACGTTCTCATCTGGTGTCAGCCACACCTTTAGATCATGCGCCTCTCCCTCCCCATCGATGCATGCAGCGATGATCCAACGCCCGCACGCTGAGACTTGGTAACCCACGTGCAATAGCATATGCCGATGCGTCACATCGAGCGATGATGCAGTTGACTCGAGCGCGAACGATATACGGGGAACGACTGCGGTATTTCGAGCCTTTCCGGCTGCATAAGGGACAAGAGCGAACGCCGGTGCCTCCAAGTAGCTCGTGACGGGCGGTCCACGAATGAAGAGCTCGCGAGACATGGCACGCTTCACAGGCTGGAGAAGGCGATCATAGACGCTGCAGACGAACGCGTCCAAGCCGCCCAGGCTGGATCCTGGGTGAATGTGCGTACCGAAGATCAGCGACTCGGGGACAAGCTGAACGAGTATGTCTCCCTGTGGATGCTGCTTGTAGAAACGTCGCACAGCACTCAAAATCTGACGGAGCGTCGTAGACGAAGAGGAGATGATGTGCGATGGGGTGGCGATGTAGAGGACGAGGTGGCTGTAAGGCGTCGTGATCTCCTGAACGAAGCTGCATATAGTCTTGCGAAGCGTGTTGAACCGTACGGGTGCAAGTCCCGGCTTTATGAATACGTTTGAGCTGCCAGCCGCATGAGAGCCGAAGTTCTTGGCCTATAAAGATGATCAGCAACGCGGCACGACGGACTGCAGAAAGGCGCGAACTAACGGAATATGCGGCTGATACCTTGGCCAGCCAGGTCTCGATCTCGGCCTCACGATCCTCGTCTTTCTTCTCTTCGAAGAGCACGAACGCAACTACGTCCTTGGGTCCAGCACGCGGGGACAGCCCAAGTTTCTCCCAAAACCGCAGTGAGGTAGGAGACACCTGTATGATTGACTCGCCCTTTCCGACCACTAGCAAGGGACTCTCTAACGGCATCAAAGTCACTTCCGAGTGGTTGGCAGCTAGAGACAAGGCCGTCGATATCAATTTCGGCGATCCACCAACAGTGAACACACAAGACTTACCGCTGCCGAACAGTACCTGCAAGTCGATGGCACTGCCTGGCGACTGGTTGCCCACGAGCTGGCTGATGTATTTTGCATCCGCCTGCCATATCTGGGCAGGCGGAACGGGCGGCGTCAGGGAGAGGGACGCATTAGCCCTCCACGCCTCTTGCCACACGGGATTCTCGACGACTTCCTTGACCAGAATCTGTGCCGCGGCTTCCAAGGACTTGGACTTCTCCGACGCGGCGCCAAGGATAGCAGCAGGAGAGACCGGCGTCGGCACGGAGATCGGCGGTGCGTTGCCTGGCACTGCGTTGACCGCCATCCCAGGCGGCCGTAGTGGCGTGCACATAGGCAGGAGGTGGGAATGGTGAAAATGCGTCTTGAGAAGACCGTGGCCGAGTGGAAGGTAGGACGGAGGGGGAGTCGACGGTCGAGGAGCGGACGTCATCTCTTCGTCTTCCACCCAGAGCTCATCTTCGGACTCTTCGGAGTCTGGGCCAGCGGGAGGCGGGGAGCCACTCTGCCAGTCTTCTGGCTCCCGATCGGACTCCCAGAGGGACATCCTTCGGTTCGCGCGAGTACCTTGGCTAAGGCTCTTGCGCTTGACCCCGATGAGCTTGCGGACGACACCTATCCTCGGGTCCGTAGCTGCGCTGTAGTTCATCTTCCATCCTGGCAATAGGGTAGTAGCAGCCGGCAATGGCTCGACGCGATCCTCGGCCGGGGGAGAAGGGAGGGCGAACTTCCCAATCGCGTACTTCCCATCCGCTTCGCGATGACTGGACGCGAATGGAATGGGGTCGAAGATGCGCGGACCAAGCATGTTTGGCCTGTATGTGTCGGAGAGATGGACGGAAGGTGTGGTTGGGGCCGAGTGTGAAGATGGTGTCTTCGTAGGTGACGGCGGAAGAAGCTCAGGAGGAGGCCCTAGGCCGTCCGATAAGCCATGCACTTCGGCTGTAGTCTGAGGGCTGTAAGGCTCTCCAAGATGTGGGACCCATGGAGATGACTGAGCCATGCTGGCCGATGGGGGCCCAGGTCCGGACAAAGGCCCTTCCAAAGTGATCAAAGGAGCGAGGCCCAGGGACGGCATTCCATTCGTCACCGCTGCACCAGCTGCGGACGTGGCTGCAGAGGGTGGCACCAGTGCAGAGGGGACGGGACGCTGAGTTGATGGGGCGTCGAAAAAATCGAAGTCATCCTCAGTGAAAACACCGAAGCCATCATCCATGTCATAATTATCCGCGTCGACGCCGGTCGCGCGACCACCTCCGAGGCTACCGAGGGACATATTAAAGTCCATGTCGGGATACACAGGGTCCATGTATCCGTTCGATTGATTCCACGAGCTGTCGAAGCCATTGAACGGGTCGAAACCCATCGACGGTTGTTCTGCGTCTGTTTCTGTCTTCAATAGAGGTGCGGGAGCGTCTTCCTCCTTAGGCATGTCGCTGTCCACTGGAGCAAGTTGTTCGGCTGCTGGTTGTGGCTCCTCGTCGGTCGACGGGAGGTCAATGGGGGCATCAGGAGGGGAGAAAAGGGAGTCTCCGGAATGGTCGGACTCGACAGTAGGATAGGATTCCGGATCGGTAGATTCGACGTCCATAGGGAGAGAAGCAGGCTCAGCAACGGGAGCCGCCACTTCCTCGGGTATCGCAGGAGTGGTGGGCGTATTTGTGGCGGGAGGAACGGGCGTTTCTTCCTTCGGTGGAGGATTTGCGCTGGCAAGCTTGGCACGAGCAATGGCGATTTCCTGCTCTTGTCGTTCTCGCTTGATCCTCTCTCGCTCGCGCTCACGTTCCTTGAGGACGGAGTCGACGTACCTACCTACTTCCCCCGCCACCTTCTTGATGTCACGAGCATATGGCTTCTTCGCGAGAGATAGGGTACGGAACGCCCGCAGAGAGTCGCTTGTAGGCGAAGACCGTAGAAGGCTAGGACGTCGTGATACAGAGGAAATGAGCTTTTCCCGGTCTGTCAAAGGCAAGGGCGCTTGGGAAGTGGTTGCGCTGACAGACCCGTCGGCAGCAGGCGAAGGCGCCGCCATTGCGAACGACAGCGATGCTGGTACTGCGGCGGCGGGTGGTGGTGGGGACGCCTGTAGTTGAGAGGGCAGTTCGGGAATGTATGGCAATGTCGAGCGCGCGTGCGCTGAAGGTGAGCTCGAATGATACGCCACACATAACGTAGCTGGCCAGATGATAGGCATGCCCTTGTCCTCACCCTGCTTATTCTGCACAGCAAGCCAAGCAATGATGTAGCTCGGTCCGTCCTGTTGAGGGGACGTAGCGCGCATCCAGTCGCCTGCCCCCAAGCCTCTTAGAGCTTCCTCGAACTGTGTGGTCAAGGCAGCAGTGGGACCGCTGTAGGTGCTCAGGTAGTAAGCGGGAACTCCTTGGGGCAACAACACGATGGGAGTACCAGCCGGCAGCGGGAGGGAGAAGCCGAGCGGAAGATAATATGTCGGCCGCATGACTGGATGAACCACAAGTCTTGCCAACCAAGGTGTATGCGCCGGGACAGATATGTGGAGATGTAGGGTGCAAGATATCAGGGGACGGCTCCCTGCATAGTTTTCCCACCCGGAACCCCATTCGGAGGTTGTAGGTATTGGCCCAAGAAGAAAGCCACCCTTGAGACGACTGACGGAACGACCACGGGGGTGAAGCTTGGAAGCTTCGGCAATATCGTCTATAAGACGATCACGAACTGCTTGGAGGAATAGGCTGAAGGGGAGACGTAGCGGTATCCGGGGAAGCAAAGGTACCGGTGTAGTCTGATGTGCCGTCGGACCGGGGTCCAAGCAGCGCTCACATGGAGTTGCTTGAGCTGAGCAGGAGGCGGAACAGGGATATATGGCAGAGGGAGTGAACGAGGATGATGCTGTCACTGTAGAACTAGTCAGCATCAGCGGCAAACGGCAGCACTATAAGAACAGAGTCCGTGCACGTGGACATCAAACAACGCAGAAGAGATAGTTGACAATGTTTCAACCCAGGCGCAAATAAGGCCGATGTACGAAGGGATCAGAACCCTAGCAGAGTATTGGGTTTACGCACATGTCAACGTCTCGAACTCTAGCCTTGAGAGTACACCATGTACGTCACAGGTACACGCAGTAGACCCCAGGGCGAACACGTAAAGGGCCGCCGAGTCCTTGGAAACATGGACGGCCGGCAGAAGAGAGTCCACAATTGCTTGGCCTTTGTTCTTGAGTAAGACGGTCCGCCTTGCAACTTCCAGCTGCTCAAGGGGATCAGATGTGGCGGGTCTGCAAGCAAAGATCGAATAGACGATGAGAGGATGTTCTGGCAAGGGAACAATTGAGGCAAGGACAGCCGAAGCTAGGGAGATGGGGGGAGAATTCTGGGATAGGACGAAAGAGCCTGTGTTGTCTTGGGGAATGGATTGAGCCTTGGCCGCCATGAGAGGTGGTGGTCATGAGGAAAGCAGGATGCTTCGGATGAAGTGCGTGGCAATTCCGAGTGGGCCGACGTTGCGCAGGGATGCGACAGGCTCGGAGACGAGCGGCGGAACCTTAGCACATAGTGGAAGAACGACAAGAGGCGTTCGGTGCACCTGTCCCGGCTGTCCGCCTGCATGCCTCAGCCCGGCGGATGTTTCCGCGTCGCACATATGTCAGTAGCGGGCATTGGCCCCTGCTCTTTACTCTCACACTTCGACCACCCTAGAATCATGCAAGACGTTGCTTGGTCTCCGGAATGAGGCTCTGCGTGCACCCCGCCACGGTTTCATCCTCTGTTGGGGAAGCGGAGGAAGAGCGTTGGTGCGTTCTTTGTATTTGACAGATATGCCCGAAAAGGGTTATTTGTGTCCAAATGCGGGCATACAGGGAAATTGTGATGGAAAAGGCTGTTGGGTTAGGCCTGGCCCTGCGACACTTGGCCTGCCGTTCGCTCTCCTCCCCCCACTCCGTCCCTCAAAATGCAGTCTCTCTCTCGCCCAGCTTCCACCTCCACCCGCCAAGCCACGTCCCCCAACCCGAAGCCCCAACACCAAGTAAATACCCAGACAAAAGTATTTGACACCGCCCATGGGAGACTCCTCTGTATTGCCGACATTCGTGGCCGACTCTCTGCACTCAACGACCTCGCGCGTGAGGCGAATGCATCCGCTATCATCCACACAGGAGACTTTGGCTTCTTTGGTGCGTAATCCGGTCATGGCGGGCTCGTCTCAACGCTGATGCTGCGGCAGAGGCCTCCAGCCTTGACAGGATAAACGACCGCACCCTCCGCCACCTCACGATGTACTCGCCACTCATTCCTGCAGCGCAAAGAAACCATCTTCTTGCGCCCGAAAATCCACCTTCAGCTATCCGTTCCACAGTGACAATATCCCTCTTGTCCGAGTTCCCTCTCCTCCTGTCTGGCCAGATCAAGCTGCAAGTGCCGGTGTACACCGTCTGGGGTGCGTGCGAGGACGTCATCGTGCTCGAGAAGTTCCGTGCAGGACAGTACGACATCGAAAACCTTCACGTGCTCGACGAGGCAACGACGCGCTGCCTCGACATCGGCGGCGTCAAGCTGCGCCTGCTCGGACTCGGCGGTGCGCTCGTCCCACACAAGATGTTCGACAACGGAGACGGAAACGCAACGATTGCGGGTGGACAGGGTACGATGTGGACGACGGCACTGCAGATCGGTGAGCTGGTGGACACCGCGCAGCGCGTGTTCGATCCTACCGAGACGCGTCTCCTCGTCACCCACGCAAGTCCCGGTCGGGAAGGCATTATGACTCAGCTTGGGCTCGTCCTCAAGGCGGACCTTACACTATCAGCAGGCCTTCACTTCCGCTATGCGTCGTCGTACAACGAGTTCAGCGTTCAGTCGGACTTTGAGGGACTTCGACACAAGATTGTGGTCGGGAAGGAAGCCTTTGACAAGGTCTGGGAGAGTGTGAAGTCGCAGGTGGACGCCGTCATCGACGAACATCAGCGTGTTCTTCTCGACAAGGCGCTTTCCGTTGTCGAGCGGATACCACCGCCCCCCAACCAGCTTGGTCCAACTGGTCAGCCGCACGGCGAGGACCCCGCATGGAAGAACTGCTGGAATTGGAACCTCTGTGACGCAGCTTACGGCTCTCTCATCCTTGACATCAAGGACGGCCGTGTCAGCGCGGAGATGAAGAGCCAAGGATTCAACTACGCATACCGTCGTACCGTCACGCCGTCGACCGTCGCGGCGACTCCTGGCTCCGCTACGTCTCAGCTTCCCATACAAGGCGTGAACTCGGGCGCGGCGGCCACCCCCAAAGGCACTGGTACGGGTGCTGCGGCAACGCCTGTAGCCGCTGAGAAGCCCCTTCCACCCCACGTCACAGGCTCCAAGTCGAAACCCTCGACGCCGCCTCCGCCCGGCGGCTCAGGCCGGGAGACCCCGAAGCTGAACGGTGGCGCACCGAACCAGTCTGCGCAGGACAAGTTGGAGAAGGAGCGGGCCAAGAGGGAGCGTAAGAAGGAGCGCAAACAGCAGGAGCGGGCTGAGCGCGAGGCTACCACAACAGCGGCGAAGGAGGGTGCTCCGTCGCCCGCCCCTGGAGCGAGACAGGAGGTGGATCTGAGCAGTCCGCCGAAATCGGGCAAGGCGACGCCCGACGTCCCTACCCAGCCAGCGGCAGCTTCAGAAGGTAGGACAGACGACGGTGTCACTTCTCCCAACACGGAGAGCACGGGCGCCAGGACACCGACCAGCAAGCGCCCTGCACGGAACCCGTGGACGATCTTCATGCGTATGGCCAACCCTGCGAACGAGGCTGAGGTTAGGGAGTTCTTCGGGGATGCCAAGGAGGGCGTAAGTACTCTGTCAGCATTTGTACGCTTAGGGCGTACTGGACTGACACTGCAATTCCTAGATTACCCGCATCAACTACCCTGCGAACTTCGCTGGTCGCAATCAAAAGATGTGCTACGTCGAGTTCGGTGACGAGGAGGCGATGAAAGCTGGCTTGGCGAAGAACGGCCAGGTGAGTTTTGAGCCAAGGATGAGTGTACAAGCCGCCTGACCATGTTGGCAGACCCTAAACGACTGCACGCCTGAATTGAAGCAGGCGACCGACAAGGAGTCTCGTAACGCAGATGGTGGCGGCCGCGGAGGCCCTTTCGCTGGGCGCGGTCGCGGAGGTCGTGGCGGTTTCGCAGCTCGCGGTTTCGCGTCTGCAGGTCTGATGACGCGTGGAGGCGGTCCTGTTCGAACGAACGGCGACGCCCCTTCATCTGGTGCTCCCGAGTCTTGATCGTCTCGTCGGTGAGAAGTGAAGCGAGGTGGCGTCTCCTGCAAATATGGCTCTCACATGTGTCCGCTATGGTTTTCATCCATTTTCGCTTCGTCGATATGTTGCAAGCACCCTCTTCGAACCTACGTAATCACTTAGTAGCAAGGTTATCCGGCGCTATCCCTTCCGTACTCCCTCCCCTTCATGGCTCATGATGATTTTGAGTTCCGCTTTCGCGCTTGGATCAAGCTCACCAGGTGTGTTGTGTAGGTGATTCTCCTTACGACTTTACGGTACTGTTCACTCCGATACATATGGTCAAGTAGTACTAGACCTTCGCGTGTATCTTGATAACGACGCGCCCATGCTATACCCCTCCAACCCGCCAAATCCGTATCGTACTCTGCAAGCTTCTCACCATGTATGGTATTCATCGCAAGACTTTTGTGCGGAATGTCTGAGCACCTCATAAGCATGCATGAGCAACCATATAGTTGGTTTCGAAGATCGTACGGTCGCCTCTCACGACGCACCGCACTCAGTGTTACAACGATACGGGTAAGGCAGCCATCTGTCATTGAAACCAATGGTTCTAACTTACCTAGCGTACGGGCTACAGCTAGGTAGTGAAAGAAGCAATTAAACGAGAAGGATGTCTCGCTTCTCCTGATTCAACATCCACATCAATCCCTCGAGGGTGTCTTCGGGAGAGTGAAAGAAGCCAACACGGCGGAAGGCGTTACCGCCGTCGGGATGAGGTGCAACAATAAGTCCTGAAGCGTACCGCGCGCTCTGGTTCCACTGGATAGGGATCGCCCAGACCTCTTGCACATCTTCGGTGCTGTCTGGGTATGCGCATCCAATATGCCGGGGTTCTGTCGTGATCTCGGGAGGGTCTGAGGATACAGGGTTCACCGTGGAGTCCGAGGCCGCGTCCGAGGTCTTCAGGTATAGATCGGGCATGGACGAGTCGGGGTTCCAGGTGGCCTCCAGCATCACGCTGCGGAGAGTCAGGGTCCCCGATCGGACTTTGCCAAACGGTAGGAGCGGCGTGGCGACGGCGACCTCGCAGCTCACCACCTCGCACGCCTCCGTGTCCTTCGAGTCGGGGTCCAAGCGGTCGTCCACGGAGTACGCCATGACACGGCCGTCGATCGCGGCCCAGGACCACGAAGGTGCGCGGAAAGTCTCTGGCCGGGGATAGCGCGTTTCGAAGGTCTTGTACCACAGCAGGTCCTGGGTGAGGGTGTCGCGCCACAGGCCCGCGAGGTAGTCCGTCTTCCACGCGCGGTGGAACAGCTCCGCGATGGACGCGAACGCGACGAGCTTGTCGTCGGGCTTCGCGACGGTGCGGTGCGTGTAGTCACCGACCGTCTCGATCCACGACCACTGCAGCGTCTTGCGCTCGCTCTGCGACAGCACGGATGGGGAGCCTGAGGGGAGCTCGGCGTCGGGACGGAGGAGGAGATCGGGAAGGCGTGCTCCGAACGTGGGCCCACAGACGGAGTTGCCCACGTTGACGATCGAGGTCTGGCAGTGGAACTGCAGCGTATGTGACGCGTACACCAGGGCTCTGGGCGAGAGGAGGCGTTCTTGGAGACACCAGGCGTCCTGGTGCACTGGCTCTGCGGAACCGTCGTACTGGCGCCATACGGGTGATAGGAACATGGTCCCGACTTCACCATCGGGGCATCGAAATGGAAGGGTGACGTCTGGGGGTGAAGGGGGTGGACGGTCCTGAAGGAAGCCCTGGCTGGCCGTGCTTGCGCTTGCTGCGATGATCGTGAAGTAAGCGCCGCGGAAAACGGTGTGCATCTGTGCGATCTCGCGAGCTATATCCTCTTCTGAGTCTTGAAGGATGCAGAGCGCGTTGAGCCAAAGATAGCGCACGCCGAAGTTGTGAGTGGTCTCGATTGCGTCCTTGATCGTCTGTGGTAGTGCGGCGAGATCAATGCCGAGGAGATATGAGTCGAGGTTTGCTGTCGTCGTGCGGTAAGGCTGGTCTTCCCCGCAGACATAACTCAGAATTACGTATGACGCCGTGTCACCACCGCTGAGGCGAAGCTTGGGCTTTGTGGGGTCAGAACAATCGATAACTCGGGATGGGAGTGTCGCGTTGTGTGGAGGAGGACAGCGAGTGTGTTTGCGGATGCAATCCGTGATGCAGGAGGAAGCCATGGCGCGGGTGGAAGGCGAGTTGAGCTGCAGGACTCTAGGCCGGGCGACGAGGAGAGACGCGGCAGGGTCCTCTGCTTTATCCGCGGCATCAACATTCTCGTGAGTAAGGACTGTTGAGAACGGGACCCACCTTGCTTAGCATAGACGTAGTACATAAAATGCGGCATATCGTCAACGACTAGACGCAACGTATGGACACCTTTCGGGGTGACAGCATGGCTGCCCGAAGTGGGGCGAAAGCCGACGGTGATCTGAAGTGTTTCCTGCAGCATGATATCCGTCCTAGTGGAAAGGACTAGCTTGCACCACTGACAATCGTTGTCGGCTGAACTCTGAATTTGGGTCCAAGTAGTTGTATAAGTGGTCCCGTAGAATGACGCCTGCCCGTCCCATGCCTCCTGGAAAGGACCCGCGGCGAATAGCCCGGTGTCCCAACAGAATTGACAAACGAGCGACTGAGGAGAACTTGGTGTCGTGAGTCGCGACTACACAGCCATGAGATAGAGGACAGACCTATGTACATCGATTGCGCTAATTGGCTCCTTCTTCCTCACTAAGACACCGGAAGGCAACATTGTCATACTCGAATCCGCTTTCGAGGTCGAGGCAGGACACTCCGGTGCATGGTGGTGACGCTTCGCCCGCATGAACAAACCTCGCACATAGCGACTGACAGGCCGACATAGAGGAGGAAAGCAGGTCATGGTGTTCACACAGACGAAGACGAGATTGGCAGGGTTTGCGGTGGATTTGAGTCACGATTCATGTCATAATATATGTCGAGGGCGCATGGGAACCTCGCTTGTCAGGGCAACCCTGTCCTTCACCGCTTCGCAGGAGCCATAGGGCGACACTGGAGTGGGCCAAACGTGAAGACGTGGGACAAGATGAGAGGCATCCGAGACGGTCGCCGGCGGTGGTCGTGACGGACATGAACGAGAAGCTGTTGCCCTAGGCTGTTCAATCACTGCAGGCACTGGCAAGTACTGTGGGAGCCACTGTGGCAGCCACTGTGGCAGCCAGTACTTAGTCCTCGGCCCGGTGCTCCGGACTGCCCTCATCCAGGCGCTTCCTGCTTGGTTCACATCTCTGTTTCGTCTCACGACAATACTCGACTGTTTGCCCAACTAGCTGCAGGTGCGGCGGAGAAAGGTGCTTGTGAGAGAGCTGAAAGGTCTGCGTAGAATTTATGAGCAATGTCAGCCACCACCTGCTGTCAGGTACGGCGCCACGACATATCCGCTGCGTACCGTTCGACGCTAATGCATTCCATGTAGGTGCCCTATCCGGGTTCGCGTCCACAATAATACTCCAACCATGTTGGTACCGCTACACTAGCGCCTGCATCTCTAAGTATTGACACTTTAACAATCTCATAGTCGACCTCCTCAAGACGCGCATCCAGCAACCGGATTATCTCAATAAGCACAGACACAATTTGCTTTCACCGCAGTCAACGTTCATATTCCGCACCGCGCGTAGCATCGTCGAATCTGACGGAGTGCTTGGTTTGTGGCGCGGAACGACAGCATCTCTACTACGGAATGTTCCCGGGGTCGCGCTCTACTTCACGGGACTGAATCAGTTCCGTGCGTTCCTCGCCACATCCCAGTACTTCGCTCCCCTTCACGCACCATCCTCGTCCTACTCATCGTCTACCCTGCCAAAGTTGACTGCTCAGGGCAACTTGCTTGCGGGCGCCCTGACTCGAATGTCCGTGGGTCTCGTTCTGAACCCGTTCTCGGTCATCAAGGCCCGATACGAGGCAAGCTATCATCCCTTCTCGCCGTCTGGCTCGTGAAGCTGACGCGGTCTCAGAGCTCATACTACAGCTATGGGTCATTGTCTGAGGCGTTCCTTGGATTGATGCGCTCCGGACCATCCGAGATCTTCCGTGGAGCCATTGCCTCTTCTCTCCGGGATGCGCCATACGCGGGCATATTCGTCGTCTTTTATGAGCACATCAAGGCCACTTTGTGTATGTTCTCCGCTCTGAAGACGCTGTCCTGAGCTGACTGGATATATCCTTCTAAGCGTCCGCTGCATCTTCAACGTCGAATTCGGCTGTTGTTGGGATCCCTTTCTCCCTATCTGCAGGCGTAAATTCGCTTTCGGCTGCATCAGCCGGCGCGTTTGCTACTCTTGCGACGCAGCCCTTCGACGTTCTGAAGACGAAGATGCAGGTCCGTTCAGAGACAAAGTACCGCGGGGTCTGGAGTACCGTTCGCGCGATCTGGCAGGTAAGCCACATCTCCTGTCCGGTCAGCACACTCATGACCTCTCATGTTTATATCAGCAACGTGGTGTCGCCGGCTTCTTCGACGGCTCGACGCTCCGCATGTCTCGCAAGATATTCAGCTCCGCCATTGGTTGGGCTGTATATGAAGGCGTGCTGATGACCATGCGCTCGTCCAAGGACACCGACTAGTTGGTGTATCTGGAGACTTGGGCGTGGACTTGTATCATGAACTATCTCAAGCGCACGACCCCCTGATGTTGCTGTAACCCCACTCATCTCTGATAATAATGGATAGGTTGAGCAACGCCCAATGGGCCTTGCTCCAATTCTTGATGTGAGCTCCAACGGGCCCGACAGGCGGCTAGATCCTTATTGTCGTCGCAGTGAGTGAATCGACGGGGCTGGGATCAAATCCCCGCTTTCTCATGGTCACGACGCAGACTCGGAGCGGACTCGAACTAGGCCCGAGCAAGTGGCCAACGCAGGCTTGCCTTTCCGCCAGGCCGACAGTCATCGTATCCGCTCTCACCCTACCCACAGTTCGTGGTCAAGATGTGCAGCACGATTCGCCGGTGAAAATACAGACAATTTTCTGGACGTTGGTCTCCTACATACTTCCTCAAATTCACTGCGGCGTCTGTGGCGGTGTCCAGCCAGGTTCGTGCAGTGACGCCCTGCCGCCCTTCCATGTCTGTATCAGCCTTGTCAGTCCTCATCATTGAACTGCCCGTTATCTTCTCTTCGCCATATAGGCATGCCTTCAATTTGAGTTGAAACCTTACATCTGCCGGTCCATCTCATCCTGTCGCAGAGAGCACCCTCTTTCTACAATCACAAGCACGCAAGGCAGCTCATTGCTATCCTAAATATGAACAGTTGTGCGCCGCCGGCCGAGCATCTCAGCTCAAGCTTTCTCCAGGACTGTCAAAAGACAGGTTCTCTGCCGCAGAGTGTCAGCCCGCGTCAGCCCAGCCCGTCAGTCTCGATCTTGACGAACGCAAGACATAAGTTCAGTACGTCTAACGGTCATCCTCCTCCACCCCCTTTCCTTCCCCCCTCTAGCCCGACCAACCCTCAAGACAGGACGACTATCAAGACAACCCGCGCGCGCCGAAGACCCTGGACCCCGGATCGCGGGCCCGTGTGCCCGTGAGGTATGCCCGACACACGTCGCGCCGTTGTTCGTGGGAGGGAGTCATGGACCTGACGATCGCGGGCACGACGCACGTACTAGGGCATCTCGTCTTGCTTCTACCTTTCGCGTTCGTGTTGCTGCTATCTTGCCTCCACAGATCTCCCCGACGGACCACGCTACGACTCAGGCCGACCGATCCGACCTCAAGCTGCGAACCTCGACCCTCGACCCTCGAAGCTAAGAACCCAAACCTCGACCCTCAAGACCGACAGTGCCGACAGGTTGGCGTTGGTGAGGCTGGGGGAGGGGGTTGATCGCCTCGGTGAACCTGGTCTCTCGCGTCGGGGGTGCCGTGGTTGGACGATGTTGTGTTTCGTGTTTCGGCTTGTTTTCTTGGACTGGACGGTTTCGGTGGTTTCGGATTCGTTCTCGGTTTTGGGTTTGGTTTTACTTCCGTTCTCGGTTTTGGTTTTGGTCCCGGTTTTGGTTTTGGTCTCGGTTTTGGTTTTGGTTTCGTTCTCGTTTTTCGTTTTCGTTTTGTTCACGGACTTGGACGCTTCGCGCCCGGACTTGGACTCGGGACTCGGACTCGGACTCGGACTCGTTGCAATTGATTTCCACATTTTCATCTAGACCTCCAGGCCAGGGACCAGGTGCGGCGACGAGAGGGTGCGGCGGTGGTACGGAGTCTCGCCGTCTTTTAGGCCTCGTCAATCCTTCGAGTCGTCGTGCTTCGAGGCCAACGGAGCACTTGTCGCAGGGTCGGGCGCGGCGTGCGGTACTGGGTCTAACCCTGATGCGTACGACCAACTTCTTCTCTCGGCTCGTCCTCCGGAACGGGCAGCCTCTGGTTGGGAGCGAGGGGGGCGGTCGGGGGTACGGGGAGTCGCCGCCTTTTGTGCCTTCTTCCAATCTCTTCCTCTCGGCTTGTGGTGGGGCGCGGGGTGGTGGGCGGTGGGGTACGCCAACTCTAAGCCCTCGCCGTTCGTTGCTTCGTTGCTCCGTGCTCGGGAGCCACACGTCCGGTGCGTGTCGGCAAAGTCTGTGACCTCCCTTCGGGGCAGTTGCAGCATGCGCCCAGCGGTGGGCCCTCTGTGGATGGAGACATGGAGGCTAAAAATCCTCCCTTGGGGGAGAAAACGGTGCTCCGCTGGTCGGAGCACCGCCCTTTCGAGGGCACCCCTTCCTTGTGGGGGGGATTTCTCTTCCGTGAAGTTGCTTGCCCTTCGGTAGTTATCGAAGCGAGATCCTTCATGGAAGTGAACTACCCTGTCCGCTTCTCGTCCAACCACGAAGGGCCCCGCGATAGACCTTGTCTTCGAGATGGTGAATACAGTTCTAGTGAACGAATACTTTGCAACTAGAGGATCGTACGAGTCGATCCCAACCCCCTCCGTATCCCCACGCTCATCATCCTGGTGCTGAAATCGCATCCTTTGTGTCTACCTGAGACGTCCATATGCGCTAGAATTAGCGTTGGGCTCGACTAGTATGTATCCCACGCCGATGTGTACATACTACCCTTGAGTCATAGCCACCTCACGTTGCCAGGTATATCATTTGAACCATCTCAAATCGCTCTTCCCGGGCTTGCGCGAACACTCGCCTACAAGACGCTCGCTCACGCTCTACTCGTGCAGTAATGTTTAAGGTTTGAATTTCCGTTTGAAGTACAATATACAGTAAAACCTTCACAAATATGCGACGGGGCTCGGTACAAGTCCTAGTTTTGAGGTGTGAGACTATGTCGGGACGAGGGACGAGTTGCTGATGATTTGCGTGAAGAATTGGAGAGCGGCCTCGCCGGTCGAGAGCGAGCCGTGTGTGTACGCAGGAACTTCATGGCCACTGCGAATCCCTTGTCAGCACCCTATGAACCTTACGACTAGGACATGGAAGACGTACGCTCCGAAGATGCGGACGTAGGAGAACGTTTCCGCGTTCTTGTAAAGACCGGTGGCGACACCCTTGACGGTGTAGTTCGCGAACTCCTGCTTGGCGTACTCGGCGCTGAACTTGGTCTGGAGGTTGTCGACCATCGCCTCGACGCCTTTGTAGTTCAGGATGTAGTCCGCGTCGCCGTCGTAGACGAGCGTGCGCACGCCGGCGTTGATCACGGTCTCGAGGTTCGGACGCGAGTTGTGCATCCAGTCGCCCGTCTCCGCGAAGTTGCTGTAGACATCGTCGTTGGTCTCCTGCCACGTCGACTCGGCGCCGATCTTGCTCGTCACTGCTTTGCTGGTGAGGTAGCTGGTGAGGTCGGGCGGGTAGGGGTCGGGGTTCTCGGTGGGCACGTAGTAGACGTCCCAGTCACCCGCGAGGGGAGAGAGGATGTCGTTGTTGCAGTAGCTCTGCGCGTCGGAGCACGTGGACTCGTCGCCGGTGCTGTAGCACTCGGTGATCTGGTCCTTGCAGCCACCAGACTTGGTCCAGGACTTGTTCGCGGAAGAGATGGTAGACTTGGAGACGAGGGTGTGGTACGGGTTGGAAGCCGCGTAACTAATGTACCCGGGATACTGCGAGAGAGGGTCCTGTACGACTGACATGAGAACAGTGCGGGGATGAGAGACGGAGACAGAAGGCACGTACCGTGAGGCCATCGCCAACACCAAGATACTTGAGGTTGATAGGGGTACCAGAAACGGTGCCGTTAGCAATGCCAGCGTTCTGCTCGAGAAGATAGCTGAGAGTTCACGAGGCGTCAACGTCTTCGCCTGTAAAGCGACTAAACAACATGAACTTACGCGGCAAACGTCGGGCCGTAGTGGCCACCGTACGACTCGGTGAAGATCGCGAACTCGTTCTTCTGGTACTTGGAGAAGCGAGAGTCCGAGAAGAAGATCTGGAGGAACTTCCAGAAGTCGGACGCGGCCTGCTGAGAGGTGCCGACGTTCAAAGTGCCATGCGAGAAACCGACGCCGACGGGCTGATCAATGTAGAGCCTATTGTCTCAAGTCAGTCAGTCGCGTGTGTTGCCGCGAGGCTGCAAGGACTGACATGTTGGCGACTTCGTTCCAGGAGTTAGGGTTCAGGGAGACGCCGCTGCTGTCGTTCTTGATCCTGCACGGACCGTTCTCCTGGAAGAGTCCGATCATGCTGGAGCTACCGGGCTGTGAAGCATCAAATCCAGATGAGCAAGCAACGAACACGGCCTTCCATTTCATGAGATGCACTTACACCGCCGTTGAGCCAGACAGAGAGGGGAGCAGAGTCGGGGTTGTTGCGTGCCTCGAAGAACCAGAAGAATATGCTCTCCTTCGAGGTGAGGTCGCCATAACCTGAGGCTTGGTACACGCCTTTGGTGGTCTCGCAAACGCCACTGTTCTCGGTGACGCGAAGCTTGCCAGGGGTGGTGGCGGCAGGCTGAAGGTCGGGCAGCTTTATCCTATTCTCAGGCAGGGAACCAGAGCCGACGCCACCGAGAACGCCATTGACAACAGGGAATTGCCCACCGAGGACGGTGGGCACAGGGAGTGCCGCAAGGAGGGAGGTCAGGGCTGAGAGCCTTAGGAACATGGTCGCTGCTGCTGCCACGAAGGCGACCTAGGGCGAGCGGGTGGGCTGACTGCTACGAGGTGGACTGGATCTTATTATATACTCCAGCATGGAGGCGGGCGCGAGAAGCACTGGCATACTGATGATATTTGGTCCGAAGTATGACGCGGCTAGCGTACGCGTGCCAGTGAAGGCGAATGCGGCTGACAACCGTCACGGGCGGTCTCCAAGCTCGTCTTGTACCCTACGGCGGTCCGATAAGTACCACCAAACATGAGGGGAATCGCAGCTGCGAGGCGGTCCTCAATAAGCAATGAGCATGCGAAGCGCGATCACAACGCACAATGCGAACTGTCATACGCGGAGGCAGTGGATGGCCGTTGGTCGAGAGCCATGTTGCATGCTCCACAAGCGCCCATGCACCATGCGTCCCCTCAGAGGCTCTGGCTTCGCGGCGACCAAGACCACACTGCAACTCCCCAATTCAAATCAACCGATCGGGAACGATGCTTACATGCACGCCAAATATAGAACACAGCCGTCAGCGACCTACTTAGTATGCACATACATGTCCATGAATGCGTATACCGCAAAGAAGACGTATCGCTCAATTCCTGGATTGGTCGTCGAGACCTGTTGCAGTCTCGACGCTCGTGTCGATTTCATCTGCGCCGATAACTCCATGGAGCTCCAACCAAACTGCGCATTTTTGCGGTACTGCATCTGGATGATCGCAGCATTGGATGGAGCGCCCCACTCTCACCTTCTCTACACACTTGCTATACTTATACATATGCCGACGACTGGTGCTTGGTGTCCTAGGCGACAATGGACGACTTTCCATAAGGATTTACGGCTCTACGGACGTCCGTAGATTTCTAGGCGGGGTTTGAAACAGTCTGTGGATCTTGGGCGCTAAACAGGCGGCATGTTCTGCTCATCATCAGCACGTGACTGGAGTGGCTTATGTCATGTCTGTATTTGGCAGACATGTGCTCGGCTGGGTCAGACCCGGGTCAGACCCCTCCTTAGGGCGGCTCAATTCTTGAGGACGCAGGACGCAGGACGCACTCAGAGCTCATTTGATGGATGTGATGGGCTAGCCGAACCTGCCGCATATGGCAAGGTACCAACCTCATTTCTCGTGCCCGTTGTTTTCCAAGGGGTCTGTCGTGTCCCAAACCTCGCAGAAAAATATGAATCGCAAGTATGTTGAGGACGAAAGCTTTCCGCATCGGTTGACACTACCCTCGAGGCACTGTGTGAGGGGGGAGGAGTGTCATCGTCGCTCGAGGGGTTTCGAAGGCGAGCTTGTCGGCTAGTCTCGCTTAGCCCATCACCTCCATCAATGGCCTCTGAACGCGTCCTGCGTCCTCAAGAATTGAGCGGCCCTCTTGACCCAGGTCAGACCCCTTGGGGTCAGACCCTGGGTCAAGCCAAGGCAACATCAACGTCGGAGCTTCCGGGCACGTGAACCGCCGGGTCGGCCGGCCGTCCGCCACTCGCTGCTCGCTGCTCGAGCTCGGGCTCGCCTTCAGCGGCCACGAACCC